GCTTATGTAAGAAAGAGAAAGACTAGAAAATATGAGGGCATATTATGTAAGCTTTGTCTATGACAAGGGTAGAATTCGTCAGGCGTGACAGCTTGAGGTGTGTAAACGAGCTTAAATTCAATCTCCGCTTAACACACAATTCCAAAGAAAGAATCTTCTGTGTGCGTATATATTTGATCATCATTTGTTGTATGATTGAACCGATCCACAAATAAGGGATCCAATCGAATTGCTATAAAAATGTCTTAGGATGGCGTTTTTGTGTTTTGGATTTGCATAAATTAATGTATAAATTGTTATGCAGTTGGCGGGTGGTGTGGTTTATCTTGTGATTTGGTGTGTGTGCGTCATTTTAAATAAAACGGAAGATTTTATCCACAGCCGGGCCAGCCAGCCAGCCAGCCAGCAGGAAAGAGAGAAGAGGAACAAGAGCAGCAACAGCAACAGCCAGGGCGGAAAACAAACACTGATGCAGCGCGCCTGTGTGTTATATTGCTGCTGCTGCTGCTGCTTAGCCTACCGGTTTAGGTTATCCAAATCTGAAGATATGCAGCAAGCACAATTAGTAACAGGATTAGGATAAGTGACATGTATGTATGCTCACTTCAATCACCAGTCGCTCCCCTTCTGGTACCGGATCAAATCTCACTCCTAATTAATCGTATTTGAATCCAGCACGGCTCCGACAACATAAAATACAAACAACAACAACGGAGACGGAATCTTAACCTTTTTCTTATTTTATTTCTTTCGCGCTTTTGATCCGACATCAAAAAGAAAATAACGGTGAAATCATTTCCATTACCACATTCTATTGTAAACGGCAATTTAACGACCGAAATTGGCTAAAGATAGATCTATTCTTTATTTTTCGGCTCAAGTTTGGGCGAGTGAAAAAATAAAAAGCCACGCTCTCAATCATCAATCCTATTTTCACCTCTCTTTTCTCTCTCTCTTTACGACATCATCCCCTTGTGTCAATCCTGTTCCATAGGGGCTTTCATATGAAGATTGTACTCCGCTAAACAAGGGTGCAAGCACATCAACAAACAAAGAGACAGCAACTCACACTTCTGCTCTGCGCAAGTGCATGAATCTTACAATTCTATACAAAAAAACATAAACCCGATTAAAGCGCAACAATCATGAGCGCCACACGTTCATCATCATCACAACCACAACAACTTTCATCAAGCGGTCACCGCTCTTCCAGTAATTCAACAGCTACACCTTCAAACAACAACAACAACCCTTCTTCGTCCTCTTCATCTTCTACTTCTGGCTTCTTTCGTCAAAGGAACGGAAGTGGAGTTTTGGCGCAATCATCAAGTGCTTTGTTTGATCGCTTTCGTCGCCCAAGAACAGCTACGAATGGAAGTAGCGCCACAAATATACGTGAAGCAGGCAATTTAGGCAGTGGAGGTGTTGGTAGCACGACAAGAGGAACAGATTATTCTTCAGCCGATTCAACAAGACAAGAATTAATGGGAAACAGCACAGCCGATAGTCCATCAAGAGGAAACCGATTGAGTCAATTCGCATCGCGATCCGGTTTGCCAAGAAGCAATTCATCCTCCCAAGTCTTTATACCAACTGCAGAGGAAAACACAACATCTCCTCCGCCCACCTCACGTAAGACTGGCGTGCCATCGCACGGAGTAAGTCAATCTCAAAGCAATATTCGCATCAGTGGTAGTAGTGGAAGTGGTAATCGAACAAGTTCTGCCATGAGCACAAACACAAACGGAACCAATTCTGGCTCTGGATTAGGTTTTCCACTTTTATCGCGTACCGGATCATCGCAAGGTAATGGTGCAGGCGGACCGCCAATGTCTGGAGGCTTTAGTCGTATGTTCAGACGATATAGCCAAGGAGCGGGCCGAAATATGACAACAACAGGAAATGAGTCGCAAACGATTGCCGCCGCAAATTCATCAAACAACATAAGTAATTCCAATTCCGCCACTAATTTGAGTAGCGTAACAAATGACGCCGAATCAACAGGCAATAATCGATTAAACGTTTCTGGTAATCAATTGGATGCTACTTCTTCACAGCGATCTTCTGTAGCTTTACCTACAAGTGGAACGATGTTAAACGTTGTTGGTGATACACATTCCGGTAATTCGAGTACGAACAATATCAATGCCAGTAATGAAGCTGCACGTCAATCAAACGAATCAGCACAAAGCAATCAAGCACATCGTGTTAGACTTGTGCCACACCTTGAAGCCACAAGATCGTTACACTTTGAGCCGATCGAACGTGATTTGATCGAAGGTGCAATGGCTGTCAAGATTGGTCGATTTACTGATCGTGGACAGGGTGGACAAGGCAATTCAGCTGAGCCATCAGGAGCCAGCGCAGCAAATGGAAATACTGTGGCAATGAGCACTATCACTGCATCTGCAAGCGTAGCTGGATCGGCTGCAAATTCTTCTGTAAACACACCAGGTGCTCGTGGAGGAGCAATCCCAAGTGCTACGGGTGGCGCAGGTCGGGTTGATACAGGCAGGATTGCATTCAAGAGTAAGGTTGTCAGCAGAGGACATGCAGAGATTTGGAGTGAAAGTGGTGGCAAGGTGTTCATTCGCGATACAAAATCCAGTTCGGGTACTTTCTTGAATCACATCCGCCTTTCTGCACCCAATGTTGAAAGTAAACCTTTCCAAATCAAAGATGGCGATGTGGTGCAATTGGGTGTTGATTATCAAGGAGGAACAGAGGAAATCTATCGTTGCGTCAAGATGAGAGTCGAATTGAACAGAGGATGGCAAAGGGGAGCCAATCAATTCAATGTGAATGCCTTACGACAACTGCGTGCTTTGCAAGGCTCACCTTTACCTGATCCAGCAACGGCAGCACAAGCCAAAGCAAAGTCAGATGCAGCAATTGCTCCTGCAGTTGTGCCGACGAACAGACAATCGCTCAACGTTACAGATTGTTGTATCTGTTTATTCTCGGTTACCGTTTGTCAAGCTTTGTTCATTGCACCTTGTTCGCACGTTTTCCACTATAAATGCATTCGACCTTTGTTGAACATGCATCATCCTGGATTCTCTTGTCCACTTTGTCGAACGTTTGCCGATTTGGAAGAAGATGTAGAGGAAGACGAAGCATGGCAACAAGCTTTATTGAAAGAGGCAGGTGCGCTAGATCAAAATGTGCCAACTGGCATTCCAGCGATCGATGCAAGTACGCCAATGAATGAAGATCCATTGCCAAGCCTTTTGGCAGTGGCAATTGCATCTTCTAATTCTTCTGAAGCGGAACATTTTGTTGATGCAACAGGAGCTTTGCATTCGACAGCGCCTAGTATGAATAGCTCACATGATCAAACATCGCTATTGGGAACAAGTGGCGGTGGAGGCGGAAATGTGAGCGGTGGATCAGCAACGACGGATATGTCATTGAGTGCAGGTAGAAGGAGGAGCTCTGCGGCAGAAAGCTTTTCAGCTTCGCGTGATTCACGTCATACACCAAGTAGCAGACGATCGGAATCTTCTCATCGTGATTCACCTATTCGATCGACGGACGTTCATATGATCAAAAGACCCGATACTGCCGTTTCTTCAAGTACGGCCGTTCCATTTGGAAATGGTGAAACACTTGCAGCATCTTCGCATGCATCGCCAAGACGTTCTTCTCGTTCAAGGGCCAGCGGTGGTGTTATGAGCGGATATGGTGTGGGAGATGGTGAAGGAACTCCCAACGGCGAAGAAGAAACACAGGAGTTGATTTTCGATGAAGGTTCTTCGGCTGCTGCAACTGCTGCTGCATTGTATGATCAATCAGCTTCGGGACCTATTGATATCACACTTGGAAATCAACCAAATTCTGCTTCTGCATTTTCACGTCATTTGATCGATGGTTTGACGGCCAGTCCTGGTTTGAACGATTCAAGAACGCCACAAAATGAACATTTTTTGAGCACTTTGGCAGAAGCTCCTGTTGCGACTCGTAATGTTTATCGGTCATCTTCTTGAAGATAATGTTTTATTCATTTACTATACATACATACATATATCCCTTCATCAGCATTCATACGTATCCCAAATTGCTACTGTAATCAAACACATTATTACTCATTTTGTTTCTGTCACTCTTGACCTCAGAACACTGCAATTGACTCATCCTGTGCGCAAAGACCTCAAATTTTTTTAAGGATGTGAAGACATGCGATGTACAGTTTTATACTATCCGGGCGAGGGGGCTCCTTTTGTTGAAAAATGAGAAAAAGGGAAAGAAATGTTGCTAATGTCCATTACGGGGAAGGTTATGTTTTTAGGTGACTCCTTTTGTGTCATCGTTTTAGTAAATTTTTAATGCTGCGGTGCAATCGTATTCAATGCTTGACGAGCGCTGTCCAAGATGTCGATTCGTTGTGCTACGGTAAAGCATGCACAAGTACTGCTGGCCAACAACAAGCGATTGAGTGATTCGTGAATGCCGACCAACTCGCGAGGGGCCAAGATGCAAGTACAAATGATCTCTGAAGAGGGGAAAGTGCGGGGAGTACTTCGTGTAAGCATGGAAACAGGACCTCAAAAACAGAAATATATACCTTTCACTCGTCCAAATACTGAGCATAAGATAAGAGGAAGTCAGCATTAAGTCAAACAATGACTATATCAGCTTCCCTCATTCCACTCACAGACTGTACGCAAGCGTTCGTTCAACCTTGCAGGCACCAGACGAATCATACTAGTAGTCAGATCGACAACTTTGGCTGGTCCTTTCAATTGTGGACTACCAGATCGCAGGAGTTGTACCAGATGCATTAAAATGCCGGGTGTGAAATAGATGCAATGCTCTTCGTCTTTGCGCGGAGATACCAGGCGGAAAGGAAAGATCTAGTATGGTACTTAGGTTAGTATGCAGCTTCGGAGGTCTCGGATTTCTCAAAGTTCTCACCTCATTCAGAAGATCATCATGGTTTGTCAAAATCAATGCTAGAAAGCGAATCAGAGTATTAGCACGTGCTCTCCTAACTTGATCATTCCTAATCCAACTCACACACTGGACGGCCCAGAAGACGAGCATTGTTGCGGTGACGGACTAAACGCATCGCTTGTTCCTTATCGCGGCATTCTACAAAGCAGCAATTCGATGTTTTCCCCGAAACGACGTCAATCGGAATGTGAACAGATTGGGCAACGGTATCGCTGCTAGGGAGCAACTTCTCTACCGGCTTCGGCAACCAAGACATGACATCATGATGAGTCAACTTCCATGGAATATTGTCCAAACGTACGACAAAGCTTGAACGGTTAGTTTCTGAATTTTCTGGGATGGCTTTTGAAGCAGGAATGAGAAGATTCGGTTCCGCAGTTGGTGTTGCATGTTTTTTGTCCATTTGACCTAAAGACAACATTCGACGACGGCTTTCCTTGATGGCAAAGAAAGAAGCATCTTCTGTTACAGGCTCGCTTGAGGCTGTAATGTCATGCACCAATGAATACATTTGATCGGGTGTACTGGAACGCAGCATCAAGGAATTCGGTGCGTCTTCGGAGTCAGGATGCTAGATACAGAGAGAGAAATGTCAATTATGCATTTGGTCACTGTTGTGTGAAGCATGATCTTACCTTGCTATACTTCTGACGGTAGGGATAACGCTGTGGAAATGTGGTAGAGGAACTGGAAGGGAGTCTGTCATGCGAATAGAACCCCATTCGATCCTCGCTGTTGAGCGTTCTTTGACGTTTGCGTTGAACACTAGACGGAATGAACATGTCGCTCGAAGGACCTTTCTTCGTTGGTGTCTCAGATACAGAGCTTTTGCGCAGACTGATACCTTTCACGGGTGTGTTGCAAGCTGCACAGACATGCGGACGCGGAGGCGTGGCCGTGACTTGATTCAGACCTGACGAGCAGCATGCAGCACATGACCAGTGCCTGCATGGCTCCAAAATGGTCATACGAAGGGCAATAGCACCGCAAAGATCGCATGTTGGACCTGAATTGCTGCGATCATGCTTCCCTGTTGGTGAAGCACTGCGATACTCCATCACAGCACTGATACCCTGATCGCCTACGGGCTGAATTTGTTGCAGAATAGCGCTGTGTTGAGCACGATCCTTTGTCATGCCTTGAATGAGGTGCTGTAACGCATTCAAGCTCTCATCTTCTTCTTCAGGAGTCGAAGCACTGCTAGAAGAATGTGCGGCGGGGTAAAACTTTTTGGGGATTTGTTCTTCTCCTGCTCCCTTCTCGTTCTCGCAGGGGACTGTTTCCAGAACGACTCCTTCTGCTACGATATCCAGACTAGGACGTGCTTGTACTTTTACTGGTGGCTTTGTAACACTAGAAATACTGCGTAAGGCATTTGCGGGACCACCAATTGTCATTCGACGTGGAATAAACGGGCGTTTTCCTTCCGCTTTACTTTCAGTAGCAATGGTGTGCACTGGACTTGAGATGCGCTCCAAAGGCAATTTTGGTCCGAAAACATCCGAAAGACTGGGTCTTTTGTCAGCGGGTACAGAGATGGTATTGCTCTTGCGGCGGTAAGGCTGCACATTAGCCTGGATTTGGGAAGGCTGTACTGGCCCACGATTTATCTCAACAGCACCGTGAAGTGAGTTGCGCGCAAGCTTGATAGGCGTCTTGCCGGCACTGCTCGATAGAGGACCACTCTTGCTTGATTCCAATGAAGTATCCGGTGTTTCGATCTTGAACCGACTCATTGAGAAATCCAAATCGTCCATCGATTGCTCGACGGATGAATCCTCTTCGGTTTCAAAAGAAGTGCATTCATGCGCATTCACCGTCAATTTTGGTTTTTTGACTGTAGACACCAAATCATTGACATCATTTCGCTTGAGACAAGCTTCACTTCGACTGCGTGCACGAGTACGAGCAGCAAATACTTCGTTTGAAGAAGGTGAGAGGATAGCAGTGGCAAAAGTTGGATCTAAATGCTCTTGAAATGATCTGTTGATCGGTGTCACTGGACACGATTCTTGTTGATCATCAATCACCTGTGAAGGTGACATAGGTTTCAAGTGAAGAGCCTTCATAGCTACGAATGTGATCAACTACGAGATTTGAGAGGGAGGTATGTGGGAGTTGGGAGTTGACAATCAAAGTGTTGAAACACGGGAGCATTCGGGAAGGTATAAACTCAATTCCCCGACTAACAAAGTTCCTCTGCAATCTTCCTGTTCAAGCTCGAATAACGTTTGAAAACCTCTTTACTAAACAGAGGAAGTTCACTCTCTCGGCCAAAGCATGCGTTGCCCTTCCCCGATGATTCAATGTATGCAGTTTTTGTATACAGCCAAAAGCATCTGACAACATTTCACAATCATTGATGTTCGTATGCGCATACATTCGCCCTCAATTTATTGGAACGATTTATTCAACTTTCAGCTGGCCTTTAAAATTTTCCTTAGTTCATGGAAATGATTTACTTGACACATTGGAAAGTACAAATTAGCCGTGGGAAGCAAACTTTATCAATTTCGGTCAAAATGGGGCTTAGCCGTCCCGAAAGCCGCAATTTTGCAAGAAAATAAAGCTCATCTCACTTTTCACTTCTGATGGGTTGTGTAGACCGGTCTTGCTTTAAAGAATTTCAGCCGTAGCCATGGAATTATAGTGGCCGATATATGCAGACCATGACAAGTCTGTGGCGGGCCTGCCTGTCAAACCAGATAAAAACACGTGCCACCTCAAGTCAGCGCCCTGACGCACACACCAATCGCTTTATATTCTACAGGTCAGGCAGGCCGCGCAAGCTTGAATGTGCGTGCTTGAGTGAGTGTTGCACTTTAAAGGGTGGAGAGATAGTCTGCATGGCTCGAGTGTTACGTCGAATAACAGTATAGCTTCAACATCACCACCATATCTCATATCACTACAAACATGGCTGCAACTGCCGTATCACATCTCGGTCAGAGTGCAGTGGCAGGATCAAGCGGTCCACCACCAACTCAAGGCGTCACAGCTCCTGCTTTGGGAATTCAGAGTTTCTACCAATCCAAAATTCAACAATATGAATTACTTATCAACGAAAGAACGCAAAACGTACGTAGATTGGAAGCACAAAGAAATGCCCTTAACGCTCGTGTGAGATTATTACGGGAAGAGCTACAACTTCTGCAAGAACCTGGAAGTTATGTCGGAGAAGTGGTAAAAGTGATGGGAAGAAAGAAGGTCCTGGTGAAAGTACAACCAGAGGGAAAATACATGGTGGAAGTGGCAAACGATATAGATATTTCAGCTTTGACTCCCACTCTACGTGTTGCGCTACGTTCAGATTCGTATCAACTTCACAAGATTTTACCCAACAAGGTTGATCCTTTGGTCAGTTTGATGTTGGTCGAAAAGGTTCCAGATAGTACGTACGAGATGGTGGGAGGATTGGATAAACAGATCAAGGAAATCAAAGAAGTCATCGAGTTGCCCATCAAGCATCCCGAATTGTTTGAAAGTCTCGGTATCGCACAACCCAAAGGTGTTTTGTTGTATGGACCTCCAGGAACGGGAAAAACCTTACTAGCGCGTGCAGTGGCCCATCATACTGATTGTCGTTTCATTCGAGTTTCCGGATCGGAATTGGTGCAAAAGTACATTGGTGAGGGTAGTAGAATGGTGCGTGAGTTGTTCGTCATGGCTCGCGAACATGCACCTTCAATCATCTTTATGGACGAAATCGATAGTATTGGTTCCTCTCGTGGAGAAGGGGGCAGTGGAAGTGGAGATTCTGAAGTACAAAGGACCATGTTGGAATTGTTGAATCAATTGGACGGTTTCGAAGGAACAAAGAATATCAAGGTGATTATGGCCACCAATCGTATTGATATCTTGGACAGTGCTCTATTACGACCTGGACGTATCGATCGTAAGATTGAATTCCCACCACCAGGACCTGAAGCCCGTGTTTCTATCTTGCGCATTCACTCTCGCAAGATGAGCTTACAAAGAGGTATTAATTTGCGAGCATTGGCTGAAAAGATGGGCCAATGTTCCGGTGCCGAAGTACGAGGTATTTGTACAGAGGCAGGAATGTATGCTTTACGTGAAAGACGTCAACATGTAAGTCAAGAAGACTTTGAATTGGCTATCAGCAAGGTTTTGCGTCGTCAACAAGATGGAAGCACGTCTGTTAACAAACTTTTCACTTGAGGTGTATCTCTGTCATTTTGTATGTATACTCTTTTAGCAATCTATTCTGATTTCTGTTACCAACTACCATCATGATAAAGAAAGACATGTTTTGGCTGCGCGAGTGATTTGAATAGCTTTGTAGGTGGGCGTCGCGTGTGTGATAAAAGCGGGCGCTTGTGCCTTGACAATTTCATAGCTCCATTTGTAGTAGGAAGACGTTTAAGCTTTCATGTGTGTGTGTTTTCATCCCATCATCATTGCGTTGGGGAAGCCAATCAATCTTGTGTAATCTTTCTTTTGGAGGGAAATCAGGGTGTGCTATTGATTGTACATAGACAATGGTGCTATCGGCTTATCACTCTCAGCCTTTGCCGCCTAGCGGTGTGGCCTATGCTGTCTCATTGCAGCTTACACCTTTTGATTCTGCAATCGCTTCTTCATCCAATTCACATCGGGGAAAGTTGCTCAGTCACATTGTTACCGCAAGAGATGATGTAGTGGATGTGTATGAAGTCCGGTCACGAAGCGCTGCTGGTTCAAGCTCAAACGGAACAATAGACGAGGTAAAATTGTATCATTTACGTTCCCATCAAATCTTTGGATTAGTGACAGGTTTAGGGAGATGCAAAACAGATAGCGGAGCAGTAGATGATGTAGCACAACAAACGATTGATGGAGAGCGTGATACGTTGATCATATCGTTCAAAGATGCAAAGATGGCATTGATGCAATGGTCAGATGCAGCTGCAGATCTTATCACAATTTCGATACACACTTATGAACGTGCTCCACAAGTATCCGAAGGCGTTTCACCTCATTTCTTGCAGTGCTTACAGGTCGATCCGGAATCTAGATGTGCGGCCCTTTTGCTTCCTCAAGATGCGTTAGCCATTCTGCCATTCTACAACGATACAGCTGAGGAATTGGACGAACTACTAGCCAGAGCGGGAGGAGATGTAGGAGGATCGATTTCGCTGGAGAAGTCCCTACCATATGCACCATCCTTCGTGCTCTCATTATCTTCGGCAGATATAGATATCAAGAATGTGAGAGACTTTGTCTTCTTGCCAAGCTTTCAGAGGCCAACAATCGCAGTTTTGTTCGAAAAGGATGCAACATGGACCGGCCGTTTAGACGAAAGACACGACACATGTGCTGTTCGCTTCATCACTCTAGATTTGGGTGTTTCGATTGAATCATCTCATAGAGTGATCTCAAGCAAGGATGGATTGCCTTTTGATTCCCTTTATCTAACCGCTTGTCCTCCTAGTGTTGGTGGTGGGGTGTACATCACCACATCTTCCGCTCTAATACATATGGACCAAGGTGGAAGAACGGTTGGGGTTGCGGTGAATGGATGGCATGCATTGACGAGCAAATTATCGCTACCCAGATGGAAATCAGATGCACACAAGGTCACCAGTAATGGACAAGTAAATGGTATAACCAATGGGTTGACGGGAGATATAGAAAAGACGCTTATGCAATTGGACCTGGCAAATTCGCACATTGTTTTCCCTGATTCGTCTTCCCCTTTAGCTTTCTTATTCCTGCAAGATGGAGAGGTATGGCTACTTCAGAATTCGTTAGAGGGAAGGACATTATCTTCTATAAATCTGGAATCAAGAGGGGCTACAACTCAACCTTCTGTAGCAACTGCAGTCTCTGCAGGACAATTTGTATTTGTCGGAAGTATGGTAGGTGATTCGCAACTGCTAAGACGAATCACAACTGCTTCCACTGTTGCGTCAACGGCAATTACGAATGATTCAACCAAAAGCGATGACGACGACATGGACCTGGACGATGATTTGTACGGGGAATCTTCGGCACCTACAAATGGAATTAATGGAAATGGCGTAGGAGGCGGACAAAAGCATACCACTTTTGAACTACAATCTGTAGCAACGGTGGAACATCTTGGACCGATCTTGCACATCGGTCAAGCAGTCATTGGAGATTCAGATGATTTCGAACATGGCGGAGGAATGGCACAGACGGTCATCTGTTCTGGCGCAAAACATAGCGGAGGATTGAATATGCTCGAACCCCAAATTGTACCTCGCGGAAAGAGACAGGTTGCACTGAATGCGACTACTGGATTGTGGGTTTTGCGAACTAGCGAAGAGACTGGAGAAACACTTTTACTGGCCTCTAACGCTGCTGATAGTGAGCTGGCTATTGTAGACTCGAAGGGTATCATGCAATCGACGACAAAGATAAAAGGTCGAACGATCTTTGCCTGCAGCGTACCTAATGCTACTGCCGAGCAGGGTGCAATTCGTGTTACTGAGCGTGCCGTGCAAATGATGGACGATAAAGGAGTCGAGAAGAGATTGGTTGACCTGAAAAAAGGCAAGCCAGCAGATGTGGACATTTTCAAAGCAGAGCTGTGTGCATCGTATTTGACGATTCTGTGGACTGACGGAAGCTTGAATCTTCTTGAAATTACAGCGTCTGACTTGAAGCCCGTGGGATTGCCGGAGGAAGTATCAGGAAGGAAATTTATCGCCGCTAGCGTCGTTGAAGATATCTTTGAATCTTTTACATGGTTCAAAAAAGGGACAAACGCAAAGAAGGAGGAGAAGCCCAACGGTAAGAAAGCTAGTGCCACACGATCGAGACAGGAAGAGGAGGATGACGAAATCGACTTTGGAGAAGATGGTGATGATGAAGACGTGCATTTCAGTAGCAAAAGCACCATGCACTCGAGATCACTGTGGCTTATCCTCACTTCCAACGAAGCATGTCTACAGGTATACTCTATGCAAAATTTCCAACGGGTTTGGCAATCCAATTCACTGTATCCCGCCCCGTTGCGGCTAGATTACGTGTCTGGAACGTACGAGGAAGAAGAAGTTCCTTCACTTGAACTATCTCAAGTTCAAGTTTGTCCGATCGGTGATGTTTTGCATCTCGTCGTCAGCTTCCAGAATGGGCTGGTGAATGTGTACGAAGCAAATTCGTTTAGCGGAGATGACGAGGATACAGTGAAAGCGCTTCAAACCGTCCAAGAAGACGCCTTGGCATTGAGCTTCATCAAAGTTATTGCAAAGCAGCTTGACATTGCTGGATCAGGCGTTCTGTCTGCGCCTAACGGTGAATCTGTTGAAGGCATCTCACTGATCCCTTTTGACAATCTTGCTGGCCGAAAAGGTGTTTTTGTTGGCGGTGTCGCCCCTGCCTGGCTTTTGCGAGAAAATACAGGCTCAACGAATCTGTATATGAGCGCAGAAAGTTCGATGGATCATCTAGATGTTCTCACAGGAGATCGATTCGTTTATGTGCAGTATGGAATTGTCAATTTCGCCCGTTTGCCATTCTTGAGCTATACGCTACCGGTCCCGTATCAAAAGAAGGCACGTACTGGTCGCACATATACCAAAACTGCTCCTCATCCGTTCACAAAGACTATTGTTGCGGCTTCTGTGGTTGGGCAACAATTCGTGCTTTTTGATCCTGAAGATGGACATGTGGTAGAAGATCCAGCAAATGATCCAACGATAGCAAAAGCACCTAGAAGTTCACTCGAGCTGTTTGTGGACGGCGATGGAGAGCCAGTGGATGGCTATGAATTTCAACAATGCGAAGTGGTAAGCTGTGTGGAGTTGGTGACTTTGCGTAGTGTAGGAAGCGTATCGGGTTTGAAGGATTATATTGCCGTTGGTACGATCATCTCACACGGTGAAGACCGTCCGGCACGCGGAGCTACGTATATCTTTGATATTGTAGAAGTCGTTGCACCTCAGCATGATCCTGCAGCTCGATTCAAACTTCGATTGATGGTCAAAGACGAGAACAAAGGTCCGATTACTGCTATCAGTGATACGAATGGCTATCTGATCGTAGTAATGGGATTGAAGCTATTTGTGCGCGCTTTGGAGAAGGACGAGTGGATGATCACGGTTGCATTCTTGGATACTCCTTTCCAAGCAACAGGATTGGAAAGATTGAAAAACTTCTTACTCTTGACAGACGTACACAAGAGTGTTTGGTTTATCGCGTTCCAAGAAGAACCTTATCGATTGGTGGTGATCAGTAAGGATTACAGTGAAATTTATCAATCACACGGTAGCTTTTTGATTCAAGAAGATCAAATGACAATCGTTACGGCCGCAAAAGATGGTGTTTTGCGGTTGTATGATTATGCATCCAATATTTCTGCAAGTCAAGGTGGTCAAAGGCTGTTGGTGAGAAGCGAGTTTGGCGGATGTAGTGAAACGAGTGGACGTATGGTTGTTCCTGGTTCCTCAAGCGAAGATGGTGGAATCTCAAAGAGCAATGAAATAATTCTTTCTTCTATGAACGGTTCCATTCAACGTATTCAACCTGTTGAAGAGGAGATCTTTAACACTTTGCATCTACTACAGGGTCAGCTTATACGTACTGTGCAGCATTTTGCAGGTTTAAATCCTCGTGGATTTAGGGTTGTACGTAATGATACAGTTTCAAGACCACTCAACAAGGGGATTCTAGATGCCAGGCTTTTGGCTTCTTTTGAAATGCTTTCTAGACCAAAGATGGAAGAGATTGCCAAATTAATACCCGATCTGGTCGATGGTGCTGATCAGCTGTTGCGGTATATTGCCACTTTGCGTTCTAATTGGGGTGAATTATGATGTAGCACAATCAATCACTCTAACATGTATTCTAGACGAAAAATTCATTGTTTCTAAGTCGTACAATCCGGTAAGAAATTAGCCGATCAATTTCATCAATCCGCTCAAACCGCCTGAGTTTCCACCACCAATCATACCTGAAACTTGATTTTTGACCAATAATTTCATCACTTGTTCACCTGCTTTGTTCATTGCGTCTTCTTTGCTACCGCCGCCCGCTTGACCGGCATTTTGTTTTTGATCAAACAATTTTCCAGCTTGTGCCATAGCAGCACCGATCAATTTTTGTTGGAAATCACCCGAGCCTGTGTTTCCACTTCCGCTGCCCAAGACGTTTCTGATTGCACCCAAAGCGGCAGCATTTCCAATTTCATGAGAGTTGACTGGGTCTGTACCATTGTTGACCTTGTCATGTGCGTTCATTAACTCATTCTCGTTCACGTCACCTTGAACGTTACCAGCTTTGGATTGTAAAAAGCTTGCGACTTGACCGAACAATTGTTGATCACCACTGTTTGATTGATCGTGGTTTTGCGCATGGTTCACGATACCTGCGATATCACCAATGTTAAAACCACCACCCCCACTGCCGGGTTGTTGTTGATCATGACCACCGCCTCCTTGGCCGCCTTGGTTGTTCATAAAGTCTCTGCTGGCGTTGATGAAGTTCTCCATTTTGTATAGTGTATGTTATGGTAGTGAGAGAAGAAGAAGTTGTTTGCCAGCATTATATTTGCACAGAAGTCTTTCAACGTGGCCTTCTTTTGTTTATTGTGGCGGTGGAGGCAAAAATAGTCCGTGCGCGATAATCTTACTTATGCCGAGAGGGTTGGAGGATGATCTTGCATACACTCAACATTTGATCAGAAAATTACACAACTTCACATCATCCGATCATCATCCAACATGGCCCCAGGATGGAATGGAGCAAAAACAAAAGTGCAACTGAAGCTGACTGCACAAAGATGTACACTATTACAAGAAAAGAAGAACGCAATAGCCAAAAAAGAGCGTAGAGAGATTGCATCATTGATTGAAAGAGGAAAATTGGAAACAGCAAGGGTCAAAACAGAAGGAATAATAGGTGAAGATATAATGGTAGAATTACTCGAAATAATGGAATTATACTCGGAAATGCTGATCGCTAGATTTGCATTACTCGAACTCAATCAACGTGAACCAGATCCGGCAATTAAAGAACCACTTTGTGCAATCATTCATGCTGCACCTAGAATAGAATTACGAGAGATGCACGCTTTACGGGAAATGTTGATGGCAAAATATGGTCGTGAATTCGCAGTAGCAGCGATGGAAAATACAGACGGATGCGTGAGCGAGCGGGTTACAAGTCGGCTAAGGGTAGAAACCCCAAGCAAAGAATTGGTGGATATGTATATTGCAGAAATCTGTAAGGCATACGATGTAGAATTTCATTCTCCTTATCTGAATACAGGTCCCGAGGATCTTGACAAGGTACCCGATCCTCTACCTCATGCAGCCGCTGATGGACCATTGCCAATTCAGCCTCTCTCAAACAATGTCAGTGCTGCCACCAAGTCGGATCTCGAAATTGCCGCTGCTACTGGTACAGTTGCCAAGGATTCAGACAAGTCGAAAAAACCATCAACAACCGGCAACTCAACCCCTCAATCTGTTTCCTCACATACAAAGACTGAAGAAGATGATAAAAGAGTGGATGATTTGGAAGCTCGCTTTGCAGCTCTAAAGAGGAGATGAGAGGGTACATATCAGAGAGGACAATGTAATATAATTTCACACCTTTTGTCCTGGAGGAGGATAATTATCAAACTTGAAATCAACGCCCCAAGGAGGCATGCATGTTCGAATATGTTTGCCAGGTTGCTTGTGCAATTCATTGATCTCTTGCATTTCTTGATCTGTTAATGAGATCAATTTGGCATTGCTAATGATTCGATGCTCTGTGACGGATTTTGGAATCACTAAAACGCCACGCTGTGCTTGCCATGCGATTGCTACTTGTGCTGGTTCTGCACCTTTTGCTTTTGCGATTTTGAGAATTGTTTCGTCTTCTAGTACGGGTGCAGCACCTGAACCTAAAGGTGAATAAGCAGCGGGTGTGATACCTTTTGATTGCAGATAGAGAACGAGATCGTGCTCGGGAAGGAAAGGGTGAGCTTCGATTTGGTTACTCGCAGGTACGATCTTGGCAGTCTTTAGCAGATCTTCCATGAAAGGTTTTGATACATTGGAGACACCAATCGCACGGGCTTTTCCCTTTGCTACCAGAGCTTCCATTTCTTTCCATGTTTCGTTCAATGTTCGTTCATCATCAAGATCACGGCTGCCATCTTCACGCAATGGGATTTTTTCATCTCCTTTTTGACGAAGGGCGACTGGCCAATGAATGAGTAAAAGATCAACATAATCCAATCCCAAACGTTGTAAAGAGATATCAATTCCTTCTTCAACTCTACGATGGAAAGTTCCCCAAATCTTTGTTGTTACAAAGAGTTGATCACGAGGAATATTAGAGTTTTTGATGCCTTTTCCAACGGCTACTTCATTATCGTATGCGAATGCACAGTCTAAATGACGAATACCGGCTTTCAAAGCAACTTCTACTGCTTTTGTAACTTGTTCGTCTGGTGATCTCCAAGTACCTAGTCCGAGGATAGGAACAGTAGCTCCCGTATTGAGTTTGAGGGAATCTGTGCCAGCTTTGATAGAGGGATATTTGGCAGAAGTCATCTTGGCAAAAGAACAATGATGGTGGGGAAAAAGGAAAGAGGATATTGATTCGTTGGCAACGTTCTTCTATATATGCATTACCGCCGGCTAATCGGACCGCACTGGTAAGTCTCCCCCACGCACAAAACATTAGCGTACCAGTTTTGGTGGACTACATTCCTCTTAGTAAGCAGCTCTATTAGGACGCGTATTCAGGCTTACTTACCTTTTGGAATATTAGCCGAGAAGAATGAGAAGAAGTATGAGTAGCATACAACAAAGGGAAATGATTCAAATCATATACGGATTCCCGTCCATGCTTCCATCTTAGCACAACCATTGTCGTTGCAGTTAATATGGCAGACAAGCCCAACCCTGCGACAGCCACACCGGCCTCGCAGCCACAAGCAAGTGGTGCAAGCGGGAATGCTTCGTCATCTGCTCCACCTCCAGGTATGCTTGCAAGAAGATTTCCAGGATTGCATGGACGATATGAAAGAGCACGATCAAGTCGATTCGGTCGAATGTCTTCCACATTCTGGACAAGAAGGCGACCAATTTTGATCACTTTGGCTGTCTCATACGGTGTGATCAATTATGCATTGGTAAAACGTGATGCTTATATCCGCGACCACATTCATCCGGATTCTTGGTTAGTGATGAAAGTATACCCTGGAGCAATCGTAGAATGCAAATCAACACCATCGCTTGCACGCTTGTTGTCAACGCCTACACCTGGTGAAGATTTACCAAGACAGATGGACTTGTTTGAAACATTACGTGCTATCAAATGGGCAAGAGATGATCCAAGGATCAAAGGACTTTTTGCTGATTTCAGTGGACTGCATGTTCCTTCTTCCGTTGTACCTGAATCACTTGGTCTTGCACAAATTGAAGAGCTTGTTGAAGCAATTCACGAATTCAAAATCATCAAAAAGCAACAACGACAGCTAGCAGCTCAACAAAAGCAACAAATTGAGCAAGAGAAGATGGAAGCGTCTCCGCCGGCAGACAAAAGAAGCAAAGAAGATACAGAGAAATTCGAAACAGAGGCATTCATGAGAGAAGTCGAGGGAGATGGCAAAGAGGGAGCAACCATCGCGGACAAGGTTGCAAAGATTGCTAAAGAGGGACCATCTGAGATCCAAAAAGCAGAGGAGATCAAACCTCAAGCAGATGAAACAGTGACGATCGCCTGGGCCGATACCTTTAACAGCCAGGGATCTTACTTGCTCGCTAGTGCGTTTGAGAAGCTATACGTTCAGCCTTCGGGATCTATTCCATTGACGGGTACACGTATGGAAATTCCCTTTTTCAAGAAAGCGTTGGACTGGGTAGGTATTAAGGTACATGCAGAAGCTAGAAAGGAATTCAAGTCGATGGTATCCTCTTTCATTCAAGATGAAGAGCTGCCTCCAGCGCAACTGGAGGATGAATCACGACTATTGGGAGAATTGAGCAGAAGCATCGCTCATGGTATTGGAGTGAATAGATATCCAGATATGGAACACGACGCCGCTGCTGACAAAGTCATGCAAATGACCAGAGAAGGTCCATTTACCGCAAAAGATGCAGAAGCAAAAGGTCTCATCACAGCAGCAAAGTACAAGAGAGAAATTCTGAAAGAACTAGGCGAAGAGCCGAAGCTACGGTCTCTGTCATCTTATTCTAGGGTAACAAATACTCTTTTGGAACGCAGATTGAATGAAGATGAACGTGTGAATGTCGCAATCGTGTATCTTTTGGGCGGCATTAGTAATGCTCCGGGTGAGTTTGCCGCTTCACAAGCTATCAAAGGATTACGTGAAGCAGGTGAAGATGAAGATGTGACCAGTATCGTTCTACGTATCAATAGCGGTGGTGGTGATGTAGGTGCATCAGATTCACTTTGGGATGCAGTAAAGAGGGTTCAAGAAGAATACAAGAAGCCCGTCATTGCCTCTTTTGGCAATATTTCCGCTTCAGGTGGATATTACGCTGCTGCAGGAGCAGATGCAATCTTTGCATGTGAATCTACGGTGACTGGTTCGATTGGTGTTGCAAGTCTACGTCCAACGGTCACAAAGAAGTTTTTCGATAGAATCGGGATAAGTATGCAAACCATCTTTAGCGGCAGTAACATGTTGAGCTTATTCCATGAGCCGGATGAGGAAAACAGAAGAAGACATGCAAAGAATACGGATGATACCTATGAAGACTTTCTGGAGAAAGTTTGTACGGGTCGTAGTATCTCAAAGGACGTCGTTGATGAGCTTGCTGGTGGTCGTGTATGGACTGGTTTGGCCGCTTGGGTACATTGTAACCCTGTGACCGAGTCGGATGAAACAGAAAAACACCAGCCGTTCTCCAAAGCGACTGAAAAAGTAGAAAGCAGTGAAGCCAACAAGTCCGAACCTCAATCTGGTTTGGATACGCTAGATCAAGAAAATCAAGATCTGGAGAACGCACTTGCAGCCGTTCCTCCGATAAAGATTGCCAACTTGCACAATGACTGGAAAGCTGTCAATGTTGGAAAGGCGGAAGAAATGAAGACCTACCAGATCGAATCAGTTCCTTTCCCCGAAGATAGCAAGCAGAATGTAAACTCTCCCAAAGCTAAGGCAAACCAAGAGGAAGAGGCGGAAGAGTCAAAAGTCATGCAAGCTATCCATGAAGCAATAGAGACCGTCGTCGGAGATGATGATCTGGACGATGAATCACGCTTAGCAAAAGCAGCACATGATGAAGCCGAAAAGACAAACGGCCATAACAAAGAGAAAGATGCGGAAGGGGCGGTAGACATAAAGAAGGAGCCCGAACTGGGACCATACGGTAGGGGACTGATCGATCAGATTGGTGGAATTTGGGAGGCTTCCCATTATGCCTTATCGCTTTCGGTTCAACGTGAAATTGACAGGCTGGTACAAGAGGAAAATATGACGTTAGAACAAGCAAGTAGAAATGTATTCCCAGGCGCCAAACGTGAAGTGTCGGAAGATGGCGTGATGGCTCTTGCAACGGATCTCCGTTTGGTACGTTATCCCAAGGAAAAGACATTCTATGAACGGGTAGCAGAGATGAGAAAGAAAGGTGATGAACCGCAATTGTCTACATTTTTCCCAAGTGTGGCTAATTTAGGATTCCAGATCAGAGAGTATGTTTCTGATTTGGCCGTTCAATTGTTTGTTCGTTCATGGAGTGATCCTCAATTCATGCAAAAGATTCAAACGGCCATGGAACAAGAGCAAAAGATTAAATTAGAACGTCAGCATCATGTTCAATTTTAATGCAATGCAATACCACTTCAGTTGTAAGAGCACCGCCCTGAGCCCAATTTGATGATGCTGTGTAAGTGATTCGGCGCTTAAGGCTTCTTTTTTTGTACTTTACGTTAGCCGTGAATGTTGAATCAGATCGCGTATGCAGCCGGTGAAGTTGCCGTGCATAATTAGGGCACAAAAGCAGTAAAGATAATTTTAGAAGATTTACACAAATTGTTCGGAGTTTAACTTTTTATTGAATGGCCACCATCATCAATTCAAAATGTCTGGATCCTCAGGTGGTCCCTCTGCTGTTTTGTCTGCTGATGATGGCTTACCACAAAGACCACAGCCTCCTTTTAAGCTGAGCAGAGCATCCAAAGATATCGCTTTTGGCTCGCTGGCAGGAATGGTGTCCAAGGTGTTCGAACATCCGTTTGATCTGGTAAAGGTACGATTACAAACCCAACCTTCCGATAGACCTGCAATGTTCAAAGGAGCATTTGATTGCTTTCGTCAAACATACGTAAAAGAAGGAGCTCGTGGACTGTTTAGAGGGCTATCAATGCCTGTCTTTGGCGCCACCCTGGAAAATGCCTCGCTATTTTTTACATATAATTTCGTTCAAGGACAATTGAGACAGTATAACGGACTTTCAACACCTTCTTCCTCTTCTTCGCTAGAGGAAGATGCAGAGAAACCACTTTCGATGGGATATTTGGCAATCGCTGCTGCTTGTGCTGGATCGGTAACTAGTGTCGTTCTCACGCCAGTCGAATTGATCAAGTGCAAAATGCAGGTGCAAATGGTGGCAAGAGAGGTGGATATATTGTCAAAAGGGGCGACACCATCATCAATCACATCCTCTTCAAAGCATATTCCCTCAACAACTGGAGCTTCGGTTGTGAGAAATATGTCATCGAATGCATTTACGGCTGGGCTGGATGGTCCACTAACGATTCTCAAAAAAGTGATCAGACAAGATGGGATACGTGGTCTTTGGCTAGGTCAGACGGGAACACTGCTTCGAGAAACGGGAGGCGGTGTAGCTTGGTTCTTGGCGTTTGAATATGGATGTCGAACGATGATCGAAGCAAAACGGAAAGCAGCCCCGAATTCGGATACTCCCATCACAAAGAAAGATCTTGGAACGATGCAATTAATCGGAGCAGGTGCTTTAGCAGGAATAAGTTATAATGTCGTTCTGTTTCCGGCTGATTCCGTTAAATCTACCATGCAAACAGAACGTGAATGGGCATCTTCTGGAATGAGCGGACAAACACAATTCAAACAAAGAGGTTTCCTGGCAACCCTTTCAAACATATACAAGACCAGAGGCATTCGTGGATTGTATGCAGGATGCGGTGTAACGTGTATGAGAAGTGCACCGAGTAGCGCTTTAATTTTCTTATTGTACAACAGACTAGAAGCATTAGCAGATGATTGGGGTATTTAGACAAGGTCAATGTCAATTCATAGATTCAAATGCAATTATATCCAAATATTTCTATAGCTGAACATCTTTTGCCCATTCGGTAAATGTCTTGGTGATTTCACGATCGATTGATAATAGATAGGGCAACTTGACCACCGGTTTCGGATCGAGATCAACCAGGTGTGTGTGGATGACAGGTTCATTAGGTCCATCACTAATGCGAATGAATAGCGAACAATCTTTGTACGATGTTGAGAGCAGAAAGCTTGCGATCAATTCGCGAAGGCTTAGATTTTTCTCCCCGCTGCCTACCTTTGCAAGCATGCTCTCATACTCTGCCAAGGATATACTCATCTCATCTGTTCGGTCCAATAGACTTTTTCCTTCTTGTCTTTGTGCTTCTTTATCGACACCTTCTACATCGATCGGATCATAGCGCTGTTGCAGTGTACGCAATCGTTTCAAAATCGTTTGCACTTGCTCTGAAGCGAGGATGCGGGCAACCGCTTGTGCAAGGTTGAGGTTTGGGTCGTTATAGAGCTTTTTGGTCAATGTTTCAGCTTGCTCCATGATACCGGCGCCACCTTCTATCACTGATGTGGGGTGCTCGACTTTCTTACCGTCCAAGAAGATACGCAGGTTGTTTTCACGGCCTTGCTGCCAAGAGGCATACAAAGCCGTTGCCGCCTTTTCAACTCGATCAGGTTGCCCGCTATACAAGTCCAATGGATCGTATAGCGCCTCAAATTCTTCCTTTGTTAATTTGGCATCCCCCTTCAAGACGGAATGCATTCGGAAACGGGATGTACTTTGCTTCCATGCATCTCCTTCCTTGGGTAAGAAGCCACATTTAGGTTTGATCTCCAGAATCAAGCAAGGGTGATTTGGGATTGGGGCACTCAAATCTTCTGTGATGAATACCTCGGAAGGCTTATCTGCATCGATACCTGTTTTGAGTCGACGCTCTATCGGTCTTAGGCCCTCAATCTTTGAGATAATAAAGCGTAAGAAAGAGTTTAAAGCCTTGGTCGATTCAACTCGGATGAGAGGAGGTACAAGCTCATCACTTCCTGCATCGGCAAGATCGGGCAATAGAATACGCTCCTGCCACTCTTCTGAATCAATCTCCTGCTCATCTCCACCTTTTTGCTGGATATTCGATGATGATGATGAAGGCTCGCTTGAAATTGATGCACCTTTATCATTTAGCTGTTGGCGTGACGATTTCCCAATACGCAAGGCCATCCGTCTTCCATCTCGAGTATTGACGAATGGATACACATCTGGGCCTGTATATCTCAGTAGAAGATTCTTGCCCCCTTCCGCCAAGTAAGTCCAATGACGAGCGTCCAATTGATCTGCATTTACGGGAATAGGCCAAGAGTCACCTTGTGTACTTGTAGGATTGGTGGATTGCAAAGCTTCCCTTCTTTTAGCCTGTTGACTTGAAGATATGGATGATTTGAATGGCGTTGTATGGGTCGGATGGAATGGTGTGGGTGGCATTTTTGTTGCTCTGGGTCAAGAAGAAAGCCGTGCAAACCATCAAGTGATCGAATTGGAAGAATGCATGCATTGATGGGTTACTTTATACGCTAATGCAGATGCTTAGTGAGCAGCAACATGGAAACCAACACTTTAGGAAATCGCGTGACGCGAACGCGCTTTTTGCTTGCAACGCGCATTAATGAATGGCTCTCTTGAATGCAACACTTTCTATCCAACAGCCTTCTTCAACATCACCACAACATCAATATACCCTATCCATTTACGATAACTTTTTATTTATTTGACTTTCACCTCGCAAATTGAAGCAAGATGTTCTACAGCGACGTCATCTTGTCAAAACGCGGTCCTTTGGCTAAGGTATGGCTTGCTGCTCATGCTGAGCGAAAGTTGACAAAATCACAACTATTACAAACGGATATCGAACAGACAGTTTGTGAGTGACGAGACATAAAGGATCATTTCGAAAATGAAAGACTGACCAGCTTCCTCTCTCTCTTCCGCAGCTTCTATAATTGGTCCTGATGTGGTTCCTATGGCACTACGTCTATCCGGTCAATTGTTGTTGGGTGTCGTTCGCATATATTCAAGAAAGACAAAGTATCTATTAGAAGATTGCAACGATGCTGTTAGCAAGCTGAAAACTGTAAGTTGTTGATCGCCACTTTACACGTCTTGTTGAACGCGTCGCTGATCGCGTTTCTCACTCTCCACAGGCTTTCCGAAGCGGTGCAATCGATTTCACAGCAGATTCAGCTGCTGCCGCTGCCGCTGCTGGAGATGTCCAAGGACAACAACATAACAACGTCACACTTCCAAATACACGAACAGCATACGATTTAGCTTTACCCGATCCAGCTTTGGAAGGATGGGATGCAGAAAGTTCTGTGGGAGGAGATTTGTCAAGTAGAAGATCGATTGCACGTTCTGATCGGTATACCGCCAGACCGGAAGATATCACGCTTCGAAGATATTTCGACCCTGCTGGTTCGGGAAGTGCAAGGAATAGCGATTCTTTCGGTTGGGCGTCAGGTGAATTCTTTGATCCCGACGCTTCCAATGGAGAATTTCATTCACCACGTCCTGACGTATTGCAAAGACGTGATTCACAGGGCAGACTGATTGATGAAAATGGAGACTTGATTTTGGAAGGAGATGACGATGCTTCCAGTATTGGTATTGGACGTGACGCACAAATGCAAATGGGAGGTGCTAGACCAAGCTTGACAGCAGGAGATTTGACAGGATTCGATAGTCTAGGCATGGATGATTTCATGATGGCAGACGATCTTGCCGGTGGTATCTCTGGAGCAGGAGAAGGTGGTTTGGATTTGGGATTGGAAGAATTTGACGCTCAGAGACGATCAATGACACCAGTACGCGACACACGTTCATCTTCGGTCAGATTGGAGAATCTATCACCAAGAACGACGCTCAGAGTACAACAAGCTGCTGAAAAACGAGCACAAGCAGCACAGAGGAAGCGCAAACAGATCATCGATTCTCGAACTCAATTGGATGATTCCACGCAAAGACGTCAAATAACGCAAGGAACAGCTGGAATCGTTTTGGCAGAACCAAGCTTTTTGCCAGCCAAACGCAGTCATTTACACCTTTTGGAATTGCAAGCCGATCCTATAAAAGGCGTTTTACCGTTCTCACAAGCAGACAATGCAAGGCAGATTTTTCACTCTGCTCGTACGTTAGCTCCTGAATTGAGTAAGCTGTTCACAGTTGATGCTTCAGCTTTGCTACGAAGACGGACTGAGTTGATTGAGGATGTTGCACAAGCACCCGCAAGGCCACAAAAGCGCATTCGTGCCGAAGGAGAAGAAGAAGAGCAAGAAGATGACTTTGCCAGTGAGATCGGAAGACGTGCTGTTGATACGCAAATGCAACTTGGAGCGGGAGCAGATTTAACATTCGAATCAATGGACGATTATGATCCATTTGCCAATCAACCAGAAGGTGAGATTAGTCTAGGCCCAGGAGGTTTCGATCTGGGAGAAGACCCTGTTGAACAAACTCAAACCGGATTGAGAAGATCGCAACGTAAGCGGCCAACGAACGTCCAAGAGGACCTGGAGGCAGAAGAAGAAAGAAGGAGACGGACAGCATTCCAACAGGAGGGTGATCTTGGCAGACTTGGAACGCCAGAAGAAGGTTCTATAGTTGGCTCTTCCTATGAAGATGTTTCACCTACACCTTCTTATCCTCTCCGTGCATTTGATGCACCTGCTGCCGGTGACGTAACTGCAGCTTCTTCCGCATCAGCTGTGGGTATGAGCAGAAACACGTTACGAGCAATCAAGGTGTTGAAAACGCAGCTATCACCTGAAGATGAAGAAGAGGGTGAAATGCAATTCAGTGAAGTGACAAAGAATGCTTCTCGTCGAGCTGCTTCTGCTTTCTTCTTTGAAATTCTTGCTTTGGGTACAAAAGATTGCCTGCGTGTAGATCAAGAAGACCCTTTTGGTGAAATTAAGATTAAAGCCAAACCTGGCTTATGGTCAATGCAACGATCTGGAAGCGTTGCTGTTTGATTCTATCCCCTCTTCTTTTGGAAGGTTGATCTTGTTCTTTTATCTGTATTTATCTTTTCATGCTTTGCAAATATGCTAAATTATCACACATGTACAAACAGTATAATGCAATTTTATATCTATTTTGCTATTTCACAATTTTGAACAATTCATTTGCCTTCTGCAACTTCCCTTTGCAGAACAAGCAGACAACTTTCGACAATGTCACATGCCTTGTTTACCTGTTCGGAGTTAACGATCAAACTTGGTGTGAAACGAAGCGCATCAGATCCCGCGCTCAAGATGATCAATCCTCTTTCTCTTGCAAGTTTGAGTACTCTACCCGCATGGCTTGGCTCCTTCAAACTCATTCCCACAAGTAGCCCCTTGCCTCTTGGACTGTGTTTGCCGGAAGATTCATCATGTGCGATCAAATCAGGGAAATGTTGACGCATCTGCGTTAAACGGTTAAAGAGTAGTTGGGATGATTCTTGTAATCCGTTCAATAACGTTGGCTCGGTTAATCTTCCTAGAACGTGATGTGCAATGCGACTAGTAAGTGGGCCACCGCCGAACGTTGTTCCGTGGTCGCCCACCGTTATTGCATCTGCTACCTTTTGCCTCATCAGAACAGCACCAATAGGAAAACCATTCGCAAGGGGTTTAGCCATTGTCACGAGATCGGGATGTGCATCTGTTGGCAATGCGCTATGACACCATAGTGTTCCCGTTCTCATTAGACCGCACTGTATCTCGTCAAACATCAGCAAAGCTCCTACTTCATCACATCTGCGACGCAATGCTCGCAAGAATTCTAGTGAAGCAGGGAAGATACCGCCTTCTCCTTGAACAGGTTCCACGAGCACACCGGCTGTCTTGTCGTCAATTAAGGTGTTGATGTCTTCTATCGAATTGTATGTTCCTGTTTTGACATTCCCGATCAAAGGTGCAAAAGGAGCTTGATATTTTGGATTTGGCGTCATTGACAGAGCACCCATAGTACGACCATGAAAAGCATTATTGAACGAGACAAGACCCGATTTCTCTCCTGGTCCAGTCTTTGCTGTGTTCATTGCATACTTCCTTGCAAATTTCAATGCTGCCTCATTGGCTTCTGTACCGCTATTTGCCAAGAAAACCTTTAATGAATTGTCGTTCTTTGTTCCTTTCTCCACACCTAAACCTCCATGCTCAAACGTGAGCGAGACCATCCTATCAGCTAGTTCACCGCTCCATTCGTTGTGAAAGAGATTACTGCTATGTACGAGTCTATTTGCTTGCTCGTATGCGATATCGGCTATCTGTCCATCAGCATGTCCAAGACTATTGACAGCAATACCCGAAGAGAAGTCCAAGTATTGTCTTTCAGCCACTCCTTCTTGCGATGAAGTAGATGAAGTTGCATCTTTTTCATCAATCTTAGCAAACAAATCCAAACCTTTTCCTCTTGTTAAAAGAACTGCAGGTCGAGAATACGTTGCAAGGGTTGCATTATTGAATCGATCAAGCGTCTTTGATACTTCCGAAACTGCATCAACCTTTCCATCTGGATGTGTTACGTCCATGTACGATGAACAAGGTTCGTATGCGCTACTTGCATAGCCTCTAAAGGCTCTTTTGGGTGCATATCTGGCCAAAGCCCTTCCAGCACGAGGAACAATCATGTTTGTTTAGGGGTCGATGATGGTAGCAATGTCCAAAAGATGAATAATCATTGGAACTTATATGCACTGTATAGCCCTTTGCCCGAACAACGCTTTGTCCGATAACACTTGCACACTGCTTATCTGCCTTTAAATCTAATCTCCAGTCATTCAAAACTTTCTTCTGAAATTTGTGTTAGTGAATCTGCTTATCGGATTTGACTCATGCTACGCGCTGTACCTGGGCACACACCGCTGCCGCGTCTTGCCGTCAATTCTTAAAAAAGATCTTCTAAACATTCTGTTCCATGAGAGTTATTCATGAAAGCCTTTTCATATATACTATCACTCCTTTATTCCATGCAACGTTCAGATATGTTTATTTATGATTTCGATGTAAGAAACAAGATGTGTATTGTATAGAGGAAAAAGAAATGAATGCGATGCAATGATCATGGTTTGACATTCTAGTGTAATGGCAAGAAAGCCAATTTTTGTTAAAGTTTAGCATGCATGCATCGAGAGGCACTATATAAAATCATTCCAATCATCATTCAAACGATCGATCAACTTATTCCTTAGACATCTTTGATGCCTTCTCTTGGGCTTCTTCAATTCCACCAACCATGTAGAAAGCACCTTCGGGAAGAGCGTCATGTTGACCGGCCAAGATTTCCTTGCATGCACGGACAGTGTCCTTCAATGCGACCAAACGACCTTCGATACCTGTGAAAACTTGGGCGACTGCGAAAGGTTGACTCATGAAACGTTGCATCTTACGTGCACGTTCGACGGTCAATTTGTCTTCTTCTGACAATTCATCCATACCCAAAATGGCAATGATATCTTGTAGAGATTTGTAGTCTTGCAACAACTTTTGCACTCCGGTAGCAACGTTGTAGTGTTCCTTACCAACGATGGCAGGGTCCAACATACGAGATTTGGAGTCAAGAGGGTCGACAGCTGGGTAAATACCCAATTCGGCAATACCACGGGACAATGAGGTTGTGGCGTCCAAGTGTGCGAAAGTGGTGGCAGGGGCAGGATCGGTCAAATCATCTGCAGGCACGTAAACGGCTTGCACGGATGTAATGGATCCCTTCTTGGTTGTGGTAATACGTTCTTGCATACCACCCATATCAGTGGACAAAGTAGGTTGGTAACCGACAGCAGATGGAATACGACCCAACAATGCAGAGGTTTCAGAACCAGCTTGGGTGAAACGGAAAATGTTGTCAATGAAAAGCAAGACATCTTGACCTTCTTCATCACGGAAATATTCAGCAATGGTCAAACCGGTCAAAGCAACACGAGCACGGGCTCCTGGTGGTTCGTTCATTTGACCGAACACAAGTGCCACCTTGGATTCACCATCAAGGTTAATGACACCAGTTTCAATCATTTCATGGTACAAATCGTTACCTTCACGGGTACGTTCACCAACTCCAGTGAAAACAGACACACCACCGTGTGCTTTGGCAATGTTGTTAATCAATTCTTGAATCAACACAGTCTTTCCGACACCTGCACCACCGAACAAACCAATCTTACCACCACGGGCGTATGGGGCAAGCAAATCGACGACCTTGATACCAGTTTCCAAGACTTCTGCTTGTGTAGATTGGTCAATGAACTCTGGTGGTTCGGCGTGAATGGAGGCTTGTTTGTTACCCTTGATTGGTCCACGTTCATCGATTGGTTCACCAATGACATTGATAATACGACCCAAAGTACCTGGACCGACGGGAATTTGAATTGGGTTACCTTGATCGACGACCTTTTGACCACGGACTAAACCTTCGGTACCGTCCATGGCAATGCAACGAACAGTGTTTTCACCCAAATGTTGAGCAACTTCCAAAACCAAACGACCGGATCCCTTTGGCATTTCCACTTCGATAGCGTTCAAAATTGCTGGCAATTTTTCAGCATCACGGAAAACACAATCGACAACTGGTCCGACGACGGCTTGAATTTCACCGTTCAAGTTGAATGCAGTTGCGGTTGCGGAAAAGTTACGTGAGAAAGCTGAAGGTCCAGCACGCAAAGCAGAACGTGCGATTGGGGTAGGACGGTGCAACATCGATGCTGCTGAAGGAGCAGAGCGCGTTGCCGAGCGCAATGCGGCACGGAAGGGAACCTGCATTTTGTGTATGTAGGGATGACCGACAATGCAAGTTTGAAATGTAGATGGTGGTCAAAAGTTGGAGGGATTGCAAAAAGACGGAAAACAGAAGAAGGTGCAACGCTTCTTGCTTAAGCCTTTGGGCGCGCGCGCAAGCATTCGTCCGGTATTCGCTTCTTCTTCTTTTTTGAGGGAAAAAAGGTACATTGTCAGTGTACGCCTTGCTAGAAGAATGAATTGACACGCGCACGCAAAGCTTCCTGTCCTTCCGAGTGCGTGTGTGTGTGTGTGGTGTACGCCCTGTAAGCAGAGATAGATGCTAGGCTAAGATTAAGAAGAATTTATTGAGCTGGCTTTGCGTTGTTGGTTTTGCTAGCAGAGAGGTAATTAATCAGATTTTGCGGGCGCATGGGCGTAGACCGACTTTTACCGGGATAAATGACCGCGGCCACGTGTGTAAAAAGGTGCCAAAACACTTTTAAGACCGTCACGTTTCTATGCAGCAAAAATCACCTAATGCACGGCCATTGAATTGGTGTTGGTTATACAATGAGATGCGGAGTTAGCATGATCATATCATATACTAGCAACCATCTCTGTTTCATTATTATCCAACAATGAGTCAACATCCAGCATTCACAATGGCTGCTCTTTGCAGTGTGGGCGGAATCATTGGTTTCGCAAAGACTCGATCTTTGCCTTCCATCGTGGCAGGATTAGGTGTAGGTGCTGCTTATGCTTACGGTGGCTATCGTATCAAAGAGGGACAAGATTATGGATATGAAATATGTGCTGCTGCTTCTACCCTACTATTAGCAAGTTCAGCACCAAGAATGCGAAAAGGCCCTGTTCCTGCTGGTTTGACAGCTGCTTCTACCGTGGCTTTGGCATACTATGGTAAAAAGGTGAGTACCTAGGTAAATGACTTGATGATGTAACACATGCTAAACTTGAAATTATTGTTTCATCAGGTATACGACTTCCGACAATAAGCATCGGGAATCACCTTGTATAACAGCTCCTCACACCACTCGCTAATTCACTGATTAATGCATGATCGATTAGGCGGAAAATAGTACAAGATGCGTAAATGCATTACTACAGATTGAGATAGATGAAATAGAGAGATTACAGCAAGATTAAGTTGTAGAAAAGCATTCATTCAAGGGAAGAAGTAGTTCCATGCCCAAACGACAGCTTTGATACCCAAAGCACTGAGAATAGGCAAGCTCAAATTGTCATCCACACCTCCTAACTCCAAAGCCTCGGCCACACCGCCGACGATACCACTTCCAATGCAGAGCAATGAAAGAGGGATCGGGTTGCTACCTTCGTTTGCCAGTAAACGTCTTCGTCCAATTTGTGCGATTGGTGTTGCCCAGAACAAAGTAGCCGTCAAGCAGGCAACGGAAGCAGCAGCGATTGTGCCTGCCAATGACTTGCGTGTTGCAAAAGGTGGAGATGGCAAAGGTGGAGTGTATTTGCCAAACAATCTTCCAAACACTGAAGCTGCAGTGTCAGCCCAAGAGAGAATCATGATTGAAACGCAAGCGATATCTTCTGGTAAAAAGCTCAAACAGAAAAGAACACCAGCCAAATACCAAACGACTCCATTGACTTTTTGCTTTTCTGACTCACGCATGAGAAAGCCTAGTACTTTTTCGTAAAGCCACTCGAACGAAGGTATATTGAGTCGAAGCACATCCGCTGTAACGACAACGCCAAGGAAATAGCCCAAATTGCGAACGATGATCGTTAGATCAGTTTTGGAAACATAAAGGTAAAGGACAACGAATCCGATACTAGAATGAAAGACCTTTCTTGGAATCTCCCAACTTTTAGCCTTTTTCTTTTCTCTTTTGATGACTTCGTCTGAATTCGATCGATGAGCTCCAACGATTTTTGCAACCTGTTTGTCATCCTTTCGTTTACGTAGACCTTCTCGATTTTCTCTTCCGGTCTGCTTGGCTTCTTCTGTTAGACAGTTTCCGTCAGGAGAATGTGGTACACTGCCATTCGTCAGTGATGGACCAGGCATATTGTCCAAATTTCCTTCCCTTCCTTCATCTTCATATCCACTGTCATCGATTTCGTCTTCCGGTGCTCTAGCCAAAGCACGTAGTACGGCTACGCCCTTTTGAAACGAAGCAGAACGTGCTCGGCCAGGCATCCTACGTCGTTCGCCTGATTGTTTGCCGTTTGCATCACCGTTTGAAGTGACTGAATCACCGTTAACTTTTGTGGCAGTGTTTGATGACGTAGATGAAGCGTTCATCTTGGTTTGCGGTGTTTCTGTCCACTTTTCATCTATTGACGTTAATGCCTCTACTGACGAGGGTATTGGAGATGTTGGCTCTCTTGTCAATGTAGAGGCAGATGAATCACTTCTTACACTTCTACGTGTGCTCATTCGTGATTGTGATCAGTATAGTTGGGCGTTCAATCACTTTTGATGATGAAATAGGCCTCCTCCTTTGGCCTGTGATGTTGATGGAGAAGGGAAGATTGAGAGTGTAATAATTTCAAGCCCGTTCTATTTCAAGCCCGCCCTACCAATCACAATAATACACTTGTTTGTGTGAAATTGAGTTTTGAGTGCATGGAACACGCGAAAGTTTCTCTTATTTGAGAGGAGCTGTTGTTGCTGCATTTGATTGGAAACGCGTCCAAAAATAGGCGTGAATAATGTGTGCCGTGTAGGAATGAAAAGATAACACACACAAGCCTTTGCACTGCGCACGCACGCCCGCCTACTGAAAGAAGAAAGTTTAATCATGCCTTGTTGCACTCGGTAAGATAAAGCCTGGATGGATGTATTTGGAATTTAACTGGCAGTAGCAAGTAGAAGGTGGAGAGAGAAGCCGTGCATGTTCCTAAAGTTTGTTCTGAAGAAAAAAGGGAGGAGGGGATGACGATGAACCCCCTTCTCCTCTTGTTGCAAATCAACCCTACCTAACTCAAAACATCTCATTTGGTGGCAAAGAGGGTCGACTGGAAAAAGGGGTGAAAAGATTGAAGTATTGAAAGTCGCTCTTGTTCATCAACAATCACACACCGCCTATACCCATCCTCGATTCATCACGCAAATCGGGTCATTTCGGTGTGATCTCATCGTCTTTGTAACCTTTGATTACGTAGGGAGGTGATATTCATTCACATTATTCGGACGCCGAAAGGAAAAGTTAAAGGCGCCGACATCTAGCTTACGTATTTAGAGGTCACCTTCATTCACACTATAGAGCACAAAAGCCGGCAAAAAGTTTAATCTATCAGCATTTTTGGACCGATTGCTCATCCCAAAATCTTCGGAGCTCGATCACAGCCTCCGTATCGATTCGCATACCTTATCCGAACGTGTGTGCTAGGATAACGTCATAGAGTATTATTGTGAGTATTGAGAATTAAATTGCGATTTGACAGCATTCACTCGAGAAGAAGGCTGGACCATCAATGGCTCTACTCCTCTTCACACGCAAAGAGGCGCACACCATTCGGCGTAAAAGCACTTTGGATAATAATTCATGCGTATACGCCGCCATTGGTGATCTCGTGAAGTGCCAAGAGGATCGGACGATTGCTATGACGAACGTATATAAGCATATAAATTACTGACCATAAAAACCTTACCTCCTTTGCTATCTTTCACTTTCTAACTCACAATCTTTCAATCCGTCTTCATGGCCACCATCAACGATCCTGATCAAATCGATCTTACCTACGAATGGGATGATGATATATTGCCAATCTCAGACGTACGTTCAGGCGCTCGATTTCATCTCTCTGCTGATCGTGTTTTACAGTCAAGCGTACCTTATTTACTCTCATTACTTGCACAATATCAACTTGAACAAGGTCAAAAAGAGGTTTATCGACATAGTCGCACAACAAGTTTCTCAAATTGTCCTTTGAGCGAATCAAACTATCGTTGTGGTAAGGCAGAAGTTGCTGCCAGATTTGAAGATACGATTGCTGAAATCACACGTACGCATACTGCAAAACAACAGACTTGGCTTGACGAACAGGCAATCGAAGAAGCAGATTTTAAACCAATAATGGACCAACATACAAATAAGCTCGAATTGAGCGGGATGTCTGGGCCTTCTGCTGAAGCAAAGGGAAACGCAACACAATGCAGGGCAGGAGAAACCACCTGCGAGGCACCACTTTCTCCTGAAGTATACGCAGAAGAACCACCGCCAAGCTTTGGTGCAGCCTTTGCTTCAGCTGCCGCGCAAAAACAACCTCATGCTCACGAACAAGGCAAGAAGGGCAACAATGATGGATCATACTTCAGTAAATCTGATGCACAATGGGCTGCCGATGCGCTTCGTCAAGCAAAGAATGCGGACGGAGAGATTGATAATAGTCTGTTAGCTGCAGCTGCTGCTTCAAGATACAGCAAAAGTCATCCATCAACACCACAAACAACAAATACATCATCACTTCCAACACGATCAACTAAGGCCAGTCAAAGTTCAAGTTTGCACGACCGTGCAAAAGTTGGTGGCAACAATGGTGAGAATCACTTACCACATGATGAATTGCATCCTCCATCAATTGCAGCCCGCCCAGAAGAATTTCCCACACTTTCAGAAATACGAGACGAGATTCAAGACTTCGAACAGGATTATGCGGGAAGACATCCCGATGAGCCATTATCGGGAAGGATCATCCACGTAAGTCATTTCATCCCATTCGTGATCAGAGCGCTGGCAGAAGTAGAATTTGAAAAGAAGCGGGAAGCCAAAGTGACCGCAACGGCAACCGTTGCGGCAATGGCAGCAGCTGCAAGGGCGAAGAAAGCAGCTAAATTAGCCGGTGAAATGACCGTTGGACAAGACGGTAGCGGCCAACATGGCCCACGCAAAGGCTCTTTCTTGGAAGGGATGAGCGAGACTACAGATATGGACAAACGACTTGCCGAGAATCAAGCGCGAGCCAAAATACGAGCAGGCAGAAAGGCGTGGATGATGACACCGATGCTTCAAACAGACGAGAATGCCATTGATGAGAACGAGGAGCTGGAGATTAATGATCGCTTCACACCTGTTGGCTCTCGCCGTGGTTCAGTATGGACGGAAGCCTCGAATATGGCGAACGAGACAGAGATACGCTATAGCGCTGTATCTGATGAGAATTCCCCATTGCGGACCCCACCTGCGATAAAGAAGATCGATTCTCCGCCTCCACCGCCTCCTCAATGGGTATTAACACCACGTCGTGGACATACTGCTTTGAACAGTGGTATTCGCAGCCTATGTGCTACGCACAAACAAACATACATCGGATGGCCCGGAGATATCCACTTTGCAGCCCAGGCCAAGAATGATGAGCGAAAAAGTGCATCACAAACAACACAGGATGAACGCGCTCAAATTGAACGAATTTTAGCAAGCTTAGATAACCCCAAGAATTGGGCAGCTCAAGAGATTGGTGGGACAGCAAGTCACGATAAAGGAGATCAATCAACCCGTGTTCCTTCACCACGGATGAATGGTGCTGAGCCGATTGAGATCGATGCGGGAACACACAAGAAACGTAAAAGTGGGAACGAGGCACAATTTGGCATAAAATACGTTCCCGTCTGGCTTGATGATGATATTGCTCATGGTCATTATGAAGGCTATTGCAAAACCACTCTCTGGCCATTGTTCCATTATCTTCTATGGCAAGATGTTTCTGGAGATCGAAGAGAGTGGGACACGTTTACCTGGGACGCATACGTTGCAGCCAATGAAGCATATGCAAAGAGAATCGCAGAGCAATACCGACCAGGAGATTTGGTTTGGGTGCACGACTACCACTTGTTGCTCGTTCCACAAATGTTGCGCAAGCTGGTACCTGATGCACATATCGGTCTCTTTGTTCATGCACCTTTCCCAAGTAGTGAAATCTTCCGTTGCTTGCCAAGACGCCGTGAGATTATTGAAGGCATGTTGGGAGCCGATTTGGCATGCTTCCAAGCATTTTCTTACTCAAGACACTTTTTATCCTCTTGCATTCGCGTATGCGGATTCGAAGCGTCATCGAACAGTGTTGAATCGTATAATGGTCACGTTACAAATGTGTCCTATAATCCGATCGGTATTGATGCTGAAAAGATTGCCAAAGATTCTGCTGCACCGGGCGTTGCGCCAAAGATTAAAGCAATTCGGGAGATGTATAAAGGCAAGAAGATCATCATTGGTCGGGATAAATTGGACGTTGTACGTGGTGTGATTCAAAAGCTGCAAGCATTCCACAAGCTGTTGGAAGAGTTCCCACAATGGCGAGACAATGTTGTCTTGATCCAAGTTACTGCACCAAGTATGAATGATAATCCAATGCTTGAGCGACAAGTCTCCGAACTAGTTGCCCATATCAATGGAGAATTTGGCAGTTTGAGCTTCACACCTGTCCACCATTACCATCAAATCATTGAACGAGATGAATACTTTGCCCTGCTCAGTGTGGCAGATTTGGCAATTGTTAGTTCGTTGCGTGATGGAATGACGGCAAGTACGATGGAGTTTATTGTTGCGCAAAACAATCATGCAAAAGCGCCCCTTTTGCTCAGTGAATTCTCTGGCAGTGCAGGTCGTTTGCGATCAGCAATTCAGATCAATCCATGGGCAACGTTCAGCAGTGCCAAAGCAATCCATCATGCTTTGATCATGTCCGATCAAGAGAGGTTCAGAAGACATGAAGAATTGTACCGTCAAGTTGTCATGCATACTTCGCATACGTGGGCCGCTACCTTGGTGAAACTTTTGGTCGGTCAAATGCTTACCGAGCAATCTGCTCATTCTACCCCACCTTTGGACCGTAAACGGTTGGTAAAAGCACATCATGCTGCACGTAAGCGTTTGTTCTTGTTGGATTACGATGGTACATTAACCCCAATCGTACGCGATCCCGAGACTGCTTTACCATCTAAACAGTTGTTGGATGCAATCAAGACGCTAACAGAAGATGAAAGGAACGTGTTCTACATCATTTCTGGCCGTGACGAACAATTTTTGCAAAAGCACTTGGGTCATTTTGAACGTATAGGATTCTCGGCTGAACATGGATCGTTCTTCAAAGAACCTGGCAAAAAGCATTCTATCAATTTGACGAAGGAGTTGGATATGACCTGGAAGAAGGACGTGATCGAGATCTTCAACTACTACGTTGAACGAACAGCAGGAAGCTTTGTCGAAGAGAAAAAAGCTTCAGTTACGTGGCATTACCGTAATGCTGATCCTGACTTTGGTTTATTCCAATGTCGCGAGTGTCAAAATTTGTTGGATAACTTGATCGCACAACAAGACATGCCTGTCGAAGTTTTGGTGGGTAAAAAGAACTTGGAATGTCGTCCTTTGGCGGTGAACAAAGGAGAAATTGTCAAGCGAATCCTTTACAGCAACACCGATGTAGAATTCGTCTTTTGTGCCGGAGATGATCGAACGGATGAAGATATGTTTCGTACATTGAAACTGATCGAAGCAAGTGGATCGTCTGGCAATGTCAGCGTTCCATCAAGCGTTCACGGTAGTCCACAAAATGAAATTCGTACCCGTGAATTGAGTCAGTCACCCAAGTTGACAAGAAGAATTACGGCGAATGACGGACAAGATGGATCTCCACCCGTTTCAGCCACTTTGATCATGTCACCGCCAACGCCATTGAATTCTTCCACGCCAATGGGATCCCCAAAGCCTCTCGCACTGAAGCCAAATGGTATCTATACATGTGCAATTGGACCGAGCAGCAAGAAGACGTTGGCCAATTGGCATGTTGAACAAGTACAACGAATCATTGACTCCTTGTCCGAAATGGCCGATCTGGCTGATCCAGCAAAGGATGCACCTTCCGATTCTACGATTGAGGAGCAGAGTTGAGTAAAAGAACAGAACGAATGCTTCAATGCTTAGAATTTTCTGCCACCTTTCGTGTACAATACACCAATATATACAGATACGCACGCACACACAAACACACACACAACATAGAAATATACACTTTATCGTATTGTATGTAAGTGAAATGAGATCAAGAATAGAGCGATTTATTATCACATGAATAGCAGAATGATTAAGTCTAACACGTGCGAACTTGTTTATCCGTGTGTGTTATGGCCTGTGCTCATGAGTGGACGTTGGGTGGATGATTGTGGTGATCCCATAGCCATCTCCTTTTTGATTTGTGCGATTGCTTGACCCGGGTTCAATCCCTTAGGACATGTACGAGAGCAGTTCATGATTGTGTGACATCTGTAAAGCGAAAAGGTGTTTTCCAATTTCTCCTTACGTTCGGCGGTAAATCCATCACGCGAGTCTGCGATCCAACGGTAGGCTTGCATCAAAACTGCAGGTCCAAGGTACTCGTCACTGTTCCACCAGTATGAAGGGCATGAGGTCGAACAGCATGCACATAGAATGCACTCGTACAAACCATCGAGACGTCTACGTTCTTCGGGAGATTGTAAATGTTCCTTTCCGTCTGCTGGTTCTTCCTTGGACTTCAAGAATGGTTCGATAGAACGGTATTGTTTGTAGAATTGAGTCATGTCGGGTACCAAATCTTTAACGATGTACATGTGAGGTAGAGGGTAAATCTTTGTGTCTGCACTTTGATCGATACGGCACAAGCAAGCCAAAGTGTTTACACCTCCGATGTTCATTGCGCATGAACCACAAATACCTTCACGACAAGAACGACGGAAAGTGAGAGTTGGGTCAATTTCGTTTTTGATTTTGATCAAAGCGTCAAGTACCATTGGTCCACAAGAGTTCAAATCAACTTTGTATGTTTCTAAATAAGGCTTCTTTGCTGGCTCGTCTGGGTTCCATCTGTAAATTTTGAAATCTTTTACGTTTGCTGGCTTTGTTGGTGCTGTTCCAGCTTGAACTTCAGCTGGAGTTGCCAAACCACGAACGGCATTGAGACTGCCCATCACGCCATTGCGACTTGTCGAAGCACGCAAAGAGCGCAAAGATGTCGATGCGAGTACTGACATGATGTTTGTTGAAGGAGTATAGTGATCGGGTATGATGGAGTGGAAGGTAAGATGTGGCGGGTGACTGCTTCCCTTTAACATAAACACCTCTAAGCCTCACTCACTCACACACGCCCTCCTGTTATTGAAAAGACACATTGTCTTATTGGCTAAAGAACCCCGCTTATACAAGCCTATGCAACAGTGCCAAACCTCTTTCAGCCGGTCTATCGCGCGCCCGAATGTTTGAGAGAGGCGGCGTATGGGCCTGGAGGTTTAGCTAATATCTTGAACAACGCGTCGGCAATTGGCGGGCGACTGAAATCGGATCGGAGTAAAACTAACAGGATTCTTTTTGTCTGCTTGAGGGAGAGATTTCTTACAAATCACCTCTTAAAGCAGGCAAAAAAATCCTGTTTTGTTTAGCATGCGTGCGCCTCAATGACAAAAGAGTAAGCGCTGATTGGGTGGATTGAAGAAAGAGGCCTGGCTGCATATTGTGTAAGGCAGGCATAAAGTGGCTATTGTTTAACACGTGACCTCATAATTTCATGGTCATCAATGCAAGAGATGGTATTGCAAGCACTTTTGACTCTATCTTACTATACATTATCACAATTTAGTCCAATCAATCCCACCTCCTGATCCATAACGACTCTCACTCTCAAGCCATTCGTTGGCTTTCTTGAAATGACCATTTCCCAAAAATCCTCGATGTGCTGAAAGTGGAGAGGGATGTGGAGATTTTAGAAGGAGAATATTGGATGATTTCTGATTAGATGGTGTTTGTCAGCATGTGTCAAGCTCACTTCCTTTTCAATTATACTCACCTCAGTGATTCCCGCTTCTGCCAACGTTTTTGCAGCTGGTAATCCCCATGCTAAGAACACAACGCCTTTTGATGATGATGACTGTGAACTATCATCCGAGGAAGATTTTGCCGTATTGGATGAAGAAGGCGTTACGATTGCAGGTTTAACACCTTGCTTCTCTGCTGCTTTACCAAACATATTCGCAATCGTGCTCGTCTTTACAGAGGCTTTTGGCCCTTTTGCAGCATCTTCTGCGATTGCACGTAAGATCGTTTGAGTAAATGGTTCCCAGCCTTTGTTATGATGTGATCCGGCTTTGTGAGCCTCTACTGTCAGACATGCATTGAGTAAAAGTACACCTTGTTTTGCCCATCCGTCAAGGCATCCATGCTTCGGAGGCACAAAGCCACTTCCATACTCTTCTACCAGTTCTTTGTAGATATTCTTCAAGCTTCCAGGAACGGCAATACCTTTCGGAACGGAAAAGCTATGTCCACAAGCTTGGTTTTGACCATGATACGGATCTTGCCCAACGACGACAACCTTGACCGTACTCAAAGGTGTCAATCTAGACCAGCTATGAATCAATTGAGCGGGTGGATAGATTGTCTTCTTCGATTGTACTTCTCCTTGTAAAAAATGCTTCAATTTCTTAAAGTAGTCCTTTTCCATTTCTCCGGATAGTCGCTCGTACCATTCTGGATCCATTGTCTCTTTTTCTACTCGTGGATCTCCATGTGTGAGGTAAGCTGATGTTGTGCTTAAGCTAGAAGTGGGCTGTTTTGACGGAGTACTGGCAGGTGATTTGGAGGGTATGCTAGTTTGACTGCTGGCGATTCCATTCGTTTGACTGTTAGCAGCTCCGTTTGCTTTACTGGGTGTAGTCGTACTTGAAGCTTGACTACTTCTTACTCGAATTTCTTCATCTTTCTCTGCTGCCATTGTGGCATCCAATAATGCTTCTGCATCGAACTCTCCATCATCCCCAAATTCATCTTCAACAAACTCGGGTTCTCGGGCTACTTTCTTAATCACCTTTTCCGCTTTTGAGGGCGATGATGGAGCGGATCGTTTTGCGCTTGTACTCATTGTCGATAACTGTATGAGGGAGTAAGAAGTGTTTGTTGGATGTGCTATTCTCAGAGTATGAAGTGGAGGCTTGATGCTGGTTAAGGATAGCTGTTAGTATGAGTTTTATCTTGCCATACCAGGATTGAACCTACCTTTGTACTCTAAGTGTGATGGTGTGAAGAGGTTTGAATCGAGATAGCATCTATGCTCATTTATGAAGACGCCGGCGTAAGAAGAAGTTGAGCAAAGCATCTTTTGACATTTCTCCAATCCAATCAAAGACCAACACCTATTTACGCGTAATATACGCGTGGATCGCTAGTCGTCGTGTTAGAGAGGTGCGTACGTAAGCAAAACAAGACTCAAAATCGGATCTCGGCTTTTCAAGCTTAAAAGAAGCAATCATCTTTCTTTCTTCTCTATACCAACACAATCAACATAATGGCAGCAGCACGAGAAGTTATTCAGGATTGGGCAGATGGAGAAGGATGCTATACATTCGAGAGAGGGCGAATGGAAGCTGCCGTCAGGAACATATGCTTCGAGAAGCCAATCGCTTTGCACTCTAACACAACAAAGCCAAGCATTAAGCTGAATAAGGAAGACGTAGATTTTATTGTAAGTGGTGGGTTAAAATGCTTGCTTAAGGGCTATTACTGACCCGTCTCTTGGCCAACAGACCAAAGAGCTAGCGATTTCGAAATCACAAGCAGAAGAGGCTCTGGCGAAACATCAAGGCGATGTGACCAAAGCATTGACAGAATTGATGTCACCACCAGCTCAAAAGTCACAATAAGTACCAAACATATATTGTATTATACATCAACAATCAAAACTATACAAATCCGCCAACAAATGCTACTATCCGTCCACGTCATCCATTTAAAATGCAGTACCTCCCGGTGCAGTCGGTAATGCGCCATGCAAGATCTCATTCATGATCTCAACAAGTGGCATTGCCGCTCGTGCAACTTCCAACATCTTTTCGATAAAATCAGGCTGAATCACTTCATCATCTGAAAAATGATGTGAGACCGTATAACTCTTCAATCGAAGCCATGCTACGTCCACGTGTTCTGGATCGTAGCCTTTTGGTGCACGTTTGAGTTCATCATCGCTGCCCCATAACGAAGATCTCTTGTTCGAATACGCTTTCGACTTGGGAGGTGCACCGAAGTTTTTGATAAAATTCTTATCATTTACTAGTTCACGTAATCTACGACCGGGTCCAGTTTTGTTGATAATGTGTTCCCGAACGGCTTGCAGATCTTCTTTTGATGCTTCATATAATCCAGCATGCAAGCCACTTTTATCGTTTGCCGAAAGTGCAAGGTAGTACTTTGCATAATTGCCCTTCTTTCCATTTCGTGACATGCACCAGGACAAGTGTCGTTTGTAGGGTGTCTTGTCGTTTGAGAATCGGACATCACGATAGATACGCTCCACCAGGTCTTTTGCCGGCATGTATGCAATCGTGTCATCAGCTTTGTCAATCATCTCTTCTACGCATGTATCGGTGAATGCAAGCCAGTTGGCATGAATGTAGTCGTAGATATTCTTATGTGCTGCAAACCATTCTCGATCATTTTTGACAGGATCTTGCAAATCCCGCATGAAGTTCAAAGTGTGCTGGGAAATGTGATCAGCGGGAGGTTTGCCGGTAGGAGCACGAGCCATAACGATGACTTCATTCCCGTCCTCATCGTAGGATGATTGCATATTTGTCGAAGAGCCATTTGACAGTCTAGGTGCCGCTGCTTTTCCTTTCCCTTTCGGTGACTTTTTTCCTCGGGCTGGCTTTTCGTCCTCGCTATCATCGTAATCATCTTCCTCCAAATCGTCTTCGTTCTCTTCTTCTTCCTCTTCATCTACGAATTCTGAGCTGGACCCGGAGTCACTCTCGGCATATCGTGCTTTGTCTTTGCTTGCTTTTGCCTTTCCATTCTTCTCTTTCGTTTCTGGCACAAATGCATCTTCCGAATCATCGTCATCGCTAGACTCTTGTACTTTTGACTTTTTCTTGCCTAATCCATCATCCTCGTCTGATGAAGTAAGACCTTCAGCGTAATTACGCTTTGAAGTACTTCCACTACTCAATCTAGTCGATCTTGATCGAGCTGGCATCTTCTTTTGTTTGATGATGGAAAGATCAACACTTCTTCTTGTTATTACCACTTTTTATGTCAGCAATGAATGAACGTCTAGCTAGCGTGGAGGCAAAGCGGCGCCTTTCTAAGCGGGGGAAAAGGCTGATTGATTGATTGGTTCCTAGCAGTGTTAGACTTAGACCAATAATATTGATTAAGCTTGTCATAGGCTGCTTGCTGCCTACGCGTCTATAAATCTGTCCGTAGCCTTTCTTCTTCTTTTGTTAGCCAAAAGATAAAATTTTATCTCTACTCCGAGTAAAGCCAAAAAAAGATTAAACTGGTTTAGGCACTTTAACAGTGAGGCACTAATTTTCAACGGCTTCTTCGCAAAAGATCAGAATTAACATGACTCCCCTTCCTCTTACCATCAGGTAAAAGTCAAGGTCATCATGTTGCCAAACAGCAGCAATATGTTACGCCTAAACGGTAAAAGATGGCTTTCACAACAATCAACTTCGATGCTGACAGCGAGCAGATCTTTGCATAGTACAACTTTGCGTGCTGCAAGACCACCTCCAGGTGATTTGAACAGAACAAGCAGAATTATCACAAGACCCAAGGATCAAGGTGCATCTCAAGCAATGCTGTATGCAACAGAAGGTATCGAATCAGATGAAGATTTACAACGTGCAATGGTAGGTGTTGCCAGCATTTGGTATGAAGGAAATCCATGCAATGCACATCTTTTGGAATTGGGTAAACGTGTAAAGAAAAGTTTACATGCTGCCGGCTTAACAGGTTACCAATTCGGTGCTGTTGGTGTATCCGATGGTATCAGTATGGGAACTGAAGCAATGTCATACAGTCTTCCATCTCGTGATTTGATCGCAGATTCCGTAGAAAGCGCTGCAGGCGGACATTGGCTCGATGGTATCGTTGCCGTTCCTGGCTGTGATAAGAACATGCCTGGTGTCTTGATGGCACTTGGACGATTGAACAGACCAGGTCTCATGGTATATGGAGGCACAATCCGTCCTGGTCAATGCGACACCGTTCCAGGTCCTTTGGATATCGTCAGCGCTTTCCAATCTTATGGTCAATATCTATCAGAAGGTGGTACACCCGATGCTGAACGTAAACGATACAATACTGTACGTAACTGCTGTCCAGGAGTGGGAGCATGTGGTGGAATGTACACTGCAAACACAATGGCAACATGTGCCGAAACAATGGGAATGACAATTCCAGGAAGTAGTTCTTTCCCTGCCGAATATGGAGAAAAAGGAGCCGAATGCGATTCAGTTGGTGATGTAATGCGAAATTTATTGGAGAAGAACATCAAACCTAGAGATATCATGACACGTCAAGCGTTCTTGGATGCTATCTCCGTCACAATGATCTTGGGAGGATCAACAAATGCAGTTTTGCATTTGATCGCAATGGCACACAGTGTTGATGTCAGTATCACCTTGGACGATTTCCAAACGATCAGTGACAAGACACCATTCATTGCTGATTTGAAACCGAGTGGAAAGTACGTAATGGAAGATGTTTACAAAGAATTAGGAGGAATGCCAACGATCTTGCAATATTTGATCGAAAACAAGATTATTGCAGGTGATCGTATTACCGTTACAGGAAAGACATTAGCCGAAAATTGCGATCGTTGGACCCATGAACGTGGAAAGCTGCCCGCCGGCCAAGATGTTTTGAAACCTTTGGACAAACCAATCAAAGCAACAGGACATATTCGTATCTTACGTGGTAATCTTGCTCCTGAAGGTTCAGTTGCCAAAATTACAGGAAAAGAAGGTTTGCAATTCCGCGGAAAAGCACGCGTCTTCGATACGGAAGATCAACTTGTCGCCGCAGTGGAGAATAAAGAAATCAAGAAAGGTGAAAAGACTGTAATGGTTTTACGCTACAAAGGACCTGTTGGAGGTATAGGAATGCCAGAGATGCTGAAACCGACGTCTCTGATCATGGGAGCGGGACTTGGAAACGACGTCGCTTGTGTCACAGATGGTAGATTCAGTGGGGGTTCTCACGGTTTCGTGATCGGCCACGTAACTCCGGAAGCTCAAGTAGGCGGACCGATTGGATTGGTTCGTGATGGAGATGTGATCAATATCGATGCCGAATTGAACACGATTGATATTGTTGACATTACAGAAGCTGAATTGGAAAAACGACGTGCAGAATGGAAGCCACTACCGCTCAAAGCAAAAGCCGGACATTTGTTCAAATACGCAAAGAACGTTAGCGATGCCAGTAAAGGTTGTGTGACTGATCTGTAATTTTTGTTGTTAAAAATCGAATCGAATTTCAATCATATTATATATCTCATCTTATAATTTTCAGTTTGAATTCTTTCGGTATGGATCTTCGTAAATGCTCTTGATGTTTAGCATATAGTGCGTCTGCCTGTCTTACACCGTTTCCGCTCCATATTCTTGCAGTAGATTGATCGCCGTAAATGACAGTTTGAGATGGGAAAGTGTATGCAGGATGCTTTGGAGGTGGTCCTTGTTCATCTCCTTGGTCTACCGTTGCCGGTATCCAATCTGGTGGAGGTTGAGCGATACATCCTGCTCCGACTGTGGTAAAATCTTGAATGATGACCGAATCTGTCACCCTACTCCTGCATTCGAAGGTATTGTGTGATCCTATTGTGCTTGATTCAATCCTTGCACCTACTTCGAACAAGTTTTTATCTCCAATCTTCATCTCTCCTTCTCCTTGATGAAAGATGTGTACCCTTTCTTCGATTATGCAATCCTTTCCGATGACAATCTTTCCATTCTCATTCACACATTGAATGAACGCGGTTGGATGAATGATCGTTCCATCACCTATATGAACGTTTCCCCGTATATCTGCAGCATCTGCGATTATACAACGTGAACCAACAGTTAATTTACCGATTGAATCAATTGAAGATGCCGTCGTTGTTGTCGGTCGAATGCTTGTTGGACGAGCACCACTGACGCTATTCCTTCGTTCGACTGCTTGTTCCCCAACTTGGCTCGACATTCCACTTTGCGTTGATTTGTTGAATTCAGGGGTTTAAAGAGAGAAAGGGTATGAGCACACACACATGTGTATATGTACATCGTCATAGTCTTTTAAGATGAAAAAACCTTAATCTATCTGCAACTACAACGCGTTTGAACGGCACACCTTTGAGAGGAAACTCGGCTTGTGTGCTGCCAATCGGAAAATTCGGCCAATTCCCCGCAATTAGAGTCTTAAATTATGAATGAGTCAATAGAAGTGCATGCATTAAGATACATACGCAACACATCAACATTGACTCAGACAATCATAAATCACCACATGGTGAAATATCAGAGGTGGAGAATGGTCCGTTGTTGTATAAGCTTTGATCTCCCTTCAAGTGCTCTTGTCTCCTTTCCACCACGATTAACTCTGTCAACACAATCAATATGGCAATCAGTACAACAGACACTCTAATCACTCAATCTACCAGACCGGTAGAAAAGGAAATCACAACAACAACAAATGCTCCTACAATCATATTCGATGATGCAAAACAAGAAGACATTCCACACGCAGCGAGGATCGCAACAATAGTCTTTGGCGAAACAAGTCGTTGTTTGTTCCCCGATGGTCCTGATGAAGATCAAGTCAATTACAGAACAAACAAATTTGATCAATTGTTTGCTGCTCATTTAGGCTACAAGCAAGGAGTTCGTACAAGACCTGCTAGATTTTTGGTAGCAAGAAACCCAAAGACTGAAAAGGTGATTGCATTTTGTGTGGCACTGGTAGAAGGTGGTGAAGAGGAAGAGAGTTACGAGGCTTCCGATCAAATTGTACCGAATGCATATACTCCATTCCCCAAGTATCCGGATCCAAAGAGGATAGCCAATGAAGTTTGGAAGGATTTTGCCGAACAGGCTGCTTTGAATATGAAAAAGACTGTGGGAAAGAAGAAGATTTGCCGTAAGTACTCAGATGCAGACTAAATTGACTTTCGCTTACACTCTGTTCTCATACAGATATTCGATACTTGGCCGTCGATCCAACAGTCCAACGAACAGGAGCAGGTCGCTCTTTATTGCGCTTGATGCGCAAGGTATTTGCTGGTCTGCCTCTCTATCTCGAAGCTGAAACAACTCCTTCCGCACAACAATTTTATGAAAAGATGGCATTTGAGACTGTTGGCTCGTTGGATTTCAAGGGTTGCCTCAAGCCATTACCATGCATGATTCTCGATCCTAACACCATATCTTTACTCGATCAACAACCTAAACAGCACACTGATCTTCCCGCCACCCCAACTCCTCCTACCTTATCAGCATAATCCACATCTGTAACATTTTACGACAACATCTCAGAAGCATAATGAAATAAGGATTTATATTGTACATTCTATACATGCGAATCTTTTTCATCTTTCATTCTCAGATTTTGTCTCTACGAGCTCAAATCGTTTCAGCACTCGTTTTGAGGCTCACCTACCTAGCCTACAAGCGAGATTCAGGTAAATCATCTTCGCTAAAATGGCACTGAGCCATCAAGGCAAAATGCATCGCCGGTGAAGGTTGTTTCTTGACAATTGTGTATTGAACTTTCTCCAACTTTTGAATGCTAAAACGTAAATTCCATTGTGCTTGTTTTGCGGCGGGATTATGAATACGAATCAAACGAATGCCAATTCTTGCCAGTCCCGTAGCATCGGCTCTCAAACTTTTCATCTCACTTGTCACATCACGAATCGGATCACCATCTTGATCTGTTCCCGCAATTTTGCTATACATCTTTGCCCAAAAAGTTGTTCTGCCATCCTTCTTTTCAGCGTAAAGGTTACGAAAACGATCCTTCCAATCACGATCTAAGCCAATATGTCGATTTTCGAGATTAGCAATTACACCTTTAATGATGTAGTTGTACACCGGACTTGGGACAGATAATTTGATATAACTCTTACCATACCCTCCCGTAAAAGTTGAGCTTCCGTTTGTTGCAGCTATTCCTCTCGAAAATTTCTTGGAAACTTTCAGATCACCACGAAAAGCCAATGTGGTCTTACCGATAGGAATAAAGCTTAATTTGCTATTGTCGTCATATTCTAGCTCAATATCAATTTTTTCCGTACGATGAGCAGAATCGAGGAAATGGGTAATATCTGCCACATTTCCAGAAACCAAAGTTGGAGCGCTAAAGCGTCTCACCAGATAAGGCTTTAGAACCCCATTGCTCTTCACTTTGATTGCTCCATTATCATCTTGACGGATGTACTCGTTTGTTTCGATATGAACCATACTTGTACCAAGTGCTGGATCTCAAGAGTTGCAGTGAAGGGGTATGATTAAGATATATCAATCGAATAGTATAAGGCACATACATGTACAGGCACCCTTTTGTAATTACCGCCTATTACAGTCAAGCCTTAAAATTGGCCAAAGCGTCCGTAAGAGAAGAGAAAAAGCATCACAGTCTCTTTCGGCGCCAATCACAATCACATGACGGCCTTACTAGGAATGGTCTTTTGAAGATAAATGCGGGCTGAAGCAAGTCCGTTTGTTCTCGGTTCGTTTGAAAGTTCGGCGCATTTGTATAAATCACGGTAAACTGTATACGTGTAGGGAAAAATACCTAAAGGCTAGCGTCACAACAACTGAGAATCAAATTTTCTCTACTACCCCTCAACATCAATTGGTGTACATGGAGTTTTATAAAATTATTGTGCGGAAGAAGTTGTTTCAGCTTCGAAGGGTATACGTACTAAACTCAGAAGGAGAAATCATTGTTGTATAAGGTCACACAGTGTAGAAAAATAAAGAGTGGTGATTATATTGAGTCAGAATAAATCATATATACATGTAACGGGCATATCCGAAAAGGCTATATCATAGTGAAAACGGATCGTGATACAGCGACCGAAAAGGAAATTCGACACTAGGCATTATAATAGCGTTCGTTGTCCAATCGATACATTCTGAATTTCAATTCCCAAGTAATTGATTTTTCAGGGTTACGAACCTGACTTAAGTGAACCCCTAAGTAGCCTAAGCCGGAAGCGTTCACCCAGTTGGCTTTCATTTTATTTGTAACATCATTGACGTCCGATCTAGGAATCTTGTCTTTCATATCTGCATGAAAGGTTGTATAGCCTCTATTGACTTCCACATATGTAGTACGAAAGCGATGTGCTAAATTAGGATCACGAGTCACATCAGTGCGTTTTTTTATATCTGTAATTACACTCTCTACGATATAGACCCAAACAGGAGTTGGGATAGATAAAGTAATATACGTTATACCATAAGCTCCTTGAAAGGCTTTCTTGTCTTTAGTTTCTGCTTTACCTGCTGGAAACGGCCTAGGTTTCTTTAAGAACTTCTTGTAAAGCATTCTTGTGTCTTCAACAGGGATAAAATTAGTTTTTCTGCCATCGCCGTATAAGAGATCGAAGTTAATCTTGAATGTTGGATGAGAAGAAGGACCAAGGGGGACCCTTTCTATTTGACCTGAAACCAAATTTGAATCAGGCCTTAATATACCTTCGCTTTTCACCTTTGCCGATCCATTATCCCATTCGAAGTATTTTTCTGTTTTGGCATGCACTGGTCGTACCGGATTATCGTGATGCTCGGATGTTTGCTCAACCCATTGGCTAAGACTATCGGATAAGCTGATCAGTGAGGCCATTTTGTGATACTTTAACCGTTCCCTTGATGAAGAATGGAGTATTGATAACAAGCGTTTTTAGTATTGAAAGGAGGAAGTGGGAATGGTTCAAAAATAATTCATGTGGGGAACAATGAATACTGATATTTATAGGTATGATTTCGAAACAAAAACATGCGTCTGAATTTATAAGACCGCACCGGAACAGTAAAGAACTTTTAAATCTAGAGTAAGAGACTGATTACGGAGTTGATGTACTGCAATAATCGCTGAAGAGTGGGATATGGAATCAGATGCTGATTACACTTTTGATGGACGCAAAGCCTTCGATGACATAAGCGCGGAATTAATAATGTCCAAGGGCTAGCGTCACGTTCAACTGAGAATCAATTCTTCTAACCTCTCTACCACCTCTCAATATCACTTGAGGAAGATGTACAACGGCGGATATGGAGGTCCACCACCACATCAACAATGGCATGGTCCACCTTCTCAAAGACCAGGAGTAGGTGCATATCCTCCACAACATCCCATGTCTCCGTACGGTAGACCTCCTCCATCTGGTCCTGCAGGAATGATGGGTCAACCACGTCCACTTTATACCGGTCCACCTCCGATGCATTCCCCGTTTCCGGAAAGCAATGCAGGTCCTTCGACTGCTCCAATTCAAACCACAGCATTCGTTGGTACGATCTCGTCTGGAATAACGGACGAATGGATAACACGCCTTTTATCAGCTTGTGGTCATCTTCGTTCTTTCAAGAGGGTAAATGCATCTTTTGGCTTTGCCGAATTTGCAGATGCAGAATCGGTGTTGAGGGCAATTGCAGTCTTGTCTGGAAAGCAACTCCCGGTGATGGGAAACAAGGAAGAGCAGCCAAAGAAACTGACAATGAAAGCCAATGCAGAGACAAAGACATACTTGGATCAGTATGAACAAGGTGGAATGAAGTCGAAAGAGTATGATCGTTACGAATCGCAAGCATCGGCAGCAGTGGAGAACATCATCGCTCAAATGGCCGATCCTTCCAATGCGGCTGCTGCTGCTGAGAGTATGCCGTCTTACAATGTCCCGTCTCACTTGAAAGATCTTCCACCAGAAGACCTACCAGAAGAACATAGAGGATCGGTCTTGAGCGAGATTGACAAATTCCGTCAAAGCAGTGCTGCTAGAGATGAAGAGCGAAAGAGACGCGAGCGAATTCAGGAGATTGAAAGAACACGAACATATTCTACTGGAGGACGTTATAATGGACATGACCAACCAGCCAACGACCGACAATCACACCAGCAACCTGTTGGATTTGTCGCATCTTCACAGGCGCAAGAAGAGAAAAATATGCTGCCTGACGAACGTGATGCTCGAGAAGAAGAGAGAAGACAATTGCGTGAAAAGGATGCAAACATGCGAGAATCGCAAGAGGCTGAAAGACGATTCTTGGCAGTAGAGCGAAATCGTCTAGCACACTGGGAGCGTGAATTGGCTAAGCAAGGTGAAATTGAAGAAAAACGAGAACAGAGAGCAAGAGCGATGCGAAAGCTTGCTGAAACATGGGATCAATCTCGCGAGATGGAGAGAGATATGTTTTACGTTGACAGAAATCGATGGCGATCCCTTCGTAAACAGATGCGTGAACGAGAAGAGGAAGAAGATGAGGCTGACAAGAGATTGCAAGTGGAAGAAGAGGAAAGAGCAAGAGTTGAAACGGAACGGTTCTTGGCTCAGCAAGCAGAGGACATGGCAGCCTATGAAAAGGAACAGCGTGCTGCCGGTGTGTTGATGCCCACTGAGGGTGTGCACGTACCATTAAAGCTGAAACGTACAAATCCTCTGGATGAGCAAGCGTCACATTCTACTGTGCAGGCAGGAGTTTTGGGAACAACAGAAGATGACAGTGACGTGGCTGCAATCAAGAGGGGAAGATTGGCGCACATTGACCTGTCGGACGAAGAGACCAAGCGTGCCAAAACCCTTGCAGGCTTGCCTGACGACAGGGAGAAGCTCTTTGCCATGCAACCGGTCTGGGAACGTGTGTCAGAAGACAAAATCGAGGATGGATATAGAACCTTGCTTGACAGCGGAATCGTCGAGAGCCTGGGTGAATCTGTACCTGACATGGTCCAAGAATTGATTGATAGCATCAAAAAGCACGCAACAGCAAACGAGTTGGTGGGAATCGTTGAGCCTGTATTGGAAGAAGAAGCAGGTCTATTAATCGAGAAGTTGTGGAGGGAGCTGCTCGTCGACACGATGTAATGACATGTTGTATTTGTAATGTATAAAAGAAGAATTTACAAGTGAAACGAGAAAACAACCATAGCGAAGAAAGCAGATATCGAATACACACACAATTTCCCAAATCGATCTTGAGCACCGTTGTAGTGAATCTTGTGGCCGTATTTTAGCTTTCCTGCTCCGTTACCGATGAGCTTGGTTTCGTCTGCCTTAGGATCTAAGAGGAAGGAAAGAGATGATGAATACATGTTGCACACACTGATCCTCACTCCCACTTCCAATAATCTTACCTGTACACACCTTCAACAGATCGTTTTGCTTGCGGCTTGCGTTCAACATAAATCATATGATCACGGCGTCTCAGAGTGATATGAATATCTTGATCGTCTCCGATGATAGATTTGCCTTGCGATTTCAGACTTCCAGCAATGTTTCTCACATCATCTGCTTCCGATTGATATTGTTGATCCAAGAGATTTTTTCCTGCCGTGAAATCTTGAACGACATCTTGAACTTCTTCATCGGTGAGAGAGGGAGTTGTTGGGATGACGTCATACATAGGACCTGATTCTGGTTTTTCATTGCCTGAAGCAGCTGTATCACTATCATCGCCTGTACTTGCTACAACCGGCTCCAAGGAAACTTGACCAGGTTCATCAAGTGGCACAAGCTGTAAAGTACCCGCTTGAATCTCTTCCATTTGTTCATCCGAAACAGGTGCAACAATCACATCAGCACCATCACATCCTTCTTCCGGACTTGAATCACTTCCTAAACGTTGTAATTTCAACGTTCCTTCATTCAATCCTTGAAGTTCTGTATACGTTACCGGAACGATGTATTGTTCAGATGCACATGTGCCGCTGTCATCTTCTTGTCGTTTCACAATCTGTTTGCCGGTTGAACCACGCAAAGACCTACGTGCTTTTGGTGGATCGGCAGGTTTAGGTTCACCTTCTTTCTTGGGCTCCTCCGGCTTGGGCTCTTCAGGTTTGGGCTCTGCGGGCTTTGGCTCCTCAGGTTTTGGTTCGGCAGGTTTGGGCTCTTCAGGCTTTGGTTCGGCAGGTTTGCCCTCCTCTGGCTTGGGTTCCTCTGGCTTAGGAGGCTCACCTTCTTTCTTTTCGCCCTCTTTTGGCTTTTCAGCCTGTGATTGAGGAATTGCAATAGTTGAAACAACATGATGAACGATGTTTGGCATTGGACTAAACTGTCCAGAAGGAATCATTGGAACTGTCCAAAGTGCTGTTGGATCTTGAGCTGTTGTGGTAGCAGGAGCCATAATCATTGGAGAAGACGTTGTAACATAAGCAGGTGCAGAGCTCACTTGACCATCACCCAGAGTATACAACGAACTTTGTCCAGCTACATTCCCTGCTCCATCCGCTTCTGCCGCTTTTGATGAAGATGGCAAAGTTAAATAGATATCCCGCTTCAAATCATATTCAATCGGTAAAGCTTGCACGACCACTACAAACCAGAAAAGCGTGAAAAAAGTGGAACGAAACATGGTTGAATTCGCAAAATTGCCAAACCAGTGGCAAGTGATTCTTTAGAAAATCTGTTTGGGATAATGGCACCAGGCCAAAGATGACTAGAATAAAGAGGAAAAAGAAAAAGGATGGTTGGAGAAAGATGAGTAAATAGAATCAGCATTACCTATTTATAATTGCTCAATAATCAAGTTCGTCAAGATCTCTGGCGTATTCGAACGCCGACGAAAGAATGGGCGATAGCGGGCGCAGCATCACAGTTTTCGGCGCTCATTGCCTTGTTTGGTTGAATAATGTATTGCATTCTCTTTCCCTGTATACATGCTTTACACCACCCTTCTAGAATCAACAGAGTTAAAATCGGATTTACCTCCCATTCCAACTCTTCCGTCCGAGCTCGCTTGTGATGACGATGACGAAGCAGTAGAAGCTCCACGTGGATCAACAGGAGTCAACTTTTGTCCAATACGCCCAAACGTTGGAGTTTGACCACTACCAACCGTTGCTTGATCGCCTGCGCCTTCAAGTGCCACACTGGGCGCCACGCTTGGATCTTGCAATGCTATTCCGAGACGGATCCGTTGGACGTCATTTTGAGTCATTTGTGACACATCCAATTCAGCCGCATTCTTATCACTAGATGGGCTATCTGGAACGCCCAAGGCCTCATGTACCTTATCCAGCAAAGAAGTGTACTCTTTGTCACTTGGATCAGGCCTGAATCGCATGGGCTGTGCTGTTTGCGGCGCTTGGATATCGTATTCACGTCTGGTCTCTTGACCATTTTCACCCTCTTTGATTGATTCTTTTGCATCTGCGACTGCCATTCCCAAAGTCTTTCTCCATCCTTCTATTTCACCTTTGATACTTGCAGCGCTTTCGCCAAGACGATCTGAAAGGTTGCCAACTTTGGCAAAGTCTTTTTCGTTACTCGGCAAAGTGGTTGTAAAGTTCTCCTTCTCGATTCCAGTACCAATCACAGCCTTCCACGTTGTATTTTGCGCTTTCAGTAGCGCTGTCAATTCATCCTTCACTCTTCTCGGATGTCCAACACCCTCATAACCAAAGCTTGTGTACAGCTCAATAGCATCGGCTCCTGCTTTTGCGAAATCGAGGGCGTCCTGACCGCTAAAGATGCCACCGCAGCCGATGATCGAAACCTTGTCACCCACACGCTTGCGTACAGTTTGCAGGGCTTTTAGCGAGAGAGGCTTGAGAGGAGCACCGGAAAGACCACCAGTCTCTGATGTGATCTCAGACGGAGAGAGCAACGAGGAAGGTCTTTGGATTGTGGTATTTGAAACAATCAAACCTTCAACACCTGAAGAGACAGCAGCATCGGCGATGTCCTTCAGCTCATTCTCATCCAAGTCTGGAGCAATTTTGACCAAAAGCGGGACCTTGTTCTGTCTCCGTAGCGGTAATTTGTCCCGAGCTTCAACCACTTGACTCATCAAATCAGACAAGACAGACTTTCTCTGTAGACCTCTCAATCCTGGTGTATTTGGACTGCTGATATTGACCACCAATAGATCAGCATATGGTCCAAGCACATTGACTCCTTTGACATAATCGTCCACACTGTCGGGTGCACTTGTTTTGTTCTTGCCTAGATTGACAGCCAATAATTGACCAGGTCGCAATGATTTTGGTACTTGATCGGTTGCGAGGATGGTGTCGATCGATGCAGTTTCCAGCAGGGCGTGATCGCGGGATTGGTCATCGGGCAAAGGAATTCTCGATTTTGCTAGAGAAGATCCGCTCAAAATCCATCTTTGTATACGATCGCGTAGTCTGTGTAGGATAACCTCGTGTCCCTCTGAGTTGAATCCGAATCGGTTGATAGCACCGTGATCTGCAGTCAATCTAAAGTATCGCGGGAGATCATTTCCAGGTTGTGGTTCGGGCGTCACACTTCCCACCTCGACAATACCGAAGCCCAGGTTCAGCAAACCATCAATTGCTTCTGCTTGTTTATCAAATCCAGCAGCTAAACCGATTGGATTTTTGAGAGAAAGGCCTGCAACCGATGTTGCTAATACTTCATCATCTGTACCCAGATCGCGAGGCATAATCCCTAAAGAAAGAAGCTTGACAGCTAGCTTTTGAGCTGTTTCTGCGTCTGTCACTGTTTGTAGGATTGGGATAGCGATCCATCTATGAATTGCACTGCGTGAATCTAAATGATAGGCGACTCCAAATGTCAAGCCGAATGCTAATAGTGCCCATTTGATCGTCGTCCTTACAGGTCTAGGCTTGCTACGAGTAAAAAGCGTTCTTGATGCAATTGGTGTAACATGACTTCGCAATGGTGTACTTGCCATTCGTGTCGAAGAGGTCAAGTGTGACATAGTCCTCGAGCTACTCAATCGATTCATCGCCATCACTGAGCGATTCGACAACATCTTGTCACAGTTTGCGTCGTGAGCAAGAGCTCCTTTGTGGTGATGAGAGAGAGGGAGAGAGAGAGAGGAGGTGGAGCCTTTGATTGTCATTCTTCTCATTCTTCCTTTTAAACGCGCCAAACAAATCAACGCTTTAAAACAGCAGCCAGCCTCCCCTCCCGCTTTGGGCCGTGAGCACGGACCGACACACGTGAATTTTTACTAATAATCAAAAGCATGACAGCAACCATCATCATCATCCCCACTTTATCATACACCTCCAAAAGATAGATAGAGGATTCCTCTACCTTTTGAAAAACAGGACTTACCTGTTGCTGGAGGTGGTCGTCGTAATCTATCAGAGCCTGCCTAGGTGCAGGCTTGGCACCCAATCGCCAAAATGTCATCTTCAACTGTTGCAGTTGGCGACACTCTCCATCGCATCTTTGGCAACCTAAAATCTCGTGACGAAACAGTACGAGCAGTGGCATCCCGCGAATTATCTCACCATGTCGCATACGTCACCACAGAACTCAAAGGCGATTCTGTTGCCTCGTTTAATAGCGAGCTCAGCAGATTGATCTTTGGTCTGACGCACAGTCCACAAGTCAATGAAAAGCTTGGAGGAATTGCAGCGATCGATAGCTTGATCGATATGGAAAGTGAAGACAATAGTGCAAGGCTCTACAGATTCTATCAATACCTCAAACCCAATCTTCCCTGCAACGATGCTATCGTCATGATTGCTGCCAGCAAGGCTTTGGGCAGGGTATGCAAACAAGGCGCTCATTCTCTGGGTGATCAATTCATCGAATTCGAGGTCTTACGTGCATTGGATTACTTGCAAAGTGATCGTGAACGAAACGAATCAGGTCGATATGCAGCCGTCTTAATCATCAAGGAAATGGCAAGAAGCGTACCACATCTATTCCACGTCTATGTCAGCCGAGTTCTAGACAGAATCTGGGTAGGATTGCGTGATACTCGTGTGTTGGTTCGAGAAGGTGCTGCAGAGGCTTTAGGAGCATGTTTGCAAATCATTTCACAGCGTGAAAAACAAATGGGAATCCAAACCTACGAAAGTATATACGAAGAAGCAGAAAAAGGGCTCAAATCATCAGCGGTAGAATCCATACACGGCAGCTTATTAGCCATTCAAGAGCTGCTACAACATTCCAAAACATTCATGCGATCCCGCTTTCATCGTGCTTGTGATCTCGTCTTCCGTTTACACAAGCATCGTGATCCACTCATCAAACGAACAATCACCAGCCTCGTTCCAGTCTTGGCCAATTACGATCCATCCTATTTCGCTGAACAGCATCTTGGAAGTGTGATGGGTATACTCACAGATCAGCTACGCAAAGAGAAAGATAGACCTTCGCGAGACTCTGTGGTCCAAACATTCGAGGCAATCGGATTGGTAGCAGCAGCTATGGGCAGCAAGATGAAACCGTACATCGAGCAGATTCTCTCCTGCGTAAAAGAAGGTCTTCAATCACGCGGAAAGAAGAACGCTATGCCTGAAGGACCAATTTTCTTTTGTATTGGATACCTTGCTACCGCTGTTGGTCCGCATCTTACAAAGTATATGCACGAATTGCTGGACCTGATGTTCGGATGCGGCTTAAGCACTCACCTTGTGGAAGCTTTGGATCGAATTGTGAGATCTGTGCAGCCTCTGCTGCGCGTCATTCAAGATAGACTTCTTGACATGCTCTCGATGGTTTTGATCGGACAGCCGTATCGACCTCTTGGTGCACCTCCCACAGTCAGAACGACTTCAGGATCACAAGTATACAATGCAAATGCCACAAGTGCAGAGAAATCGGTAGAGACAATCACAGTAGCGCTGGATACCCTGGGCAAATTTGACTTTAGTGGTCACATCTTGAATGAATTTGTGCGTAATTGCACATTGCCCTACCTCGAAAATGATCATGCTGAGATTCGCAAAGCTGCCGCTGTCACATGTGCAAGGTTGTTCATGCATGATCCAATTTGTTGTCAAACGAGTATGCATGCGATTGAAGTCGTCAACGATGTCTTGGACAAATTGATGACTGTGGCCATCGCCGATCCAGACTCCCATCTACGATTTACCGTCTTGTCTTCACTCAATGAGAATTTTGATAGACATCTAGCTCAAGCGGAATATGTGCGTTCTTTATTCATTGCTTTGAATGACGAAGAATTCACTGTTCGAGAAGTGGCAATAATCATCATTGGGCGTCTCTCACTACACAATCCTGCCTACGTTATGCCTTCATTGCGCAAAGCATTGATCCAATTGCTAACAGAGCTCGAATATGCAACAGTAAGCAGACACAAGGAGGAAGCAGCAAAATTGTTGACAGAGGTGATTCGTGCATCCCCAAAGCTTGTCAAATCTTATGCGTTGCCCATCCTCGAAGTGATGCTTCCAAGAGCGAATGATCCTGTTTCCGGCGTCTCAGCTAGGGTGATTGAATGCTTGGGTGAATTGGCCCGAGTAGGAGGTGAAGATCTGGCACCTCAGGTAGACCAGCTCATGCAACTTTCCATCGAACAATTATCCACCGTCAGCGCACATGCATCTACAGCAAAGCGTAATGCCGCACTCAGAACTTTGGGTTTGGTGGCTTCCAATACAGGCAATGTAGTCAGTCCCTACCTCAAATATCGTTCTCTTCTAGGTACAATCGTAAAGATCCTAAAGACCGAGCAATCGCCGCCAGTACGAAGAGAAACGATACGAGTTATGGGTATCCTTGGTGCTCTAGACCCATATCGTTACAAGCTTCTCGAGAAAACTAGCGGTGATGACGGAGCAAACAGTGACGAGAAAGGTGCAAGTACCGATTTGTTTGATCTCGCAATGGCAGTAGGCACATCTTCCGACGAATACTTCCAAAATGTCGCGATTGATGCCTTGATTGGTATTTTGAAAGATCCGTCCCTATCAGTCCACCACCACGCAGTCATTGAAGCGATCATGTACATGTTCAAAACACAAGGTTTAAAGTGCGTCAACTTTTTGCCTCAAATCATTCCTGCTGTCCTCAGCGTGATTCGGACTGGAACGACTGGTCTATCCGAATTCTACTACCAGCAATTGGCCATCTTGATCTCCATCATCAAACAGCATGTGCGCAATTACCTCAAAGACATCTTTGATCTTGTGCAAGAGATGTGGAATCCAAATTCATCAATCCAACTAACCATTGTCACGTTGGTGGAAGCAGTGGCAAAAGCATTGGAGGGTGAATTCAAGACATACGTACCCATTCTTTTGCCGAATATGCTCCAAGCACTCGACGGAGAAGTCACACAAAGTCGCCAACCAACCATGATCCGAATCTTGCATGCATTCTGGATCTTTGGTAATGCAATTGATGAATATCTGCATCTGGTCATCCCCGTAGTGGTGAAAGTATTTGAGCGCTCAGATGCAACACCCTTGTTACGCAAGCAAGCCATTGTGGCCATCGAACAAATCTCTTCGAAAGTCAATCTTTGCGATCATGCTAGTAGAGTTGTGCATCCGCTTGTTCGAGTTTTGCAAAATCCCAATGCGGGAACAAGCTCAGCTAATGCAGATCTTCGTAATGCTTCAATGGACACGCTGTCCGCTTTGGCGTTCCAAATGGGTGCATCCTATACCGTCTTTATCCCTGTGGTAGGCAAAGTGTTGGATCAGCAACATATCACCAATTCAAAATACAATCAACTCGTGACCAAGCTACTCAACGGCGAACGATTACCGCAAAGTGCTGCGCCGAGCAGTCATATGATCGAAGACAATGCAGAGGAAGCACCTTTGGGAGAGGTAACGAAACTTCCTGTCAATTTGCAACATCTCAAACAAGCATGGGATACATCCAGACTATCCAATGCTGACGATTGGCGTGAATGGCTTCGAAGAATGGCCGTAGAATTCCTGCGAGAATCACCTTGGCATGCCCTTCGAGCATGTAGAGCATTGGCTGATAGCTATGCTCCTTTGGCTCATGAACTTTTCAATGCTGCGTTCATCAGCTGTTGGACAGAGCTCAGCGATCAATACCGAGATGATTTGATCAAAAACTTGGAGCTTGCCTTTGATGCAGTTGATATTCCCGACCAAGTTATCCACTCTTTGCTCAATTTGGCCGAATTCATGGAACATGACGACAAAGCATTGCCCATCAACATCCGTCTCTTGGGAGATCGCGCATTAAAGTTCCACTCGTACGCAAAAGCATTGCATTACAAAGAAGCCGAATTCCTGTCACAATCTTCTTCACAGATTATTGTCGATCTGATCGACATCAACACAAAGCTGCAACAATCCGATGCAGCTTTCGGTGCTTTGACATACGCTCGAGAACACCATCTCACTGACGCTAGCCGCAACGATTCTTCGGAATGGCTGGAGAAGTTGCACAGATGGGAAGAGGCCTTGTTCGCTTACAGCAGACGCATCGAATCTGAAGGTGAATCATGGGAAGCACGTTATGGTCAGATGCGTTGCTTGCACGCCCTTGGTGAATGGGAGCGATTATTGGAAGCAGTCAAACAAAGATGGAATGGATTTGGTCGTGTGGGAACAGAACAAGAACGTAAATACATGGCACCTTTGGCTGCTGCTGCTGCCGTTGCACTCAACAAATGGTCAGAAATGGAAGATTTCATCTCCGCAATCCGATCAGACGAAAGCAAGGATTACTTCCGTGCTATCCTATATACCCATCGAGCACAACGTCATCTAGCCTTGAAGCACATCACACGAGCTCGTGATATGCTCGATTCCGAGTTGACGAATCTCATTAGCGAAAGCTACAGTCGTGCTTATGATCTGATGGTACGCACGCAGATGTTGTCCGAATTAGAGGAGGCACTGGCATACAAGACAGATTATTTCGATCAGCCCGATCGACAGGCCACCATGCGTGCTACTTGGATGAAGCGTTTGAAAGGCTGTCAACCCGATGTGGAAGTTTGGCAAAGAATCTTGTCTGTTCGCAGTATTGTTCTGACACCTGCTGATGATACAGAAACATGGATCAAATTCGCCAATCTGTGCCGAAAGAGTGGAAGAATGGTACTGGCAGAAAAGACGCTCAACAGCTTATTGGGACCGGATTTGGTGGTGAATGAAGTCGAGCCTACTGCTGCAATTGCAGCTCCCAAAGCGCCACCTTCTGTCATTTATGCTCACTTGAAGTTCATGTGGGCATCCGGAGCCAGATTAGAAAGCTTGAACTACCTACGTGACTTCACCGTCAATTTGGCAGAGGATCTTGGACTGCATGGAGTTGATGAGCATGGAAACGCTGTTGCACAAGACTGGCGCACACAACCCAGATTGGAAGAATTTGCACGCTTATTGGCCCGTTGCTACTTCAAACGTGGTGAATGGCAAGCAGCTTTGAACGAAGATTGGGTAACGGATAACAATTGCGACGTCATTGACAGTTATCGAAGAGCCACCGAATTGGACAAGCACTGGTACAAAGCATGGCACGCTTGGGCTTTGGCAAACTTTGACGTGATCAGTCATTATGAACGTTTGGACGAAAATGTTTCGGGTCGTGTGATCGTTGCACGCATAGTTCCAGCCGTTCAAGGTTTCTTCCGTTCCATCTCTCTTGCCAGTGGTAACAGTCTGCAAGATACCTTGCGTTTGCTTACTTTATGGTTCAAATTTGGCTACATTGACTGCGTTGCTGAAGCGGTCAACGAAGGATTTAACAGCGTCATCATTGACACTTGGCTGGGAGTGATTCCGCAAATCATTGCACGCATCACTGTGCCCAGTCCAAAGGTCATTCGTCTTATTCACAATCTACTGTCCGACATTGGTGCTGCACATCCGCAAGCATTGGTTTATCCTCTAGCCGTGGCTGCCAAATCGCCAAGTACTACCAGAATCAAAGCTGCAATGGACATCATGGAGAACGTACGTGAACATAGCCCGTTGCTCGTCGAACAGGCTTTGTTAGTCTCAAATGAATTGATTCGAGTTGCAATTCTGTGGCACGAGATGTGGCACGAAGGCTTGGAAGAAGCCAGCCGATTGTACTACACAGAGCACAACATTGATGCAATGTTTGCCACTTTGGAACCATTGCACGATGCGTTGGAGAAAGGACCAGAGACATTACGTGAGACATCGTTCGCCCAAACATACGGTCGCAACCTGGCAGAAGCTCGTGATTGCGGACGCAGGTACCGTCAATATGGTGAAATTGCTGATTTGAATCAAGCATGGGATCTGTACTACCACGTTTTTAAGCGAATTCAAAAACAAATGCCCTCGACTTCCAATTCGGTTCAATTGGACTTGCAGTACGTCTCACCAAAGCTGCTTGCGCAAAGAGATCTTGAATTGGCCGTCCCAGGTACTTACGAAAGTGGAAAGCCAATCATTCGAATCAGCAACTTTGAACAACTCATTTTGGTCATCGCCTCGAAGCAAAGGCCAAGACGTATCAAAATGAAGGGCAGCGATGGTAGAACGTATCAATACCTACTCAAAGGTCATGAAGATTTGCGTCAAGATGAACGTGTTATGCAATTGTTTGGTCTTGTCAATACTTTGCTTTCTATCGATGCAGAATCGTACAAACGCCGTTTGGAGATTCGTCGTTATCCTGTCATTCCTCTCAGTCCCAACACGGGAATGTTGGGATGGGTTGAAAATACAGATACCTTGCATGTTTTAATCAAAGAATACCGCGAGCAACACAAAATCTTGCTCAACATTGAGCATAGGTTGATGTTGCAAATGGCACCGGATTACGACAGATTGACGTTGATGCAAAAAGTCGAAGTGTTTGAATATGCTCTAGATAATACGCCGGGTCAAGATCTGTATAGAGTATTGTGGCTCAAGAGTAGAAGTTCAGAAAGTTGGCTTGAACGTAGAACGGCATACACACGCAGTTTGGCAACATCTTCCGCTGCTGGCTACATTTTAGGTCTTGGTGATCGACACCCTTCCAACCTGCTACTGGACAGATTGACAGGGCAAATCATTCACATCGATTTCGGTGATTGTTTCGAAGTGGCATGCAGTAGACCGAAGTTCCCGGAAAAGATTCCTTTCCGATTGACACGTATGTTGGTGAATGCGATGGAGATAGGTGGTATCAAGGGTACATTCAAAGTCAGTTGCGAGAGTACAATGCGTGTCTTGCGTGATAACAAAGAGAGCGTTTTGGCATTGCTGGAAGCGTTTGTTCATGATCCATTGATCTCTTGGCGTTTATTGACGGATGAAATCAATCCGACCGGCGCAGAATTAAAAGCACCCGATGCAAGCGAATTCGAATATGAAGCAATGGCTAATGCAGTATCCGGAAAAGATCAAGGACAACAGCACGGTCAACATGCCAATTCTACAAATATGAAGGATGCAGCATTAGAAGGAATTGATGAACAAATCGGAGGTCAAAATGGTCAAAGATTGGCAAATGGTGTCAACATCAATGCCGCCGTTGCTGCTGCTGTGGGTGATGTTCGTAACAAACGAGCATTAGAGGTCGTTCGAAGAATTCAAAACAAATTGAATGGTCGTGATTTCAATCCAAACGTAAGCTTAAGTGTTCCAGAGCAAATTCAAAGGCTCGTTCAAGAAGCAACAAGTTTGGAGAACTTATGTGTTGCATTTATTGGTTGGTGTAGTTTCTGGTGATTGTATCTCATTATGTACATTATCATGTGTTTGATTGTTATTATCGAATGAAGATTGTTTATCCTATCATGGTGGCTCTCAGCTTATGTCAGATTCTGAAAAAGTGCGTGACACGTGATGTGTAGTGTGACTTTAGGCCAGGAATATTTTGTCAGAAAAAAGGTGGGCGGCTATCATGCTAATCAAAAAGCGCGCATTTCTTCTCAAGAATATTCAATCTGATCGTTCTCAATCTTTCTACCATATCTTGCGATCGCCACTTCAGCTCACATTGTCCAAGATGAGCCTCATTCGACAATGTCTTCATCGCTCTTGCGCCGGCTCGTTGCGACCAACTGTCTCAGTCGCCTGCTCGGTAAAGGAAGGTAGAAGGACATATGCAAGTTCATCTTCCATTGCTCGTGCTTCGGTGGAAAGTGCTAGTCCATCATCAAGCAATGTTTTCGAACCTCTGCAGTATGGTGACGCTGACATCTACTCTGGTCAAAATTCGGCAGCATTAACTTCTCTAGCTTCTCCATCTACTATCGTTTTAGAGGGAGATAGATTACCTCATCTAAAAAGCATGCTGGAGATGGCATTGGTGTTGAAGGATTCCAATCATTTGCAGAATGACGCAAAAAGGATCGAAGAGCTTGAAGCTTTAATACAAGTACAAGGGCCTTTAGCCACGGAGGGAGCTTGGCCACTTTGGGTGGAACAAGAATATCACGCATTCAGACTGGAACGCAAAAAAAGCGAAACATCCGCCGATCGAGCATACAGAAGAGCTCGTTCGATGCTCTGGACGCCGGAAAGTCTTGACAGAGAGAGCTTGAATCAGATGATCGAACGTCACGAGCAAACGCTAGACGGACTAAAGCAATCAATTTGGTGCAAGTCAGATCGAGAGGAACAATTAGACACAGTTTTGCGCTCTATTTGGGATGACATGACAGCAGCAGAAAGAGCTCAAGCTAATCTACGAGCAAAATACGAATGTGTAAGAAAACTCGGATGGAGAAGAGGCTATACGAGTGGATATCCCACCGCGGATGAAAATGTGCGCGAAGAACGATTAAGCACTTTGGCAAAGATTAAAACAGGAAGCAATGCTGAGGCAAAAGAAAAGATGGAAGAATGGAGTGTGCGAGAAGAAGAAGAAGCCTGGCTAGCATGGCAATCGCTCGACTCCGTCCAACGTCAGGAAGAAGAGTCTTTGGCTTGGCAATTACGCGATCGATCATTGATTTTCATCGATGATACGTCTGGCGTTCATGTTGCAGATTCACCTTTTCCTCGTTGGTATCCAACTCCACAACGTGCTGGACAAATGGTGTTCTTGCCGAATGACACTGTACGATTGGTCCGCAACACAACAAGAACCGGTGAAGAATATGATCATTTCAAAGCAACGTTCCGCGTTCCATTACACATGCATAAACATGGCCTTCGTAGCTACTTGTTGGCCATCTATGGATTGCGAACGACTTGGATTCGATCAATGATCTACAGAGCGCCCATCGTCCGTAACCGTTTACGTCAAAAGGAGTATGGCTCCACGACGAGAACGTTCAAAAAAATCGAGGTGGGATTATTGGAACCTTTTGTGTTCCCTGAATTGAGTGAATCGTTTGTACGTGAACACTTATTGTCAGAAGAGATGAAGGCCGCCAATACCAGCATCTTCTACAAAATGACAGGACGACGACGCTGGCGTACCTACAGGTTGCCCGATCCAGTGCCATTTGATCCTCACGCAGGAGCCATTGAGGAAACAACGATGACCACCAAATTACAAGCAAACCAAGAAGCTAGCCATACACAAAAGAAAGACGGTGCGCAAAAGAAGAAATCGGATGAATCCAATAGACTTTCCAATTTGGCAGGAGGTGTACCTACCAAGAGACATTCACGTATTTTGCAAATGTTGAACGATCAACGGGCAGTACGTGAAGCACGAATTGCAGTGGAAGCACAACGATTAAGAAAGCAACACGAGCAGTCACAGGAACAATAGATACTGCCATTTGTATAAATAATAATAACAATAAAGTTTCTCATATCATGAATGTTGGTCTGTAAAGTGTTCCGTGAGAAAGGCTTCTCGAACCTCCCCATTGTTCACGTGTGCTTTCCCCTACGCCTTAGCTGTCGAACCATGTGCTGCTTGCTGTGTATTCGGTGACGCATTTCCGCACTTCTCTTTTGACGGCCAGCACGCCTGCCAGTGAACACGCGCTGGCCCATGCTGTGCATCGATTGAGTGTTTTGTTCCTGTGCGTGTGTGTGTGTGTGTGCTGGTTATACACCTGTCGAAAACAAGAAGGTCGTTCATTCGAAAGTGCATGTGCGCGAACAACACCATTCATATTCTCAAACCTTCTCATCTATCATCCCCCTGTTTGAAACTGATAATCGTGATACCTTTTCGATTATCATCTTTCCTTCCGTCTTTATCCGTTGATCGGTCATTGTTCTTCAACTTTTGCAACGACCTTTGACGAGTGCTTTTCACCTTTACGAAACGTTATCTCAATTTCAGTCAGCTTACGAATCTTGTCAAGTGAAGCGGGATACACTCTAGCCAAACCGTCATCATGGCGGATAAGCCCATCTCATTCGCTGAGCACTGTCAATTACAGTCGCTCGGCATTTCGCAAGAATATTGTACGTTTGCAAACTGTACTTTGGAATCCGAAAGATTCGTTTGTGTACGTGAAAATAATCAAGTTTGCATTGTTGATTTGAACGATGCAAATAATGTTATGCGAAGACCTATCACTGCCGATTCAGCAATCATGAACCCGGCACAAAAGATCATCGCTCTTAAATCTGGTCAAACATTGCAAATTTTTAATATTGAAGCAAAGGCAAAAGTTAAATCTCATCAATTAAACGAAGATGTTCAGTTCTGGAAATGGATCTCCAATACAACCTTGGGTTTAGTCACTTCTACAGCTGTATACCACTGGACCATGGAAGGAGAATCAAATCCATCCAAGATCTTTGATAGACATGCAAGTTTGGCAGGAACTCAAATTATCAACTACCGTGCTTCGGCAGACGAGAAATGGTTGTGCTTGATCGGTATCTCCAGCAACACAGCTCCAAATGCATTCAAGGTCAAGGGAAACATGCAACTGTATAGCCGCGATCGTGGAGTCAGTCAACCTATTGAAGGTCATGCTGCCGCTTTTGCTGAGCTCAAATCAGACACCGCCCCCTCGCCATACAAATTGTTCACATTCGCTGTGCGTACAGCAACTGGTGCAAAACTTCATGTTGTTGAGATCGATCATCAAGCAAACAATCCAACATTCACCAAAAAGGCAGTCGATGTGTTCTTCCCGCCTGAAGCAACAAACGACTTCCCAGTTGCCATGCAAGTCAGTAAGCGATATGGAATTGTCTACTTGGTCACCAAGTACGGTTTCATTCATCTGTACGATTTGGAGAGCGGTACGTGCATTTACATGAACCGTATTTCTGGTGAAACAATCTTTGTGACAGCCGAGTACGAAACAACGAGCGGTATTATTGGTATCAACCGTAAAGGACAGGTTCTATCCGTATCCGTTGATGAAACAACAATCATCCCGTACATCCTCAGCACGCTCAACAATACCGAATTAGCATTCAAATTGGCCTCCAGGGGTGATTTGCCAGGTGCAGATGATCTCTACATGCAACAATTCCATTCGCTCTTCAGTACTGGCCAATACGGTGAAGCCGCCAAAATTGCAGCCAACTCGCCTCGTGGAATCTTGCGAACAACACAAACAATCGAGCAATTCAAGCAGGTACCCAACCAACCTGGAACTCTCTCTCCTATTCTGCAATACTTTGGTATCTTGCTAGAGAAAGGCACCCTCAACAAATTCGAATCTCTAGAATTAGCCAGACCAGTCTTGGTGCAAAACCGCAAGCATCTCCTAGAGAAATGGCTCAAGGAGAACAAGATTGAGTGCTCTGAGGAATTGGGTGATATCGTTCGTCAGCATGATATGAATTTGGCATTGAGTGTCTACCTTCGCGCAAATGTACCAAACAAGGTAGTTGCCTGCTTTGCAGAGACTGGACAGTTCAACAAGATTGTTCTCTATGCGAAGAAGGTCGGATACACTCCCGATTACGCCGCTTTGTTGCAGCACATTGTCCGCATCAATCCTGAACAAGGTGCTGAATTCGCAAGTAGCTTGGTGCAAGATGAAAATGGACCCCTGGTGGATATCGAGCGTGTTACAGATATCTTTATGGGACAAAACATGATCCAACAAGCCACCAGTTTCTTATTGGATGCTTTGAAGGACAACAAGCCTGAACAAGCTCATCTACAAACACGCTTGCTAGAAATGAACTTGGTCAATGCTCCTCAAGTCGCTGATGCAATTTTGGGCAACCAAATGTTCACTCATTACGATCGACCAAGAATTGCCAACCTTGCCGAGAAGGCCGGACTTTTGCAAAGAGCATTGGAGCATTACGAAGATCAAGCCGATATCAAACGTGTGGTTGTACACTCCAATCTACTTAACACTGAATGGCTCGTCGAGTACTTTGGTCGTTTGACTGTCGAGCAAAGTTTCGACTGCATGAAGGAAATGCTCAAGGTCAACATTCGTCAAAATTTGTCTGTCGTCGTACAAATCGCTACGAAATACTCCGACTTGCTCGGTCCCGTCAAATTGATCGAAATGTTTGAATCATTCAAGAGTTTCGAAGGATTGTACTACTACTTGGGATCCGTTGTCAATTTGAGCCAAGATCCAGAAGTTCACTTCAAGTACATCCAAGCTGCCACACGTACTGGTCAGATTCGTGAAGTCGAAAGAATCTGCAGAGAATCAAACTTCTACAATCCAGAAAAGGTCAAGAACTTCTTGAAGGAGGCCAAACTATCCGATCAATTGCCTTTGATTATCGTGTGTGACCGTTTCGACTTTGTTCACGATTTGGTTCTTTATTTGTACCAGAACATGCTTATCAACTTTATCGAAGTGTATGTGCAAAGAGTCAACTCTAGCCGTACACCGCAAGTCATTGGAGGTCTATTGGATGTTGACTGTGACGAAGGCGTGATTAAAAACTTGTTGTCTTCCGTTACAGGCCCCATTCCAGTCGATGAATTGGTCGAAGAGGTTGAAAAGCGTAACCGTCTCAAGTTGGTCTTGCCTTGGATCCAATCGCGCATCGATGCAGGTCAACAAGATCAACCATTGTACAACGCTCTTGCCAAGATTAACATTGACAGCAACAACAACCCCGAAGCATTCCTCAAAGAGAACAACTTATACGACCCTTTGGTTGTTGGTAAATACTGCGAGAAACGTGATCCTTACTTGGCATACATTGCATACGCCAAGGGCTTCTGTGATGAAGAACTGATTTCGATCACCAATGACAACACAATGTACAAGCACCAAGCTCGTTACTTGGTCATGCGAAGACAATTGGATCTCTGGGCTTCTGTTTTGCAAGGAGACAACACGCATCGTTCTGCCTTGATTGATCAAGTTGTTTCAACTGCTGTTCCTGAATCAACAAACCCCGATGATGTTTCAGTCACTGTCAAGGCTTTCATGGCTGCCGATTTACCCAACGAATTGATCGATTTGTTGGAGAAGATCATCCTCGAACAATCTGCATTCAGCGACAACAGATCATTGAAGAACTTGCTCTTGCTGACAGCCATCCGCACGGACAAGGCCAAGGTGATGAACTATATCGACAAATTGAGTGGATACGACGTTGACGAAATTGCCAAGATTGCAATCGATAATGGATTGTACGAAGAAGCATTCCGCATCTTTGGTAAGAACGATCAACATGTGGACGCCATGAATGTTTTGGTCGAGCATATCGTCAGCATTGAACGTGGTCAACAATACGCCGAGAAACTCAATCAACCTGATATCTGGTCACGCTTGGGTAAAGCTCAATTGGACGGTCTACGTGTGAAAGATGCTATTGACAGTTACGTAAAGGCAGAAGACCCATCCAACTACTCCGAAGTCATCGAGATTGCAGAACGTTCCGGACGAGAGGAAGAATTGATCAGATTCTTGCAAATGGCACGAAAGAAGGCTCGTGAGCCTTTGATTGATACCGAATACGCCTACTGCTTGGCAAAGGCAAACCGATTGTCGGACATGGAAGAGTTCTTGAGTATGACAAACGTGGCAGATATCTTGCAAGTCGGAGAGAAATGTTTCAACGAAGAATTGTACGAAGCCGCAAAGATCTTGTTCAGTTCGATTGCTAATTACGCTCGTTTGGCAACCACTTTGGTCTACTTGAAAGACTTCACTGGTGCAGTCGATGCTGCTCGCAAGGCAGGAAACACGAGTGTCTGGAAGCAAGTTCACGCAGCTTGTTTGAGTCAAGGCGAGTTCAAGTTGGCACAAGTCGCCGGTTTGAACGTCGTTGTCGCCGCTGAAGAGTTGCCAGCCCTCGTCCGTGCTTACGAACGTGGAGGACATTTCGATGCTTTGTTAGACTTGCTAGAGACCAGTTTGGGATTGGAGCGAGCAAACATGAGCATCTTCACTGCTGCTGGTGTTGCTTTGGCTAAATACCGACCTGCTCGCTTGATGGATCATTTGAAGATTTACGTCACCAGATCCAACATCCCGCAACTTATCAAGGCCACCAAGCAATGCCACTTGCACGGTGCAACGGTATTCTTGTACACCAAATATGACGAATTCGACAACGCTGCTTTGCACACTATCGAACATTCGGCTGATGCATGGAATCACGACGACTTCAAGGGCATGCTTCCTAAAGTTGCAAACATTGAAATTCTTTACCGTGCTTTGACATTCTACCTTGAACAACATCCACTTTTGCTTAACGATTTGTTGCAAGCACTATCAAGGGTTGATCCCGCACGTGTGGTACGAATGTTTAAGAAGGATGACAACGACAATATCCCGCTAATTCGTTCTTGGCTCATCTCCGTTCAAGAGAAGGATATCGAAGAAGTCAATGATGCTTACAATGACCTCTTGATCGAAGAAGAAGATGCAGACACCCTACGTGCCTCCATTGACGGTTTCAAGAATTACGATGCTATCGCTTTGGCAAGACGATTGGAAAAGCATGAATTGTTGGAGTTCCGCAGATTAGCCGCTCATTTGTACAAGAAACAAGGAAGATTTGATCAAAGTATCGCACTCAGCAAGGAAGATCAATTGTTCAGAGATGCAATCGAGACGGCTGCCGTCTCAAACAATGCTACGGTTGCGGAAGAATTGATTACATACTTTGTTGGAGTGGGTAACAAGGAAGCATTTGCAGCGATGACATTTGCATGCTTCGATGTGATTCGTGAAGATGTGATCGCAGAGCTGTCTTGGAGACATGCTTTGCGTGACTTTGTTATGCCGTATGAATTGCAAAAAGCACGTTCTCGTACAGACAAGATTGCCGCTTTGGAAGCACAAGTGAAAGAACTTTCAACACGAGCAGCAACTCAACAAAAAGAAGAAGATGAAGCACCCATCTTGGGACCAGGCGGACCTAAGATGATTACTGCACCCACGGGAATGATGGGAGGCTATGGCGGAATGAATGGAGGTCCGGTTGGTGTTCAACCGACTGGATTTATGGGACCGCCCGTTGGCGGAATGTTCTGATGCTTTAGCCTAATCTTATTCCCCTTACCTTTCCCCCCCCCCTTTCTTTCTCTTTTGGCTAGAATCTATTTTTATCATTTGAAATGTAGTTGAAATTATATTGAATTGAACTTGGCTCCTATTTTGTTCTTCAACGGCTTTTGTTTGTTCGGAAGCGTGCGGCTTAAACCGCTTTTTGGCGGACGCATATCCGAATTTAAAGTGCTTTCACAATGCTGCTCAAATTGACATTCAGACGTAAGGTACATACGTCACTCTTTGTCAAAATATTCTAGAAAAAAGGGGGACTGCTCGGGGTGATCCGTTGCAACGATAATACCAAGATCACGGGCGATATGCAGGAACATGAGAATCGAAGCGGGGAATGAAAGAATTAAGATTCAGAAAGAATTAATAAATACGTAAGCAGATCAAAAAGCCAAGCGCTTTGTGTCATAATGAATTTAATTAGAGATTTTTGTGGCTTTTTGTCGTCATTGTTTTGTTTTCTAAGGCTAAAATACCAGCAATACACTTTACCTCTCTTGGAAAATCGGTCCGCTATGCTCAAAAGAGTGAATTTATGCTTCCTCCCCAAAACCGTTGACTAACACAAAACCCTTTCGGCCAATCACATCCTCGCATCGGCCCGCAGCCATTTAAGGTATAGATGATGTATCTGAGTATGAATCGGCTTTGTCGTTATGCACTATATGGGCACGTGTGATGAAAGTAACTTAAAAAGATAAGAAAGAGTGTTTTGTACATTTAACAATGAACCTCCGATAATGATTGGGCAATCTAAAACTAATTAAATTTACGTTAAATGTATGTAAGATGCACATCTATCTCGGAAAGAAGTCGGCTATTTGAGTGTGAGTGTATGCAGGTATGGCGTGTGTACATAGCCGTTGGTTTGCATGACTTTTAGCGTTGTGACTTTGCTCCAACTTGAGTGTTTGATGATGAGTCCCTTAGCTTGTGCTACGTGAGATTCTATCTTATAGAATAGTCTATCGTACGATTTAGTGTTTCTTGTAAGTAGCTATGCGATCAGAGAGAGGATGATGGTAACCTATTGTTGACTAGCGGATGAATTAGCTTTCCCGGATCTGCAAATTCAAACTTGTTCTAACGGTGTAAACGCAACAATGCGTGCGCATATGCATTTCGGCCAGTTCCTCTATTGTTTGGCCGATAATGAGTACTCTGGTACACGATTTATGCACGCGGATTGCTTATTTCGTACTTCGATTATAGCTCGGATAGCAATTTGCATGTCAAAAAGATGTTGCAACTTCGCGCGGCAAGTCGGGAGACACTTTAACGGCACTCGAACAGCCTTTTGTTCCTGTAAACCAATCATGACGCTGTTAACGGGATCCCGCGTTTTTGGGGTGCATAAATGAATAATATATGCTCTGTCTGCTGCTCTACGCCTGTCAAAAGTGTCGTCTTTTTAGAGAACGGCATGGACTCTTTACTCTCACGACAAGTTTCGATTTAAAGCGCGCTAATTAAGCACAAAAAGCAAAAAATAACACATTCATTAAGCTTGATCTTGCTCTTATTAACATGGTGGGTACACTACCACTTTCGTGTGGCTTATCTTTATTTTTCAGCTCCGATCGGCACTGGTTTGAAAGGCATTTTGGGTAAAGAGAAAGGATTGTATAATGTGAAAATGGAAAAATGAAGAAGAGGCCGTAGAATGATGAGAAACAGGTGAAAGAACAGTGACGTAAGACTTTTAGATGATTCTATCTCGAATAGTGTGAAACAAAAGCACTTTAGAGCATTTAGGCACAAATGATGTACATGCCAATCTTTGTGTAATTCCCATGGATGTACCTACTTTATCTAGCTTGAGAGCAGTGCTCCTATGCAATTGCTTTGGTCTTGGTTTTTGGCTTGCATGCAGATCACTTTAATCGGTGCCGTGTGCCTTTACTGAGGAAATAACCGCAATGCACTCTTTACCATTACGTACAAAGCTCAATTTCTCAATCATCCGATCACACTTGTCTTGTCCAAACACTTGAAAGAAGCTTCTAAATCTGCATTTGACCTGCATTTGTGCATTGACCTACTAAGTATCTTATATTACCTCAAATGCACGTCAAAAATCAAAGTTCGGTGTTATTTTAGCCCGGGACGAGGAGAATTGACCGTTGAGTACAATTAATCATTCAGCCACTGTTTTGGGAAAAAGAAGGTGAAAAAGCTTGTGGAGCTTTTGTCTCAATCAAGTTGAACGCTCTCTCTCTCTCTTCTCTCTCCCACGCTTCATGGCTTCTTTTTTTTCTTTTTGGCATGCAATTTCTCGTAAGAGGATGAGCAACAACGTCAGCATCTTTGTGTGCCTTGTCCAGCTTTAATTGCAAATTCATTGTCCGCAACACTTGGCATCGGGAGCGACGTATGCAAGTATTTGAAAGCCTGCATCGTTTTTTGGTTGTCAAGCAATCAATCAATTTCATCAATAGCCAAGGAATAACTCTGCTTTCCTTGTCGCCCAACTGTCAAGAAGTAGCATTTATTTACGCCACCGAACACAAAAATACCAACAAACCATTCATACAACCATATCATTCACTCTTCGGCTTAAACGCTATCCGCACAAACAGAGAGACAGAGTGATATAGTCCTTTGAATTCGTCAAGGTTGTTCCTTACCGTACACATTCCGTCATTTGGTTCTTACACATACATACAAAACCCTTTCTTTTGTTTGGTTGTTGTTGATCGTTCAATCTGTTTCATATACTTGTAGTTTTCTTTTTCTCTTACTTTTTTACTCGAGCCACAACGATTTCGGCGAATTGGAAGCCATAGAACAGCGACGCACCAAAGCAACAGATACGGTCCCGCAATCGCATTATCGTTGATCTTCTTGCATCGATTCAGGTTGTTGTTCATATTCCATTTTAGGAAAAGGAAGGGCTACACAGCAATCGGACAAGTTACCTCGCTGCAGAAAAACGTACCCAAGAAAAAAGCTGAAGGAGGAGGACGAAACCAAAATAACGGTGCAAGCGGGACACAAGAAGGACTGTTCCACCAATTTGCCATCTTGCTTCATCACCATCATCTGTTCACAATTGTCGAGATCATGTTTATTGTACTTTCATAATTTGTCGTCTTTTTTCTTCTATAACAACTTCGGTGGTCCATCATCACTTTCAAAACGATGGCCAGCGATCATCCATACTCTGGATCTAGCGAACAACAGGCATACAGACAACAACAACAACAACAGCAGCAACAACAGCAGCAACAACAGTCAAGAATGCCGTCTCAACAGCAAGATATTCAGATACTTCAGTACAACAGTCCACAGCTGTTGCAACATGGCAGCTTCGATCCATATTTTGCCGCACAATTTCAACAATATGGTGGAGGACAATACACTTCTATGCAACCTACCAGCTCTTCATCTTCTTTGCGAAGTAATGATAACCAACGATTTTCAATGGTTGCCCGTCATCCGATTAGAGGAGGAATGCCAGGAAATGCATTAGCTCAACCTTCTCCCGCTCGAAGTTCTTCAAGTGCAAAAGCACCAAGAGCAAGAGTGAACATGGCATGCGTCCACTGCCGGTCAAGGTAAGATGAAGTGATACAATGTGCGGAAGAGGACACCACTCACACCTTTTCCCTTTCTCTCACATTTAATAGAAAAATTCGATGTGATGGCAATCAGCCAAAGTGTGCTACATGTTCAAGACTTGGACGAGTTTGTGTATACGAAAATATCAGCGAGTAAGTTCTTTTCTAGCGTTTCTTATCTCTTTTGACAATGAGTTTAACCAATTCCACTTCCTTCATTCTTTTCCATTTCTACCTCAAAGACAAGAGAATGCAGCAGTGCGTGACAAGAAAAGGAAGAGTAGGGAAGCCAAACAAGCAAGATTAGATACATTGAGCCAATTGGGAGTCTCTATGCCACGACAACAGCAAAGTGCAGTAACCCATGATTCTTATCGTCAACGGCCATATCCTATGTTCAATTCAGTTGGTCCTTCTTCTTCCGTCTTTCGATCACAATTCCAAACCGCCAATACAACAAATCAGGGCATGATGCCACCATCGTTTACACAGCAAAACGCACAACAACAAGATCAGAATAGAGTTTGGCAAAGTCAAACGCCAACGACTCAATTTGTATCAGCACCAGTTACAAACGAGCCTATTCCAGTAACTGTTACTCGAAGAAGAGGTGCAACCGTTGGAGGCTTTGAGAAAAACGAAAATGACTCACAGCCCCATCCTACTTTTTGGCAAAATGACAAGACTTCCAATGCTGGAGATACATCGCCAAATGTGGAATTGCCTTACACACCTACAATCGAAGCAAACCCTGTCATGGGAGCGGGAAATACGGGAATGCTGTATGATGTAATTGCACCTCGTGTTAATTCACTTTCGCAACCAGCAACGCCAGAAGCAACTTATCGTTTTCATGCTTCTATGCTTTCACATGAATTGGCATTGACCAGTTCGACTTCTACTGGTCAGCCAAGCCCTCAAGAGTGAGTATTTTTTGTGCCAATGTCAATAATTTTGTACGCTGACGATTCTTCTTTTCAGGAATGCTTTCTTTAACAGTGCATATCAAGGACAACCCTCGGCTTATTCTCTTGGAGCTGCTTATCAGCCAAATATGAACACAAATCATGATAGCGGGGCCGCAAGCACTAGTAGCGCAGGATCGTTCAGCATGATGCCGGCTATGCAATCCTCCGTTTCAGAGGACAATCTATACTCGGCCGGAAGTATGTTTATGAGCAGACCGGACCAATACGGCAATCTCTCTTCCTTGACACCAATCGTGAATCCTGCAGATCAACCTTTACAACCTGCAACAAACGCTGAAGATCAATTTGGACAATCGAACATCAATCCGCATATAGATGGTCAAGAAGAGGCATTTGAATTAACAGAAGAGCAAAGAAGACGATCGATCGAGCAAAAAAAGATTTGGAAGAGGACAACAAACTCCGATGCGGCAATTGCAAGATTCTTTGCCCGTGTGGTTGCTGCAAGGGAAGGTGAAATTGAGAATAACGATGTGCCTGTTTGTGGTCCTGGTGGATACAATATTCCAGCTTGGTCACAAAATACGAACTTATCATTAGCACAAGATACTTCGATCGCTTCTTCTTCCGCAAGTTCTTGGTCAGGACAAGAGATCAGTGGAATGACGGGTAGTATCGTAGGTGCAACAAGTGATGGACAGATGACAGGATCTACGGACCTGACGGGAAATGCAGCGCAAATGAGTCAAAGTAACGCACATACACCTGAATCAGGAGGACCAGCGAGAAGGGGAAGTGGATTGAGCCATTTGAGTCAAGCATCAATGCTTCCATTATCTGCAAACAATACCCCGCCATCCGATACGGTCGGTTTCCGAAACCAGCGTCCTCCTCCTTTACAATTTGATAGTTTGCCGACTTTTGCTCAACAGCATAATCTTGCTCAGCTTACACAAGACCGTGGTTCTGCAAATACGTTTGTCGAATCGCCAATGACGACAATTCAAGGTAGTGGAACGAATATGAGCACTTCTTTCAGTCAACAACGTATGCAACCTTCTGTTTTGACACCATTATCAGGATCTGGTTCAGTTCCGCTTCGATCACCGTCATTCATTAATCCAAACTCATCACCTGGTCTTCATTCGACAGCAAATGTTCAACAAGATCTCACTTCAATGTCAAGACCATTTCAAACGCCGGTTACAGAATTATCTTCTCATCTTTTTGCATTGGGACATTCACGTGGACCTTCAGAAGGTAGCTCAGAAGAAAAAGATGTTTTCAACGATCCACAACAATAGCCCACACATATAAAAAAGAAAAGCCTTGTCTATACACTTGATTTCGTTTTGTTTTGCATGCATGTGTTTTGATTGTTTTTGTATTTTATTATAAACTATATATTTGTTCAAAATAACAGAATTGATACCAATTACCAATGAACCAATGAGAAGATTGCTTATCATACAATTTCTAATGATGATTATTCTTCGATGACCATGGTTAATTCAAAGTGGAGGAACTATTAGTCGATTGTAAGGTAAAGTGCCAAAAAAAGCCACATCGGTCGGTATGATCGGCATTCCAAAAAGGTGAAATGGTTTTGAATTGACCGAATTTAATTGAATCTCGCTTTCGGTCAAATCTCTTTTTACGCCGGCCGGCGCAACGCAAAAGCTTTTGTGCATCGGAACGCGTAGTAAAAATGACGCACTTTAATTAAAAAAAAAGATATTTGCCTGATTGAAAAAAAAGACTTTTGATAATCATTGATCGATCGAACAGAATGCGGATAAAGAAGAATAGAACTCAAAGAACATCGGATAGAAATCGGCTTGATGACAAAGATTGATAGAAGGATCGACTTCTTGATGACTAATCCGTGAATGGACTACCGACCGTGACTAATATCTCAATCATGCAGACTGTATATTCATCATTATCACAATTCATATCTTTTAACTTTATATGCTAACTTGTGAGAAGAAAGGACGAATGGAAAAGATACATACTCTTCTATATCACCTCTTAGCTTGGTTGTGTCATTATAATTCACGGTAACGGACTTATTGTGTATCTTCTTGGCTCCCACTTCAATATCTGCACTCTGGAAGCTTTGCTATGAATTATTTAATATAAGCCTAACAGTGCAATAGCATCGACTACTCGAATGACTATCGTCCGGCAACTACTTTAATCCGTGCCGTGGGTCAATTTTATCCACTTCCAGGAACGCGTTTAAGAAGAGTAAAAAAAGACGGAAAGATTTTGCCCCAGCCTGTGGTTACGTACTAGTAGTACAGCACAAGGTGGCTAAATTTTATAGGAATCGGGCGGGCGTTTAGAAGTCAAACATGTTAAATGCCTGGCGCCCTAACCCTGACAGATTGTGTGTGCGTATGCGTGCGCTGGGCTGGGCTTCGACCCAACAAATTAATGTTGGCTATCACCATACGTGTAACGTTCAGACTTGCATACAACATATCACCACCATTGACTTACCATCACAAGAATGAGAAGGGAATTCAAGTTGACAAAATTGTGATTTAAAGATATCAACTGCTATATCAGGTATAATAGCAGCAGGATTGCAAACACACATCGTCAAAGATTGATTAACACCGGCATATCCGAAAAACATACTTTTCAAGTTATGCTATTTGCATCACGATCAACATAAGGAAAGCTTGCTCGTACAAAAGGCTCATCAATAATAGCCTTGGAGCCACTCGACCCCTACCAATAGTAAACAGAGGCCAAGATGAATTCGATAACCTACCTGGACTCCATCTTGACCCGCTCACTGACATCTTCGCGATCAGGTTCAGGCACAAATACGCCATCTCCATACAACGATAAAGGTGAAGGAGGCAGCAATGATGGTCATCAGCATGGTCATTTGAATAGACGAGCATCCGACTACTCACTAAGTCGTGAACGTGAACGTGAAAAACGAAAGATTGCTGCCAGTCTTGGCTTAACCGCATTGGATGGAAATGTTGGAAGGGGTTCACGTCAAAGTAGCGAACATCAAGCACGAAAATCTGCCAGATCATCTCGCAGAAGTAGTCGAACAAGCAGTGCACGTCATAGCGAAGCAGAAGAAGTGGGAAAGAACGAAGAAAGTACCGGCAAAGATGCAGGTAAAGCATCATCTGCAAGGAGCGCTTCATCCAGCCATCCCAAATCATACTCTGAAGGCTATTCGGATGACAGACCCTCAATGAGACGTGCCGGGAGCATTCCTGCCCCTATTCGATCATACTCCTCTAATCAATCAAGAGGTTGGGGAAGTCTTTGGGGATTAGGAGGCTTCATCGAAGATGCAACCACATACGACTCCTATATGCGACGACAGATTTCTGCTTCTTCTGGTTTACGCAGATCGAGGCAAAGTGAAGGAAACCTGGAATCCGGACATATGACTCCTTCTCATGCTACTTTAGAGGCTGGATCCTCAAGTGGCGGAATTCGAAGAGCTTCTACAAGCGATGCAGACGCAACTCTTGCAGGCTTTGCACCTGATGCACTTCTGTCTGAACGGGAAAGAGAAGATGTTGTGGACTTTGAAGGATATGATCCCGATTACGAGGTAAATCCCCCACCGCATGCACCGCCTTCTACTCCATTTCCAGGAAGTGAAAGCGCTGGAAAGGATGCGGTTGGGGATAGGCGAAGCCAGAGTGAAAAGCTTGATCAGGCAAGCAATGAACTAAGCAGAGGGTCTTCAACAGCCTCAAAATTAAGTTCATTACTCTTTGGCGCTTTGAATCCTCTTACCGACGACTACTTCGGTCCTCAAGCGGCTCAGAGATCTACAGTCGCCAATCGCAGGCGTGCATCAGAAGCCTCCGAAAAGAAGCGTAAATCGGAACGATCAAGGAAAAGCTCACATCACAGTAGAGATTCGCAGAGCGAAGCGAGTTCATCAGGACATGGACACGAAGGACTGCAATCGTCGTTACTCGATAAACCTACCAAAAAGGCTGGTAAAGACATCGATACCGCTAATGGCTCTACACCATCGCTCGAGAAAGCGCCTATCTCTGCACCTTCGAATGGCGAGAAGCTTCCAGATGACCCTCCGCCACCTTATTCAGACTCTGAAATCGGATCTCACAGTCCCCTTTCGACTCCAGATGAACGATCAGAATTGCCGAACGGGCAACAGACAACCCGCACCTTTACCGGATCTGCATTTGCTCGAGGAGCGCAAAAGACTTTTGAGCTGCTGAGAAGACTAGTCTTGATGATTTTATTGGGGCCATATCGACTATATCGACTGGTGCATAAGTCTAAGAAGCAACCAGTAGAAGCCCAGCCCATAAGAGAAACGACAAAGAATGTAGAGATTGTGACAACGATTGAGAAGAGGAGAGAGAGCAACAAAGGATTTCAAACTCTGTCTCAGGCCGAAAGACCAACAGCTGCACGTCATGTGGCACGAAAACGTGCGAGTGATGATTGGCAATCTGATCAGGATAGGGATAATGAAGAAGGCAAGAAAGTTACTGAGATCAATGGAAACGAAAAAGAGTTGCTAGCAAAAGCATTCGAAGAAAGTGATTCCGATACAGAAGTGATTACAGAAGATCAAGCAGAAGCTAGGGCAATCCGTAGAGCACAGCGTGCTGAAGCTAGGAAAAAGGCAGCGGAAGCAAGCATGGAGAAAAAAGTGGATGATCAAGTACAACAGCAAAGACCACGTGCGTCAAGTCGTCTGCTTCCCAACCCTCATCCTGTCGATCCGTTGCTGGCACATGATCGCAATGCCAAACCTCTTACTGCTGAAGAGCAAAAAATGGCCAAACAGCAACAGACTAAGCTTGGGGAAGTGGGAAAGGCAGGTGCTTTGGTCAATCGAGGCCCAATGTCTTCATTGATTCACCACTCTCCAAAGGTGCTCGTGTTAGATTTGGATGAAACATTGATTCACTCAACCAGTCGAAGTCCTACTTGGAGTGCTTTGGCCGATAAGAGTAAAAGCCGGGTTGCTGTAACTACGGGTGGCAGTCTGTTGGGATTGGAAGGATTGGGAGGCGTGCTTGGCTTGCGGGGACAAGTTGGTGTACGTCCACATCAGGTGGAAGTGGTCTTAGACGGTCGTAGTATTATCTACCACGTATACAAACGACCACATGTTGACACTTTCTTGCGCAAGGTTGCCTCTTGGTACCATGTTGTAGTCTTTACAGCATCTGTTCAAGAATATGCAGATCCCGTCATCGATTGGCTAGATCAAGGTAGGGGCTTGATTAGTGGTAGGCTGTTCCGTGAATCGTGCACGTTCCGCAACGGATCCTACTACAAGAATCTCGCATTTGTTGATTCAGATTTGAGTCGAGTTTGCTTGGTGGACAACAGTCCTGCAAGCTATATGATCAATCAAGCGAACGGTATTCCGATCGAAGGATGGACTCATGATCCAAGTGATGAAGCACTTTTGGATCTCCTGCCGGTCTTGGATAGCTTGCGATTTGCAAGTGATGTTCGACATATTTTAGGCATTCGTGGCTTTTCAGACCCAGCTTTTAAAGCTTTGCCTCCGATTAGTGCGTAATGTTAGTGTATGATCTTTCGCATAATAATGTACTTTTTAACGCAAATGATGGATATTAATGTTATGTAATGTACAAATAGAATGACAGGCCGAAGAAGGGTATCCTTTTTGAGACAGTATCATTCATCGTCCTCCTCTTCTGCTTCTTCCTCTTCGTCAATTTCATCTTCGCCTTCGTCCTCAAATTCGCTCAGACCTTCAACATCAAGACCTTGCGCTTTAGCTTCATCGAGAAGATCCAAAAGATCATTGAGCTCCTGCATCTCAGCTTCGTCTAATTCGCCTTCAGATTCTGCTCCATCAAGATCGCTGTCTATGTCACTGTCTCCATCTCCAGAGAATTCTTCCTCTTCATCATCATCTTCGTCTTCTACGTCAGTTTCTTTGGAATCTGTTGCAGCGGTTCTGACGCCAGAACCACCAACGACATCTAAAGAAGTCAAACGTGCACCACCCGTACTGTGTGTACCGATTGGTTCCTTTTGGTGTGGCTCCTCCGGTTTCTCGTCTATTGCCTTCTCTACCAGGTCACTACAATCGAAAACGCGAAGTTTACCATCCGATGAAGCTGTCACAACAAGAGTGAGAGGCTGAGGTGCTGTTGTGGGTTGAATACGAACGCTTCGGATAGCTTTGACTCGATTCTCATGTCCGATCAATTGATCGATTGGTCCAACAAGTGCATCTTTGTTGATACGATATGTATCCACAGTTCCGCTTTCTGTACCGGCTAAGATCGTCTTTGTGTCTAGCCAAGCGACCGATCCAAACTTGTGTTTGGGATCATCCCGTCTCACAATGACACAGGCTAGCTTTTTCATATCAGTTGTGTAAATTGAGATCTCTGTACGTCCCATAACCAAGAATCTTGAACCATCTGGGCTCCATTGAACGTCTAGCGGTTCTTCTTTTGTCCGATGACTTGAAGATCCTGCATCTTCTTCGGACATTCCCAAATACAATCGCACTGCTCCTGCTCCTTTTCCTCGCATAAGATCCCACATCCGCAGCATACCATCCTGTCCAACAGATAATGCTACCTTGCCGGAAGGATGAGCTTGACATGCATTCACACGACCGGTATGACCGCGTAATGTTTTAAGCAAAGCCCAATCTCTTGTCCTGTACAGATTGATCAAACCACTTGAATCAGCCGAGATAAGGTAAGTACGAGAAGGAAAGCTTAGCGAATGAATCGTACCTCCATGTCCGGTCAAACCTCCAACTTCTTTTCGTTTACGTAAATCCCAAACTCGAACAGTTTCATCACCGGCACCGGTCGCCAGCCACTTTGAATCAACACCTGCAGCGGCTACAGCGGTGATACAAGAGGTGTGTGCTGCAAAGCTAAACATGGGCGTGAATGTAGCTTGAGAAGATAATTCTCCATGTGCTTCCATCTTTACCTGAAATCCAAACAATAATCTCTCGTACGATCCAGTGATGATCCTGAACGTTCTCGGTAGCGGTGATTCTTTTAATGGCTGCTTGACCGCTTTTAAAGTTGCCTCGGATGGTGCTTTACTCTTTTCGGCTGCCTTTCCCTTTCCTTTCTTAGCTGCAGCATCCTTAGGAAGAGCTAAATCGTTACTGTCATCTTGTTTTTGCTTCATTGCAGTTTTGACAGGCTCTTTCTTTTGCGGTCCATTCTTCAAGATGGATTTCGGCTTTCCTTCTTGTGAACTTTCTTTTTTATTCGGAGTAGTCTCTTTCTTTGTCTTTGTGTTGTCTAATTTTGGTTTCTTTGACAAGCTTTGCTTTTTCGAATCAGTCTTTTCCGTTGGAGTATCATCCTTTCTTCTTTTTGCACTTTGTCTGAATACCTGACCTTTTGGCATCGTTGATACCGGTTTTGGCTGAGTCCGGTTTACCATTTTTGATGCTGACAGAAAAGCTTCTGTATATGAGGGCTGCAAACAAAGCTGCTCGAAGGTATTGATTGCTGTGTGAGCCTCTAAATCAAGAATGATTGGAAAAATTCCAAACACGTGCAAATTTTGACTTCTCTAAAATGGCTCAGGCACAGAAAGCAACACTCCAACGCTAACGCGGTTAATTGGCCGAAAAAGCCGATGGATAAAAGAAGTTTTGCATGCAAGGCATATAAGCACACTTGCATACAATCATGACTCGAGATAAAGATTAGAAAGATAATGAATACATTCAACCCTTTCCTCACAACCACAACAACTACATCAATCCATCATGGCAGCTGCTAGTGTAGAAGCCGCAACGGCTCATAGCAACGGAATCAGCAATGGAAGTGCAATCAAAGGATCCTCCGCTTCGAAATCTATCATAGCCAGTAAAGGTCCTGGTTTGAATCATCAAGCTTTGATCTCAGAAAGTTCTCTACGTAGACCTCAAAGCCCAATTCGTTCACTATTCCCAGCCGAAAGTATACCCGGAATGATTTCATTCTTGGCCGGAAAGCCAAATGCAACCACATTCCCATTTGCAAACATTTCCATGACACTCAAAAGTGAGGCAGAGGCGGGTACCTCAGCTGATGGAACACCCACGCAGCTCACCATTGAAGGCGATGAACTCAATCTGGCATTACAATACGGCCTCACGCCTGGACTGCCTCCATTCAAGAAATGGTTGACAGAATTCCAATCGCGCTACAATAACCGTCCGATCGTCAATCCTGGTGATGCGGTAAAAGATGGTCAACATCCATGGACAGTACACGTAGGCAATGGTAGTCAAGACTTGCTGTCAAAAGTCTTCAACACATTATTGAATCCGGGTGATTCTTGTTTGGTGGAACGTCCAGTGTATGCTGGTGTAATGCCGAATTTGGTCGTCTTAGAATCAGACATTGTAGCAGTAGAGGCAGACGAAGAAGGAATGTCACCCGTATCACTTGAGAACATTCTTGCAAATTGGACAACAGCCGAAGCAACAAAGGGCAAGAAGTTCCCCAAATTCGTTCTCACCACACCCACAGGTGCTAATCCCTCAGGAACGACTGCATCAGAACAGAGAAAGCGGGATGTATTACGAATTATTCGACAATACGGTATCCTTCTAATTGAAGACGATCCATACTTGATGTTGGCTTTCAAAGGTTTGGGAGAAGATAAGCCTGAAACAAGAAAGCGTTGCCGCACTTATTGGAGTTTGGAAAACGATGACGCCAAAGAGTATGGAACAGGATGGGTAGTGCGTGTAGACAGTTTCTCAAAAGTCCTATCTGCGGGTATCCGAATGGGATTCATGACGGGACCGCCAACGATTATGCATTATATCGAATCAGAGACCGCAGTGATAAACTTGCAAGCTTCTGGTGTCGCTCAAATTATTACGTTCAAATTGCTGCAATTTTGGGGTTATGAGGGATTTTTGCGTCATGCCGATGCAACGGCCGAATTTTATCGTAAGAGAAGGGATAATTTCGAAATGAAAGCACGTAAAGTTCTGGGAGAAGATAGTGGAAAAGGACAAAAAAGTGTTGCAACATGGATCACACCCGTTGCAGGAATGTTTTTGTGGCTACGATTGAAACTACCACCAAGTGTCAACTCCGCCGAAGGGGATTCATTTGCTCTCATTCGAGAGAAGGCGCACGATAAGGGCGTTTTAGCTGTTCCTGGAATGAGCTTCATGCCCGATGGAAAAACTACATGTTATGTTCGCACAAGTTTCAGTTTGATCCCTGAGGAGGATGTCGAAGAAGGCCTATCACGTTTACGAGCTGTTATTGAAGAAGCATGGAAGGAATCTGGACAAGAGATGCCTGCTTGAAACGTTCAAGCTGATGTATAATTATGCACTTCCAATCTTAACACTAAAATGCTAAACAGGTGCGAATTGTAATTTTTCGGCTCAAAGCGGAATATTGTTCTACATGACGGCAATCAGCGTTCCGCGTTTCAAATGATTGCTTGATCAATAATAAATCGGAAAATAATCGACTCTTTGGCAAATAACTATTTTGACAGCGGATTCCCCGTCTCAGCTCGACGCCCGATTATTGGGCTGCACTTTTCGCGGACCGTTAACGGTCTGGCTTTTCAGGATGACCGCTTGATTGCTCTTGTTTATAATCCTCCTTCGTCCAGATGCGGCTCCGTGTAGAAGAGATGAATAAACAAGGGGATTCCGGAGACCTTAGCGGTAGGCTAACGTCATGATTGTGTACGAAATTGAGAGGATAGGGTATAATACATTAATATATAAACCCCTTTTCTTCTCTACAAATCAACCCATATCCTCATCACCATTCTACCATCCTCTTCTTTTCATTCTTCACAATGTTTAAATCACTCAACTGGACCCTCGTCTTGGCAAGCGTGATGGCTGTTGCCAGTGCTGACAATTTGCCGGCGGATTACAAGACAAGTTACAAGTATTACAACATGCAAGTGAACCGTCTTGGTATCGATTACAAAGATCAAACGTTCCCTTGTTTTCAACCAAATGCACGTTGTTTGACAGTACACAACCCTGAAACCCAATTTGACAAATATGAAATTAACGTGATCGGTGATGCACATGCTACTTGCAATAAGAAGTACCGTACTGGTCATGGAGATGTTGCACATACCGTTTATTCAGGTCGTTGCTTTACCACAGAGCCAACTGTTTATTTGATCACTTGTCGTTCTCCTCCAAATGATCCTGATTTCACTCAAGGTTGGATCACAGTTCATAATGAAGTCGATCAAACTTATTTCTGGGCAAACAATGGAGCAAAAGCACGTTTCCAACATGCTGACAACAACAGCGTTCAAGAGAATCCATTCTTGATGCATGATGTTCAAAAACAAGCCAACCCTGATGTTGAAGTTTACTGCCCTACTTCAACGATGTAAGCTCGGCTTCAAATGGTCAGTACCTAGCAATGATCACATATAATGATTCTAAAGTCACCTCAACATCGTAATTTCATTTCAATTTTTGTCTTCATCGATCGTACCTCCATTGTTTCGTTCGTCTTCCTTCATAGTTCTTGTCATGTCATATCACGTATAATGATCATTTTGATGTGATTTCAAAAGAGTGATAATAGCACTTTAGAGTATAAGATTCTTGTGTCGTAGCACGTTTCAAACTTCCACACCACCAAGAATGGCCCGTCGGAGGTAAAGTGCTAAGATGTCATTAAATCCGCGGCAAGGCAATGAGCCCGTAGCAAATCATTGTGTGCTCCAGTGGCGTGAGGCTGAATAGCTTAAAGCGGATTTAGATTACTGCGAGCATTGCTTTTTGGGTGATGAGAGAAATGATGGATATCACATTGAAATAAAGTTAAAGCCGACACAAAGATGGTCTGGGAACATATAAAAATGCTCCATTCTCTGCTGAAAAGAATAAAAGATACCTTCTGCATACCTCCGATTGCAAGTTAATTACACTATCAAATCTCTCTCAAGATAAATCATCACACACACATATCACTCAAGCAGAATGTCGAACGTTGAAAGAAACAAGAAGGCTGTCCAAGAAATATTCCAGGCAAGTTGATTTTATACATTTGAACCTTCTCAGAGTCTGTCGCTGACCCTATTTCTCCTCAAAGATTCTCGCAGAGAGGCCATTTAATGCATCAAAGCTTGCACCTTATCTAAGCCCTGAGGTTAAGCAAATCCGTGAAGATACAGAAGTGATCGGAAAGGAACAATGGCTAGCCAGATTGACTTGGGTCTTTGATCAATTATTATCTGATGCCACTTTTGAACCTCTAGGCTCAGTTGCTGAAGGAAATAAAGTTTGGACGTTTGCTATCATTCGAAATGAACCTACTTCAATCGTTCCAGATCCATCCACTCATGAACGTGAAACTGTGGATATGTTTACATTTAACGATGAAGGACTTTTGATCGAACATAGAGACGTTCAACAAAATGCTCTGATTAAAAGACATGTCACTAAGTGAACTATCCTAGCCATACGATAGAGGCAGTTCGTACAAATTACAACTTCTTGTATAATTCCACTTAATGATTTTATTCTTATTTCCTAGATTTGGATGGTCACCACCAGCATCGTTTCAGATTGAGCGCGTAGTTCTCTACTTGTGACCTTCCCGCACCTTCTTTCATCATCCCCCGCCTAGGCACGTGTTTCGATAATTTTTAAATTTTAGCCTTGCATGCATGTTCGGACATAAGCTTGATACTTCCTTCTCCTCTTTCACATTATCGGTCGCCTTTCCTGCCACTTTTCGACAGTATGGATGATGGTCAAGGTCCATCTTCTTTGGCATATGCTCCTTCCTATGCCGGAAGATGGTCAAAGCTAAAGCCAGGATTGGAGAAAGAATTAGAAGAACATCTGACTGACATTTTAGGATTTGAAGAAATGACTCCGGTACAATCAAATGTGATCCCACTCTTTCTTTCACATAAAGATGTGATCGTTGAAGCTGTTACAGGCAGTGGAAAAACTCTTGCATACGTCTTACCGGTTTTGCAAATGATTATGAAACGACAAGATAGGCTAAAGAAGAATCAATTGGGAGCTTTGGTCGTTTGTCCGACGAGAGAATTGGCTGTACAGGTACATGGTATCATTCAAAGCTTTCTGCTCACATCGGATGAGAAAGGTGAAGAACAGCAAGGCGACTCAGAGCCCAGCAACACCATTGCAGCAAAGGTATCAGGAGCCCTCTTGGCAGTAGGTGGTTCAACATCGAATCCCGGTGATGATTACAAAAAGTTCAAAGAGCAAGGCTCCGATATAGTCGTCGGAACGCCTGGAAGAGTGTTGGAGCTTCTAGAAAGAACAAGCATCGACTGCAAAGAGCTTGAAGTCCTGATTCTTGATGAAGCAGATCGACTTCTGGATATGGGCTTCACACAAACGCTCACTTCAATCTTACGCCTTTTACCGAAACAGAGGAGGACGGGTCTATTTTCAGCAACAATGACAGATGCAATGAATGAACTCGTTCGTGTCGGTCTACGGAATCCAGTGCGTGTTGTGGTAAAAGTAGAGACGAAAACGACTGCAAGAGATTCTAAAATGATGAATGGTTCGACGTCAGTAAACGATAAACGAACACCGGCAAGTCTGGACAATCATTTCATGAGCATGCGTGCGGAACATAAACTTCTTCAGCTAATTCGAATTTTACGTGCAGAATCGAAACGAAAAGAAGACGACCTGCCGATGCGAAAAGCAATCGTGTTCTTTGCAACTTGTGCACAGGTGAACTTCTTTTACAAGGTTCTCTCACCTCTTACGCAAATGGAAGGATTAAAACTTTACTCTCTGCACGGCAAGCAAACGCCCGTTCGTAGACGTGCAACGTTTGATGCTTTCGTCTCTGCAACACCTTTGGGCTCAGCATCCTCGGTTGAATCGTCTTCCGTTCTTCTTTGTACGGACGTGGCGGCAAGAGGTTTAGATTTGCCCAATGTGGATTTGGTAGTGCAATTCGATCCACCGACCGATCCAAAAGTGTTCAGTCATCGATGCGGAAGAACTGCACGAGCAGGAAGAAGGGGTAGGGCGATTGTGCTGCTAAACAAAGGCAGAGAAGAAGAATACGTTGACTTTCTCAAAGTTCGCAAGAACCCAGTCAAAAGGTATGATTATCTTTGTGATGGAAATGGCGAAGCATCGAGGGAAGAGCCACAAGAGGTGGATTCAGGCGCACTACAGTTACACAACGATATTCGAAAGCTGATTAGAAACGATCGTGCATTATATGACTTTAGCATGCAAGCATTCGTCAGCTTTATCCAGTGTTTCCGCAAACATGAAGTCTCTTTCGTCTTTCGTGAACGTGATTTGGATTACGGTGCGATCGCATTCACCTTTGGTCTTTTACGCTTACCACGAATGCCAGAGATTGATCGATGGCGCAAAAGCAAAGAAGCCGAATCAACAGAAGGCGAAAAGACTTTGTTGTTCGTTGAGGAAAATGTTGATTTGCAAGCATTAGCATTTGCCGATAAAGCTAGAGAAAAGCAAAGGCAAGAAGGTTTAGAAGCAAAGATGACAGCGCAAATCGCAAATGGTAAAGATTCGAAACCAAAAAAGACAATAGAAGAAGCTTGGAGTGAACAAAAAGCACGAAAGGATAGAAAGCAAGACAGAAGGGACAAGAAACAAAGAAAGCGTGCGTTTTTAGCCAAACAAGCATCTGAGCAAGGTCAAGAGCCTGTCAATGGACAAGCAGAAGAAACTCATGAAGACGATGATGATATGAATGATTGGGCAGAAGAGGAAAGATTAGCCAAAAAACAAAAGAAAGATCAATCAAACAAAGAAGACGCAGCCGATACATTTCAATTTGATGATCTTTGATCCGATCACATTGTACAACACAGCATAACCATTTCACCCTTTATTTGTATAGTAGCATTTCTCATATTAATTGGAAATATGAAACAGAAAGAGAAGAAGTTTGATCGAGATATCGTATGTGTGATGTAATGTACAAGAAAAATTCAGAACGTAGACGGAATCATGTGGGAACTCATTGGATCAATTCATCATCTTCTTGATTCCTTCGACCAATTGACCACCCTCCTTGGCGAAATCGATTGATGACATTCTAGTGATGTTGTAACGAACACGCGGGACATCATTGAACGTGTCTTGCTTAGCACGAATATTGAAGATCCAGGTATGGCCATAAGCACGTTCCATAATCTCATTGTAAGCGGCATCATCGCCATTATCCTTTAGTTGTGCTAATTCAGTTGCTGTAGCTCCAAGCATTTGTTCACCAACTTCATTGAATCCACTGAGCCAAATTGATCCGGTATGATCTTGAACGTTTGTGTTGATGATGTAGCGATATTGAGGTGCTTCATAATTCATATCGCACTTCTCACATCTCCAACTTGATTGTTCCATTTGTGTGACCTTTTTGTTACATCCTTCTTTGGGGCAGGCAGGATAGTAGAGGTTGTCTTGCTTAACAAAGATGATCGTACCTTTGACGTTAAAGTAATCCGGTTTCTCGCTCATTCCCAATTGCTCATTTTTGGCTTGATCGATAGTTTTGCGTTCTTTGTTAGACATTGCGCCATCACCAGCACCTGTTCCACCAAGACCAGCAGAATTGTACGTTTTGAAGGATTGAGCGCCCAATCTGTTACCTTCTGCATCATACCAACCACGCAAACCATGTGCTTCTGGAATGTCTGGATTGACGTGCATTGTACTGCTGGTAAACATAGACAAACTTCTGCCACCGAAATCGCTCACGCTGACACCTTTGAAGCCGATCACAGGCTTATCCTCAGGACCACAGCCTGGTTGCCCGGATGGCGTACCGTATGTCTCAGCAGTCTTGCCCCACAGAGTCAAACGGACGCTCATTCCACTTTGATCGACTAATGTCAATTCACGCTTTGTGATGGGCTTTTGAGATGCTTTTGATGTGATTTCTGTCATTTCACCAACCTGTTCAACGATACCGATCACATCACAAGTCTGCTTTGGCTCAACACCGTCCAAGTTGTCAAGCGCGGTAAAGTTGAACTTGATATCAGGAACGTCATTTGCATCAGCGCATTCACTGATTTGCGTATCACGATCAAATGCGATTTCGTATTCGTTAGAGAGGTTAGAGAACTTCTTGCGAGCGATATTAACCTTTGCTTTGGAGACGTAGTAAACGTGACCTTCTTTCAATAGAGGGTATAACCGATCGACATGTTCGTTGAAACCTGTAGCTTTGATCTCGCCACTTTCGTCGAGGAAGTTGCAGCTGAAAAGTTTACCTTCACCGCGTGCATTGTGCCATTGCTTGATTTCACTCTTGGTTGTCACACGAGCTTTGATGGTCCACTTGTTTTGGTAAGGGGACAAAGCCTCGATTGGGAAGATCGGCATCTTGGACATATCGATTCCAGCTGATGTTGTACGTTGAGCAGGACGTGCTGGAGCATTGGAAGCGCCCATGGATTGAGCACCGTAGCCGCCACCGCCACCTTCATTTTTGACCACAGAAGAATTGGCACCGCCACTCGTTGGTTGAGCGTTGTTAGAAGGTGCGACATTTCCAGCGTTGGACTTTCCAGCTTCATCGAGCTTTTCGATGTTTTGTGGGTCACCAATACGCGCATCCAAAGGTCCAGATACGATTTCCAATTCAAGAATGACGAGAATTGTACGACCTGAAACTTGATTGGCAGTGAAGTGCATCACCCGAACCAAACAATGACGATCTACTTGTCCTTCTTCGACTAGATGTGCGGTTTGGGTTGATAACATTGCTTGGATGTACACTTCACCATCGCTTAGGATAACACGATAACGATCAGCGCCTGTACCAGAATTGTTGGCGATCTTCTTAACAGTCAAGATTTGACAGATTGGTTGTTCGCCATTGTTACTGGAGCCGCCACTTTCCACCATTCTACGAATGCCACCCTGCGTCAATTGAGACATGTTGGGCAATTATGTGATGATGATGAGGAGGAGATTTGATGTGTTTTGAGTGGATGTATGCGTCGAATGAAAGATGGTAGGTAAGTGAATGCAGAGGAGGGAGAAGGAAAGGAAGACTGAGTGTTGCTCAGCACAATTAACACGACCGATTGCATTCGCGCGACGCGAACATTTTTTGGTGTTGTTCTGCAAAAGAAATTACGCGCGAGTCTATGTTTAATTGGCGCGTCTGTCTCTCTGCTCCACGCACTTCACTGCAGCCTAAAAAGTGGTACTAATATAAACAGGGCCGCCGCTTGTTCGGAAAAGGCAAAAGAGCCGAAGAATAAATGCAAATTGATTGCAATCATTCTAGAAGACACTCTTTTGTCCTTGGCAAGATCATGTCAAATTGATCAATGGTGAAGGGTGGGATTGAAGTGGAGATGGAGAAAGATCAAAGTGATAATAGCAACCCTTCTCATAGCAATCCAAGCAGGTCACCACCCTACTCACCCACCCTATCCGATACAAAGATCCGATCTCCAGCCTCTCGTTCACCAGGTCATGTGCCTTCTCATGATGAACAAGATCGAAAAGAGCAAAGAAGAAGCATGAGTGTGGATTCAAGAAATAGCAAGAATGAATCTAGACCTTCTCGTAGCTCTCGCTCTGGCTCCCGTGAAGGGGCTATAAATTCAATCGAAATCAAAGGATTGACAAAGATGGTCTATGCTACCCATCTAGAACAAATATTTGCAGCATATGGTCCGATTGAAGAAATATTCATGCCATCCGATCCATACAGTGAGTAGACGCTTTAAAGAGATGATCTCGGATATACAAACAAGCTTACCTTCTCCCCTTCCCCATCAGCTCAAGAGAACCTCGGTCGAGCATTCATCACTTACAGATCTTCTTCAAGCGCTGAAAAAGCAGAAGATTGTATGGACAAAGGTCAAATTGATGGCGCAATCGTTAGCGTTCGATGTGAAGATATACAAGTGCATGAGTTGCGGTCATCCTACAATTCCACACCCCGCAGCAACAGTCATAGGAGAGATACAAACCGCACAAGCAACGATCACCGCTATGGAAACAAGGATGAAAGACAAAGATACCCAGATAATTCATACGATAGGGACAGAAGGAGTGAAGGTCAGCGTCGAAGTAGATCCGCTTCTCCTTATTAAATGTAAAAGTAGTGTACAGTACCAGACTAATACAGATAAAGATCGATCAAATTTACTCACCAGTTTCCCTACTCGGCAATTATAGATGCAATTGAAACGTAACAAATACAACATCATCAGTATGAGTAGATATGAATAGATAGCACAAAAAATAGGGAAGATAGGGCAACGAAACCAAGAAATGAAGCATTTGAATAAGGTGGGAAGGGGATTCACTACATCAATCGTCATGCACAACATCAGGAGCACCTGCTTGAACACGGGCATTCGCATTCAACCAAGCTTGTCCTTCGGTTAAACGTGGATCAGAGGGTACGGTGAAAGCTTGTCCTCGTAGGCTGCTCTCACCTTGACCTCTGTTTGCGTCGGAAAAGCTACCTTTAAGCATCCAATCATCATCCCAAACTTCCCATGCACTTATCCGTTTGCTTGAATCACGTCGTAGTAAACGTGCCACCAACAATCGTGCAGGAGGCGTGATCAATCGATGCAGTGGCGTGCAATTTCGTCCATCTACAACATCCATGCATTCGTCATTCGTTAATTGAGGCCATCTGAGATCTCCCTTTGCAATACGCAACAAATGTTGTTTACGTGCACGAGGATCTGTTTGATAATTCGGTCCTGCATCTTCTCTGGCATTTATCATTCCTTGTCCTTGTGAAGATGTATCGGCAAAGTCCAAAAATGGTAGAGAGCCCGATAGCAATGCATATAGTACCACTCCCATTGCCCACACATCTGTCAATCTTCCATCATATCGTTTCCCGATGATCAATTCCGGCGCAGCATATTCCTCCGAGCCGCAACGAGTCTCCAATAGAGGTGCGTTAGGATCGATGAAACGTGATAGTCCAAAATCGCTCAATTTGATTAAGGGCGTGCTTGGTAGATCGGCTGGCGTTAGATCATTTCTACCTCTTAGCGGTTGCGTAAGAATGATGTTTTCCAACTTGATATCACGATGAACAAGATTGATCGTATGCATCCATCCTACCGCATTTGCCAATTCTCCAAATATTCTACGGACAAGCCATTCTCGATTTGCGATCTCCGATTGACTTTGAGCCAGGAATTCAAACAATTCTCCTCCTTCAACCGTTTCCAAAACGAGAACGTGATGACGAGTTGTTGAAAATGAAGAAAGAAAGCGAACGATATTCGGATGAACTATATGTCGTAATACTTCCACTTCACGTACCCAACTGACCCGCATTCTTTCATTTTGTCGGCAAGGTTCCTTTTCCAGCATCTTTAAAGCAACAAGATCTCCAACAGATGAAGGTGCATGTGCTCCAGTTACAGTCTGGTTCACCCTTTGACGTCTTGCAAGGACTACTTTACTGAATGCGCCCATACCCAACACTCTCTCAACCGCATAAGATCCCACCCTACTAACGCTCTCATCTTCACTTTCTTCCATCGTAGGTGTAGTTTGAGGAGAAGGAGATGGTCTAGATTCCTGCAAGTGATCATTCGTATTTGACGCTGATGCTTGTACATCCGCATTAGCCCGATACACATCAGTAGCCTTGTCCATCAATTGCATCGCTTCTGCAGGTGGAACAATACTTGAACTTGTCACATTTTCCGATGGTCCATGTGTATGCCTACTAAAGCCATTTCGAACAGGCGAAACATTGAATCCTTGACTTTGACCACCACCTTCGTTCGGATCAGGTGAAGGAGGTGAAACAAACGCAGAAGGAACTAACGGTTGCGTACCCATCACCCTGGGTGTTGATTGACTTGAACCCATAGATGAATCTTGACTAAGGATGTCTGCAGTAGAACGTTCATTAGCAAACAATCCCGGACAAGGATGACTAGCACTTGCCGAAGGCAATCGGGATGGTGCATGTAATGAATCACTTTCCGATGGAAGTCGAGATGGAGTTGCAGTAAGCGTAGCAGAAGAATATTTACTCCGAACGCCTTCTTTGGCAGAAACGATTGCTGGCTGAGAAGAAGAGGAGGAACCTGATCCAAAGAAAATTAATGTTTTAGGAGAATCAATAATCTCCTGCTTCGAATCTTGAGAAGATGCCGTGTTTGTTACTATGGATGGAAGTGATGGATGACTGGATAAACGGGCTGGCATATCGGAATCTGTACTTTCAGGAAACATGAAACCTTGATTCATCCCTCGCTTTTCACCTTCTTCATCTGATAAACCTGGGCTGGGAAGAGCAAAGATTGGCTTGCCTTCAAAATCCACCCAACTTCTACGTATACTCGAAGACGTTCTTCCCAATGGTTCACCACCTCCGAATGAATTCCACCCTAGTGATGAGAGGGATAGATTTCCACTATCCTCCAACGATATCCTTTGACCAGCAGCAGAGTTATTATTATCATTGTTTATGGCGAATTGATTTTGTGTAAACGCGGTTGCTTTTTGAGGTGAAGATTGTTTAGAAGCAGGTGCGATTGATGCATTAGAAGAAGTAGCGGGTTTGATTGGATTATCGAAACTAGCATTGAAAAAAGCGGCCGTTTTTGAACTATTTGACGTACTAGAAGTTGATGAAATTGAAGAAGCTGAAGGACGTTTATGGTGTGAAGTAGAGCCAACGGCCGCGGTATTCAAATTTGAACTAGTTGAAGGTAAAGAATAATCCAAAGAATTTCGAGAAAGTGAAGAAGATGATGTTGAACTTGCATCGTTTGGCGACCTTTGCAGTGTAAGTCTGCTCATCTCTGGTTGTGAGCTTTGCATGGTCATTGTAGTGTAGCTTTGTTGTCTCAGAGAGTTTAAATTGTGCAATGAATAATTGAAAATGAAGAAAGAGGTGGGGCTGCGTGTGTGTGTTTGTGCTGTTTTTGGGCAATCGTTACAATGTCGTCATCATATATACAGACTTGCTCGCAATAAATCTCATCAAAATGCCCAAAACAAAATCCGCCTTTTTCTCTCGTTACCGTTTTGTGGCAGAAGAGAATGAAAAGGTGTTGAGTGAGATGATGAGCATAAATGGTGGTTTTTTGAAGTGTGTTTTTGCTACTGCCTGTTTCCTTTTGCTTTCCTATGTCCAAAGGACCAATGGATGTTTAATCGAAAAGGACAAAGTTAAATGATCATATGAACCGAATTGGCTCGGATGCGGTATCAAAAAATACATTATAATAAAATGCATATAGGGAGACTACCGGGTTTACCCAAACAAAAAAAAAATAAAGATACTGTAGGTTCGACACCCGAGTGTTTTTTGCCCTGCTCAACGTGCAGCACTTACGCGACATTTAGCCCATGCATCTACTACCTCTTCTTTGCGCCACTTTACAGTCTGACGCGTTATATAGAATAGGGCGCGATCCGACGTGCGACTAAACAATGCTGCTTATTTAGCTAACGCCAACGAAACGCCAGTTATGTGCTCTTCTCCTAAAGATAGAATGTTGTGCAAATGAAAGAGATTCGATTCGAATATAATGAAGCTATGCTAAATAGATATTGTACAATTGGTATAGATATCTGCTTCGTGAGGAGAAAAGAGAGTGAGAATATTTATTGTGTTTTTCATACCGATTTGTTTCTTGATCGTGCTGAAATGCTAGAAAATTGCGAGGTAATAATACTACTGAGACACCATTGTTGTATACACGCCATCCATTCAAAATCCTCCCAATGCTCCTTCATCTTCAATTTCACTTCGGAATGAACATGCTGAAAAAGATGATTTCTTGAGTGTTGCCGTTTGGGCAGCAGACATGCTCTTACTTCTTGGTGCAGAACCACGTCTTGGCCTTGGAGGTGACGTCAATTCACCACTCAAATTTGCACGTCCAACAATTGCAGCATCATCACTATCAGCGGGTGAATCATAATGACTTGGCATTCGTTTTGATTTGCGTGATTTGCGTGAATGACTTGAATTCCTTTGCAAAGACGAACGGGTCTTGTGTTCAAGACTGCTATCATCTCCTTCATCTGCTGATTGCACACAAGGTGAATTGGAAGATGAAGCGGGAGCAGATTGTGAAATTGCTCTTCTTTGATGCACCGATAGGAACGCTGGAAATTTGGAGAATGCACTTAAAGGGCACAATCTCCCATTCGAATTTGAAGGAGGAACGACCGTCTCATCAGAGCCTTTGCTATCCTCTTGTCCTTGAACTTGTGCAACGGCAGCATCCAGTGCAATGAGTGGTGCACGAATCGGCGAACGACTTCCATCGCTCGGTCCAATTTCCGGTGAAGTTGCACAACTGCTCATCCAGTCTTGCGTGCTCAAACATCCCATACTGGTGGAAGATAAAGTGCCTTGATCTGTTTCAAGACTGTCAGATGTTTCACATGGTGATGAAGCATCATTTCGTGCCTCTTCACCTTGAACGGCTGAGTCTTGTTCAGTACCTTTTGCCGTGACACCAAAAGATGCCATCCCTCTCATAAATTCGTTCTCAAAAGCGTCCATCTCCATTTCACGCTCTGCGAATCCATGACTGCTCCATGTATCCGTGCTGGAACAACGCGAAGACATGGGCGAAGAAGATGTTGTCACCGTATCCATAGAAGGTGAGGATGACGACATTGACAAGCTTAGAGATGCAGGAACGGGAAGAGAATTCTCATCTAGCATGCTTGTATTCGCACGAGGAGTTCTGTTTTCCTCGTTGGACTCGAGAGATTTCGAATCATCTGCTTCACCGCTTGTACCGTCTTCTTTTGATGTGTCTGGAGTCTGAACACCATGATCGACAAGTTCTGAAGCTGCCACTTTTTGATCAAAATATGATGTGACACATTCCCATCTTGTTCTGACGCTGGGACTGGGCATAGGAGTAGCATTTGGCGACATGGACAAAGCAGCATACACTGCTTGTCTGAATGCTGCATTTTCGGTATCAGACTCTTCTTGATCTTCGGATGAGATTGATTCGTGCAAGCTATTGCTTTCTTTCTCGGCAGGTTCCGGGCTGACCTCTTCCATCGAATGGACTTCAGCTGAACGACCGATACTTCCCGCCAATCCACCGAATGATCGAATGCCGTGAGCAGGTAAGCGACAGGTATTTGCTTCAGCTTCTTGTTCAGAAGGTGTAGTCTCCGTTGAACGAGATGTGTACTTCAATGTCGCACCACCAAGAATGGTTCCTCCATTCTTCAGCTTTGCCCAACGCGCAAATCCACGCATGCGCTCTTTGTTGTCCCTCGTCTTTTCATCATCATCCTTTTCATCCTCTGTACATGCTTCATCGTCTGCTTCACCAGAGTAACTTGGACACATTCCACGTGAAGGCAAGCTGAGATCAAACATAGATCCTGCTCGTGTACATTCGATCGGTCTTCGATCATAATTTTCACGGGAATATGTGGTGCCGGATTCAGGTGGCGCGACAGCGAAATGGACTTGACGCTTAGGTCGTGCACTTGACATTTGCTTGATAGCTCCAAATGAAGAACAGATGGTCGAAAGTGAGCCATCCGTCATTGGAGGACTGACACCATACTCAGGTGAGATTGTACCTCCGCTGGAAGGTGTTTGAGATCCTGGCGATGACGATGATGAAGTTGTGCGCTTCAGACATGGTGCCCGCATACACGAAATCAGTCTGCAAGCCACTGGTTGGAGTAATGGTGCTTCTGTTTCATCATCTTCGTCTATGATGCTGGTTGAATCATTTTGCGTAGTTGCTCTTGTTTCCTCTATGGAGTGCTGTTTCCCATCTAGCTGATTGTCTTGTAACATTGGATCATCTGTCGGTACACCGACTTCATCAACGGAAGACGACATCTTGCCAAGATTTTTTGTGCTATTGACGTCTGATCGAATTGCTAGAATACGTGGCCAGCACGTATGTCAAGAATGGATTGACGTGATTTGTTATATGTATAGTGTGTTGCTGTTCTCTTTTTGCGAGGATCGAATGCTGTTTTTTCTCAAAAACGGGGATAGACCTTGTCTATTGGCTCAGAGAACCGATTGGAGCAAGGATATGAACGACATTCTCACTTTCTGGTTTGTATGCGATGGTGAAAGGTTGTGCAAGTGAAAGAAGGTGATCTATGCCAATACTTTCTATTTGCAGAGAGCGATTGTTTGTTTTTCGTTCCTTTTTCCCCACTTATTGGTTGTAATTTGATTCGATGATAGGCACGATGGCCAAGATCAATCGTTCGCTTTGATTTAAACCAAAGAATGGAACAGCTTTCGTTTGAATTGATAGATGATGGTGATAGGGATGGAGAGATATGAATTGTTGAATGTGTATTTGAAACGGAGGTTTGTCTGGGGCCTAAGTTTCTATTTTGTTAGGGGAGGCAAATGAATTTTTCTCTCTCTCTCTTTCGCGTTACGCAAAAACACACCCAGCTGTCCAATTGATTCCGTGCAGACCCATAATATGTGCATTTAAGCGCGGCTTTAGTGGGAAAACTAGAAAAAGGTGAAAAAAATAAGAAACTGGGGCACAACAGCCATGTCGGGTGATCTGTTCCAGTGTAAAGCAAAAAAAGAAAAAGGCAGCCATCTCTCTATGCATCTGAGACCCGCGTTATGTCTAAACAAATACGCGTGCGTTGTGCAAGGCAGTCAGTCTGCTTTGCTTCTGCGTATGTGCATCACATCAATGCAAAAGTGGTGGCTGTACTTGACCGGGACTTGTTGACTGTATTTTTGCGCTCTCTCTCTCATCATACTCCGAAATGCGACGGAACGCCGTTTCAAATTGAATTCGTCATTCATTCTCTTTCTTTCTCTCTCTTAGGCCTAAACGCCGTATACGCCTTCGTAGCCGCTCTGTCCGCGCCATGATAAGAGGATGCGGTTTAATTAGTTGAATATTCTTCTTATTTCCCTTTCATTACGGTAATGAGATCATTGGTAAAGTGATCAAATTGCCGTGATGACGATTTGATGGGAGGATATTGTATTTTTAGTACTATTCAAATTCGTTGGAATGACGCAAGCCTTTGGATTGTTCACCAATTAAAACATCAAGCCGAACCAAGCAATTTGTTAGCCCGTTTTAAAGCGTTTTCTCTTTAAAATGCGCGTAAGGCGAGTGAGTTAGCATAAATTGCAGTTTGTGCATTGCAATGCTTATGACGTTTTCTAATTTCCGCATGCGATTCTGCAATTCGTGATCCTAGACTACAAACATCAATCATCACTGTTGAGCCCATGCAGCTTATAATAGTACTCAGAGTTATATATATATGTTGCATTATATATTTCCAGGCCTTATTATAAGCTCTGCGGTGGCTATACATTCTATGTGATAGGCAGAGGGCATAATTTGAAGTGGAGAACAGATATTGATGATGAAGAACTACCTTAATGATGCTGTGATGTTCTGCATCATCAAAAAGAAGAGGTTCTACTTCATTGATCCGCTAGACAGAAGTGCCAATCTATGAGCACAGACACAAATTAGAGCTCAAATAAGTGACCGCGATCAATCCACGCTTGCCGTTGTCGTGTGACTTGATCAAATAGAAGCAATACTTTAAACTTATCTCTAGCATGATATTTGCTATGCCAAGGTTGTGACAGTTATCAGATTATTGTCACCGCCTTCCGGCTAATCTTCTGCCCGCTATGTCGTCATTAGGACGGAATTATGTCATGTATCCAGATTTCATTCTACACATCTCGATCTCGATATCACCTATATCATCAAGCTCAAAAATCGTACTTTCATCAAGAATGCACCACCCTCTCTTCCATCTAGCAACGATCGGCCAGGCCGCACTCCTTCCAACACATGATCGCCATCACTATACAATCTTTCAATCTGCTGACCCTGTCTTCCACGCCAAAAGAAAAGGAAAACGTTTGAATAAAAATCAATTGCGTATACAATAAAAGCTTTATACTTTTTTCATCATTCTCGTATTATCCGAAATACGGTTTGAACAATTGTTTGTTTATCCCGCTTGCTTGTGTTCCTGCTTTTTAATATCCAACGCTGATCAGATAATCCGCCAAACTTTCAACAACTTTTGTTGCCTGTCCAGGCAAGATTGGCGATGCATAATGACCGATTAGAACGGCTTGATTTGTCTTTACAGCGATCAATCCATTTCCGCTGTGGGTGGATAGAAGCACAAGAATGTTGTTAGTATCCTTTTGAAGCGATGTATGCTCTCTGACGTACTACTCACCCTTGCTTTCCATAGATGCTTCGGTCATTTGCTTGTAGTGCAAAGTACTTGACACCGTTAACGTGAATACCACCTGCTTGCAGAGGGGAAGGGTCATCGAAACCGGAGACCAAAGCTGTGATCTCTTGTTGGTTTGGCTGAAAGGGGAGAGGAGGAGGAGGATGTTTAGATATGAGGCCTCACAATCGATGTATGTTGCCATCAACAACTCACCTGGAAGCCGGCACTAGAGGCCCAAACCTGATGAAGAGAGCGGGACATATGTTAGTCATTCCAGCCATTAGGCGATCATCACCACTTTTACTCACTCCACCTTTGTGACCAACAATGGCTGCAGAGGTTACTTCTCCAGTTCCCACCAAATTTGTATCAACGTAACTTTGCCAAGACATGTTTTGTTTATGTGTGTGTGTGTGAGTTGTGATGTTTATTTCAAACTCCTCTTCCTGTTTTGTCTATTGATCGGTAATGGAAGTGAATCGCAAAAAAAGAAAAAGAAGTTGCAAATGATATCTTACCTCCCCCCACCAAACAACACGCGAAGCTCCTCTCTCTGTGCACACGCACTCACTCACTGTAATGTGGCTGCTGACTGTGTGTGTTATTCTTAAAAGGCGGGCGTCATTAAGCACAGCAACACAAAAGCAACACCTGGCAGCGCTTATGCCTGTATTAGCGTTCAATAATGGGAGGATTGGAAATCTTACGCCTTCGATAGGTTTAAGGAGGGCACTATATAAGATTGGTTTTGATTTCTGGTAATTATGATATTAAGTGTGTATGATCCCGAATGATGGTAAAGATGTTAATGTTGTTCAACAGAGTATACCGGGAAGTCCTGCTATTTATCGGTTGGGAATGATGATGCGAATCGGCGAAATTTTGTTTGTCTTCTTTCAACATTGCGAGCATTTTCCCTCTGCTCCTGTGCAGTGAAATTGTATAAAATGAGCCGTGCGCCGCCGCGTTAGACTTTCTTCCTGACGTGCCCGACCAATAAGCGCGCAATTAAGACCAAGAAGAAGTCCACCATCCTCACCATCACATCTCATCACATTAATCATTCAAAATGGCTCGTAAATTCTTCGTTGGTGGTAATTGGAAAATGAACGGTACGCTTGATAGCGGAAAGAAGCTGGTTGCAGCTTTGCAAGAAGCCAAACTTGATCCAAACACAGAAGTTGTCGTTGCACCACCTGCTCTTCATCTTTTGTTCGTAAAGGAATTATTGGCAAAAGATTCAAAGATCGAAGTTTCAGGTCAGAATGCATACCATAAAGTTTCAGGTGCATTCACAGGTGAAGTTTCCGTTTCGCAATTACAAGATGCAGGTGTTCCATGGGTCATCCTTGGTCACTCTGAACGCAGAACAATCTTCAAAGAAACCGATCAGGATATCGCCGAAAAGACAAAAGCCGCCCTTGACCATAACTTAAAGGTTATCGTTTGTGTTGGTGAAACTTTGGAAGAACGTGAAGCAAACAAGAGTATCGATGTCGTTGTTCGTCAATTGAACGCTGCCGCTCCATCCGTTGCTGACTGGAACAAGGTCGTAGTTGCTTACGAGCCTGTCTGGGCTATCGGTACCGGAAAGGTGGCTACTGCTGAACAAGTGAGTAGCACGTCCGCAACATCTCGCACATAATTTACTGACCTCTTTCTCCCTTCCCTCAGGCACAAGAAGTTCATGCTGCTATCCGTAAATGGGCTGCCGAAAAGGTGTCCAAGGAAGTGTCTGATTCTTTGCGTATCATCTACGGTGGAAGTGTCGCCGCAAAGAATTGCCGCGAATTGGCTCAACAACCTGACATTGACGGTTTCCTCGTCGGTGGTGCAAGTTTGAAGCCAGAATTTGCTGATATCTGCAATGCTCGTCTTGTGAGTGCAAAGATGTGAGAAGCTTCAACGGAGGAAGACTGACAATGTTTCCATTTTAACAGTAACTTAAATGTAAACAAATCTTTGACTCCAAAATAAATCCTGTGGATACACGAATCTACAGTGACACAATTGAATAATACACATTCTTTCGAGGTATGGGAAAAACATTATCTAACACAAATGAGGTAGAGGAAAGGAAGAAGAATCTTCTTGCGTGAGGCAGTACATTTTTATTGTTTCGTTTCTGAAGGTAAGCATGGTAATTTTGCAGATAAGAGAATGTCATTTTCTGCATTGAGGCCCATTTTTTCCGAGCCTTAAACATTTGATCCTCTGGTAAAGTATGCTTTGGCGCCATGAGATGCCAATTCTGCTCTTGCTTGTGCGAATGTATGACCTTGTTCGTGGTTGTGCTTCCAGATCTGTTTGTAGTACCAAAGATTTCCCAATCCCTGTAACGTGAACCCGATTGTGACGATGATCCCCAAAATTCCTGCAACCAATTTATGATCGTTGAAAGAATTGATGGTTGATAAAAGAGCCGCACTTCCAGTTTCGGGAATACCAAGGAAAACGTAAACTGACCAAGCTAGATGAAAACCTGCAAAGATGAAATACATATAATAGAACAAAGAATGTTCTTTCATGAAACCGTTATAAACCGGTCTATACCATAGCATGAAACTTGTTGGCGTGATGAAGATCAAATAAACGATAGCCGAAATCAATTCTTTTACACCGATGAAAACGCAAGCGACCAAATTGATGATTAGGGTTGCTACCAGCAATAACCATAAATAGTAGATGTGCGTCATTGCAACTTGCAGATCTCCCGGTGGGATTTCTGCTTGAATGTCATGATAGATGAGCGGGAAAAAGAAAGGCCAATTATTCCTTCCATGTTTTTGAATATGATCAGCTCGTTGTTGTAAATCACGTTCACGTTGTTCCAATTCACGTTCTCTTCTCTGTATATCTTCCAATCTGTTGTTTGATGCACCTCCATCACCTCTGTCTAAACGTGGTGCAGCGATTGATTCATCATCTTGACCGCCATAAGGTTTTGAGTCATATTCGTCATATGCACGATCAGAAGATGAAAGTGCATTTCTTACTGAAGGATCAGCGAATGGATTAGCGTCCAGCGCATTACGATCTGCAAATGGATCGTTAGTAGACATGTTGTGTGAAAATGTTTGTTGCTTGTCTGGGTGTTGATGGGCAGAAAAGGAATTAAAATGAATTGTTTGTTGTCATATTTCTACAATGAGGCTTGCTTTGTATGGGATGTGTTTAATTTGACTTTTTAAGTCCTTTTCTCATGCATGTAAGACGCCAATCGCCCTCTCTCCCCTAAAAAGGCGACTGACTGGCTGTGCATTTACGCGCTCGCTGGGCAAACGCCCGAAACAAAGCCAATCGGCCACACGTGTTCATTCGGCATTCGATTGGCACAATTTGGCTGTCTTTTTCTCTGGGCTGGCGGATCCAAGGGGTTGAATGGAAAAAAGGGAGAGCGGGCAGGCAAAATCCGAAAAGAGGAACGACGCGTAAGAAAAAGAAGTGTTGCTTATATTTTGCGGGCTTTAGAGGCATCGTGTTAATGAATTAGGAAGAGAAAAGGGATTGGGATGTGGATTGAAATGATGGAGAGAAAAGAGGATGTGAATGCAGTATCCACAAACATCCATCTATACCTACATCATATTGCACAACCTTGGCATCAGACAATCATACAGACTGTCTCAATGCCGCCGCGAAGCAGTATTCCCGGCCTTTCGACCGGAAATGTGAGTAGAAGACGCGTAAAGTAGTGACCACTCATCCGATTGATCATCAGCTGATCAAATACCTCTCTCTCTGTATTGCAGATCATCGAAGGTGGTAGAAAGCGAGGAAGAAATGATGATGAAGCTCCTCAAGCACAAGCATCACCACGTCTAGGTTCATCTCCGGCTTTGCGGTCATCCGGAGCGACGCCCATTCCCGATTCGACGTCCAAGGAAAAGGTAACGCAGCAAGGGTTTCGATTGTTAGATTTCATCATCCATAGGCTCGATACCAGGTATGTCATTAGCAGTGCTACGTGACACAACTGTTGAATCATATACTCACGCATACATCCTTCCCCTGACTCTACTCCAGCGACAAATCTCCACTTTGCATTCCTTTTCTAGCTTTACCTTCGCGTACCGATTATCCCGACTATTATGAACAAATCAAAACACCCCTCTCATTAGAACAAGTTCGTCGAAAGTTACAAAATCGACAATATGATTCATTAGAGGATGTACGTAATGCGCTTGAAACAATATGGAGAAACGCTAAGCGATACAATCTCAAGACGAGCGAGATCTATGAAAAGGCACGCGTTCTTCATGTGAGTTGTGATTGAGTGATGGTTTGTGCACGATTGCAATGAGTAGTTAGTCGGAGGAAGTGAAGTGAATCGAAATACTCATACAATCATTCCCACTCCCACCCTCTTACAGAGCGCCACACGCGAATCATACGTTGACTTAGCAGAAAAGAACGAACTTGCTCCCGTATACGATGGAGGTCTACAAGAAGGTAAACCATCATTAATGGAACAATCAGCTCGATTGGCAAAGATTGAAAAACCAAACGCTCGCGCTAGATTGGATTATGACGAACCAACAAGAGGACCTCCAACTGTTTCACTTCGATTGAAAAAGTCTGACGATATTGATTACGAAGAGGATTCAGATACTGTTCCGGGAGAATCTCAATCTCCTGCTCCAACAATGGCAGTCAATACAGCTCAAGCACCTGTTCATGTTAAAAGGGAGCAAAGTGTAAAGGAAGAAGACACGCAAATGACAGATGTAGCTCCAGTCACAACAAGGGCGAGTACCGCTGCCAAAGCTGAACAATCTCAACCTACAACTACTGCAGCACCAGCTGTTAGCATCGCTCAATCAAATGGCACAACGGCCAACAGTCCAGCACCTGTTGCATCTACCTCGCATGCACCCGCTCCTTCCTTCACGCCAACACAATCATCAGGTAGTAAGAAAAGAAGAATATATGCCCCAAGAGGCAAACGTCTCAAATCGACACTTCGACAATTGGTATCTAGTTTGAAGTTCAAGGAGTATAAACCTAGCAAAACAATGTGTGAAGATTTTATGGACCTTCCTACGAAAGCGGAATTACCCGAATACTACAAAGAGATCAAAGAGCCGATCAGTATGCGAATGATTGATGAGAAATCGATGAGAAACGGATATGAGACAGCATTTTCGCTATTCAGTGATCTTCGATTGATGGTAAAAAATGCAAAAGAGTTCAACGAAGAAGGTTCTGATATTTGGAAGAATGCAGACGCGATCAGTCAGCATATCGAGAATATAATGGTGCCCGCTTTGCTTGCCGAAAATTTCACTTTACACCCCGAAGACGATCGCGAATCCGTTTTACCGGGCGACGTTTTTGATCCTGTGGCGCATGCTGCCGCCAAAGCGGCGGAGTTGGAGTCAAGCGATGAGAGCCCTGAGCCCAATGCAAGCGGCGGCGGCGGTGGTAAGAGGGGCAGACCGAGCAATCAATCTCTCAATCATCCAAACGTTCATCCAAACAATAACGCAAATTGGCAAGAATATGCTCGCGCGAATGGTTATTTGGCACCGAATGCAATGCAGGCCGCCAATTCACCTGAAGCGATGAGAGCACAAGCGAATCAAAGAAGGATGCCAAATGGGCAACCAATGCTTGCTGGTTATCCACCCAATGCGATGAGTCCACCTTTACCTGGAGGTTATCCTGCTGGTTATCCAGGTGCTTCACCTTTCAGTGGACCGCCAGCAGTCAATGGTGTTTCACAACATGCTCCACCAAAGAACACAAAGAGGCTCAATGGGGAAGCTCCTCCTGATCCATACGACATCGCAACTTTACTGCTACCGGATGGGACCAAATGGAGAAGGAAATCTGTGTGCTCAGCATTCACAGTTGCTTATCGAGGCGTTGATGGAAGAGACCGAGATGTGATTTTTGCCAATGATGTTTCACATAATCATGCGGTCGGGGTTGGATCGTTTTATAACAGTCGAGCAGGTGAAAATGCAACTGTTTCGATTACTTTCTCGGTTAAAAAGATCGTTCCCGTTGACAATGGTAAAAAGACAACAGAAGAAGATGAAATGTTACAGAGGCCTTGGAGTGTTACAGCGCACTACAATGGCACTTCAACAAAGATTCAATCGGCTGATGGAGAAGAGGCAAATGTTGTTGATGGAGCAACTGAAGTGGGACAAGGCGCCAATTGCTCAATCCTTCTCAAACCAACGTCTGGAAATAGTGTCTTGGATGTCAGCATTTCGCCAAGCGCTCCTGATGCAACTTTGTCTGCAATTGTTGCCGATCCAAAGCATCCTCATCATGCCAGAGCGAGCGCATTATTAGCATTACCGGACAAATATCGCATCTTCCTCAATTGCGAGTGATTCTTTGATGCTCTGTATCGTATTCCGTACATTAAAATTTTGTATCAATTACATCTATACAATACATGGATTCAATCTTACACAATTATTATACAACATCACATTGCTTCCTCCGTCACTGAAAGCATACGCAATTCCACAAACCCTTTTCGTTCCGGTCCAGCTTGTTCGTCTTCTTGTGAGTCCCGTTCATAAAGCGGTCGATCGGGAAACAGACATTGCATACTCATCATTCCTTGATCTTCTATGCGTATGGAACATTTGAGAGATGTCTGTAAAGCACGCAAACAGTGTTGAATGTTGGAAAACGAATAAGTGAACTTGCAAGCGTATTTCAGCATGAAACTTTCAAAGACTCTTTGTTTGTTCGGGAAATCGAGCTCCACGGAACCATGATCGCCTTCTGCAGTGATTCGCATCATTTCTTTGCCAACTTCATTTTCATACATTCGCCTGGTATCTGCGATCTCTTGTCCGTCATCTTCATCAATCATAGTTGGGATAGTGGTAGATGCATTGCAGCTTTGACGGTTCCTGCGTGTTGGCGTTTGAGGAAGTGCCGATGTACTTCCGTCTTTGTCGCGAGAATCGCCCATGAATTCAAAAGTGACGTTGCGGCACGAGTTGTCAATGCTCAGCAATGCCTCTGTGAGACGTCTTGACGTTATGATCACTTGCCCGACCACACGTTCTGGCAAAAAGGGAATCTCTGTCACCTCTAGCTCTCCTGTGAAGTATGTCGCCAGCTCACAGCGAGTGGTGACTTTTCCATCTTTGATTCTGATAGTGAGAGAAAGGCTGAGTAAGTATATCAGCATGAACATGGAACATTGCACGACTCACTCTAAGATCAAAGGATGTCCTTGTCCAGCATAAATCATCTCTACTATCGTACGACCACGCACAAAGGGTGTTTTGCGCGCATCTGCATCTCTTCCCAATGCTATTTTGCTGTTGTTTGATGGATTTGTGACAACACCAGCTGCGGTATTGTATATGTTCAAACATTGCAACCACGTTTCCAAAGAGACGTCAAATGTTGTGATGGGCGCCTGACTGCTGGAACCGGTTTCGTCGTCGTCCCATTCATGAATGTCTTCTGCAGGAGGATTGTAGACGTATTCATCAAACAATCCACTTCCAATATATGCATTTGCCTGTAAGACTCCATTGATTTCTGTAACTACCTGTAAACCAGCTTCTGAAACGTTCACTTGACAAATCTTTGTTAATGCGATTGGCCTTAACAAAGAGGCAACCGTACGAACATCTCTTGCTCTTGCTCTCAATACTGGCTCTTCTTCCAGCCTGTGTCCATTCATTTTGCGATCAAGGCATACTTTCTCGTGCTCAAGATGGTTGAGAGAAGGAAGTTGGTCTTGAGCTTAAAAAAGTGTTGTTCTCCTGCACGCCTTGTCAGTCCGTGCATTTTGGCTGTTTTCAAAGGGTGCGCTGCGCTGTGCACTAACTGCAATCAATCACAGACACGACACTATAGTAAAGCAGGGGAATTAGAACATTTGAATCGGCGCACAGCGTGGGGGAAACAAACACCACAAAGCTGGGAAGAATATTAGTACGTCATTATGCACGCAAAAAGTGGCCGCTGTGGTGGAAAGGGTGATTATTCGGATAATGATATGAGATGGCCTTCATGATCATCTTTCGGTCTACCATCACTAGATCCTCAATCAAAAGAGAGAAAACACTGCCCACCAAAAAAAACCCCTTTTTCACACACAACAAGAATGGCTTCTTTCCAGCGATTCTTACAGGCAACAACGGCCACCCTGCCAAGACAATGTGCAAGTGCAGGAATCTTGTTCGCAACAGGAGATTGTATTGCACAACAAGTTGTCGAAAAGAAAGGAAGCAAGCATGATATCATTAGAACGGCTCGCCTAACAGCTTATGGTGGTTTAATCTTTTCTCCCATTGCGGCATTTTGGTTAGGAAAAGTGTTGGAACGTGTACCATACAAAGGATTAGCTGGAACGGTAACAAAAGTTGCTTTGGATCAGAGTATCGCTGCACCTAGTTTGCTAGCACTCTTTTTCACTTCTACAACTTTAATGGAAGGTAAAAGTCTCGATGACGTAAAGGTGAAACTGCAAAAAGTGAGTTGAATATATGCGTCTCTTCCCTCAAAGTACAGTTACTTACCCTTTCCTTTTTATCACAGTCATACTGGAGCACACTGCTAACATCTTGGGCCGTTTGGATTCCCGTTCAATCAATCAATATGGCATTTGTTCCACCGCCTCAACGACTTTTATTCGTAAACGTAGTGAGCATCTTTTGGAATACCTTCTTAGCCCTCGTTGCTTCGGGAGGAGGTCCGGGTGAATCTCAACGTGATGAAGCAAATTTGGAATTGGGCAAATTACCCTCTCATGTAAAAGATCAATTACCACAATTGCGTATGGAAGGAAAAGCAGCAAAGATGTGGTAAACTTGTATCTTAAAGCAAACTTTCATGTACACCGCTACCTATCTTGTGACCAATCAATGTATAGAACTCATGACTTTTTCTAGAATTTTGACACCTATGGTATTCAATAACATGTACGAAAAGAGTACATTGTTAACCTATGAAATCGAAAGATAAAGATATGAAAGCGGTCGTAAGAGAAATAGGATCGTTGGTGCGACAGATCTACACGGAAGGAGCTCAGGCAGCACCGTTTGGTTGTGTGTGCTGCTGTTGTTGTTTCGTGCTGGACTCCTTGAGAGCCAATAATTGACGACTACGGAACGATTCGTAATGAGTGGCAGATGTTGTCTCAATCAGATCCTGCAAATGTGTTCTTGTGAGGAAGTTACGCAAAAAGACGAATTCGCAGTGGTTCTCATTTTCCACATTGATCACACCATAACGGTTCTTGCGTCCACGAACAGTCTTTCCATCGATGATGATGTTTCTTTCACTTCCCACAACGGCGAATGGGATCAAAGATCGAATTCTGTCGTTCAATTCACGTTCTTCCTCTTCGTGCTCTTCATCATCGTATGGATATAGACGAATGTTGTTGTATTGCATCTCAGCACGAATGCGCTCTTTGAACACTTCTCTTTCTTCCAATGTTAGACTGTCACTCTTTGCAATGACGGGAACAATGTTGACAACATCAGCCAACTTTTTCATCACAGTCACATCGATTGGTCGAAGTCCATGACCGGTTGGGTTGATGAAGAACAAACAGCAATGAATGCGAGTGTCTGTGATATAACGATCACGCATTGCGGTCAATTCTTTACGTAGATAAGCTGAATGTTGATCTTTGATATATTTGATGATTGGTTCCCAGCATCCGTCATTGTTGACTTGATCGCCAAAGCCTGGTGTATCAACGATGTTCAAGCGCAACTTTACTCCATTTTCGACGATGACATGACTGACAGGGTGAATTTCTGTAGTAGAACGAGGTGTTTCATATGCTTCAAGTCTACCTTTTGAATCGATCAAATGACTTGCGAACAATGTGTTAACAAGTGTTGATTTTCCCAATCCAGTTTGTCCAACGACCATTACGTTAAATTGGAAACCACGTTTGAGCAACTTTTGCTCGATTTGCATCGGCAAGCTATCGAAACCGACATAGCTGCTCAGAGGGGTTGGTTCAACAGCGGCTGCCATTTTTGAAGAAGTAGATTTCGTTACAAAGTCGTGGAGAAGTTCGTTTTGCAAAGAGCAGCCAGGCCTTTGTGTGTAAGTAGGGAGTGATGGTGAGAAAGAGTTGTGCAAGCTTAAGATTAGGTTGAGTTACAAGTACACTACACACAGCACTAAAGGCTGTAAAAAGGCTTAAAGAAGTCCTAGAGTTGGAACTCGTCGTTTGCGCGCGCAGAAAGACGCACTTGATCACTCTATCTGAAATCCTGTCCAGCGCACCTTCTAGCGTGAATGAAGAAGGTTAATAATTCACAGCGCGCTCAGACGGTTTACACGAAAGCACGCTAGCGTACTTGCAGAGCTGGCTGGCTACCTGGGTCACATTCAAGCGGAGAAGGCTCGAGAAAATGAAAAGTGTGTCTATGTGATTAGGATATGCTGGTATGATTACAGATTGGTCACGATCAGATGTATGATACAGATGCTATTGATACAGTATTGGTTTGCATCGCTAATTGTCTACTCAGCGTCGGCTTGCAGGATGGCTTCTTCTTGCCTTTTCTTCTCAGCATCCCGCATACGTTGTAGAATGTCAGATTCGTTGATGGATGATCGTTGTCGGGAAGCACTGGAGTGGCTTCCATTTGAAGAGTTTTGTCCATTGCCATTGTTGGATGAAGATGCTCTCATTCTTGTCAAGATGTTCTCTTCAGAAGCTTTATTAGGAGCATCAGCCTTTGTATGTCGTGCATTCTCATCACCTTCCGACAACTTGCCATGTTTTCTCAGCCATGCAATACGGGCAGGCTCACCTGGATGCGATGTCGAGCTCCCATTCTCTTCGGATTTGCCACCTTTCTTGCTGGCTGCCCATTCGATCCAAACATCCTCCAACACCTCTGCTGCTCCCGCTCCACCAGCTTTGAATTGGCTTCCTGCTTTTACACTGGCAAATGCAGCATCTAATGTCTTGAAAGTCGCAAGAGCACTCGATTCCCGCTTTCCTTCTTTCATTGGACGGAACACCAACGCTTCAAGTTTGCCGAATCGTGCAACTAGTCCCTTCGCCAGAGGAGTCTTTAGAGTCTCGGAGCTTTTGTCGGATTGAATGCTGCCTCGTAGCTTACCATAAAGGTCGCTGGGAAACTTGAGTCGTACAGTCAAATCCAAAGGGCCAAGCTCAGGCTCGGGTGACTCTGTCGTACGATTGATCGGGTGATTGTCCCGCTCTTGCTCTTCTTGTTCCTTCTTACTCGTCTCAGCATTCTTCTTGCGTTCATGCTTTTCCCGCAATTGTTTGCCTTCCTCCCGTAGCCTCTCAAGAGTCTCTCGCCTTCTTCTTTCATCGTTCATCGTCTTCATTCGCTTTTCGTGCTCTTCCGTTTCTCGTTTCTCCAATTCCTCTGCCATCGCTTTACGTTTGCCTTCATAAGCGCCTTGTCTTTCTTTTCGTGCAGTCTCTGCTTTATTCCTTTCCGCAGCAGCAATACGAGCACTTGGATCCATCAAAATCTCATATGCCAATTGCATCTCACTGAATCGAGCAGCTGCAATAGCAGGATCCATATGACGATTCTTGTCCGGATGCAAAGCTAATGAAAGCTTCTTGTGCGCTCTTCTGATCTCTGCCTCACTTGCAGAAGGCTTTAAGCCCATCACGGCGAAATAATCCACCTCATCCTTGATCGCCATGATGTCGGCTTACGCTCTTTGAGCGATTCCAATGAGGTGGTGGATGATGGTGAGCATAAATGCTTGACTATATGCTGGGAAATTAAGATAATAATTAGGGCGTGGAGCTCAAGCAACAAACACAAGCGTGCTTATATAATCTTCTCCGCTAGTGCAAAAATATTGCGTCCATCAAATCTGTAATCATCTTCTTCTTCCAGAACTACTCAATCGGTAGAATTATCGAACATGCTATTCTGTTTAGAATGCTTTCCTCGGCCACTCTATTCGTAATCTGATCAGATGATGTGTTCATAAAAGAAGAATAAGCAATACCAGAAAACGAAATAAGTCCGCTAAGAACGCAGATTGTTCCATCACGAAGATCACCACAAACCGAATAGCTTGATTGCTAAGAATCTCGAGCCTTGGTCCAACTTATTCGGCCGAAATGCTTGCTCCACATCTCTTTCAAACGAGGTATGGGCAGTTTTCCCTTCCGTGAAACCGTTTGCCGTCATATTTAGGGTGGGAAGGGAGGAGGTCAAAGCGATATAAATTAAAAATTTCTTTACGGCCGTAAGCCGTGAGGGGTTAGGACGATGGTGGCAAGAACGGCTTTAATCTGGTGATTTGATGTAATCGATTAGGAAGGTAAGGATGGTGTAGGAAGAAAGGGTAGGAGCGGGCATACATTAATTAAGAAGGCTATGACTGATGTCATATCTTTGGTGGTAGGGGTGTAAGCGTTAAATGAAGGTGAATTTAATATGTGAACGAACCCTTTTATAAAAGAGGTACATAAAGGAGAGGAAAGGTATATAAAGACGGTACAAGAACAGAAAGATCAGAGGGTATTCTAGTAAGAAATATATCTTCAACAGGTATATTTAATCGATTTTTAAAGATGGCTTGATACAAGAATGGTTTCGACGACAAGAGAATCACTCATCAGGTCAAGTTACTAGTATCGGACTAGAAAAGCTCACTTAAATACAAAAATATAAAAGTAAATACTCCTCTATGTCACGGTATATTATAATTATCTTTTGTATAAGAAATTTTTCGATCTTTTTCGTTTTAGTTTATCTCCGATAGCTAAAAGTAATGAAAAGCATTTTTTAATGATAAAGTATATATGTTTAGATAGATATAGAGTAAAGAAAGTCTATGTTTTTAGGTATGATTAGGTAGGTGTAAAGTAGAGAGAAGATATAAAGCTAATAAAAGCTTCTTATACGCTCTTCTGATCTCTGCCTCGCTTATAGAAGGCTTTAATCCTATCACGGTAAAATAATCTACCTTATTTTTAATCGCTATAATATCGGCTTATATATGTTAAACGCTATAAATAAGATAGTATAATAATAGTAAGTATAAATACCTAACTATATATAAGGTTAACAGGATAAATTTTTAAGTATATAGAATAAGAATAAAAGAATAATAATATAATCCTTCTTACTAATACTATATAATATAAGAAAATATTATATCTATTAAATCTATAATTATTATAATAATTTATTCTTTCTAAATTAGAAGGATAAATAAATATATTATAATATCTATAATTCTCTTATTAGTTTTCTTATTTATAGAATAATTAAATAATATATATTTATAGAAGAAAGAAAAACGATACTAGAATATAAAGTAAAATTCTTTTATAAAATTCTTATTATCTAAATAACTTAATATATTAAATAAACCTTAATAGAGTCTATTTAACTTTAATATTAATTTATATCTCTTATAATAAAGGTATAAATAATTTTTTTTATTAGTAAAATCGTTTTCTATTATCTAACTGATCTCAGTTATATTATAAACAACGATTTTAATAGTTTATATAATAATTATTCTTTTTAATATAGATATAGTCTAGTAAAAGTTTATAAGATCTTATCGGTATTAGAGAGGTATTAGTAGAATAAAGAAGACTAATAGTAATATACTATTCTTAGTTAAGTATATAAAGAAGTTTTTTAACCTAGATTATATTATATTAATATAAATGTTTTCTAGATATCGAAAATTATAATATTTAGCTCTTACCCTATCAAGTATAACCCCCCTTTTTCGTATAAGCCTCTATACGAAAGCTTATAATATTAGAATTAGCTTATGATGAAAGTAAAAGCGGTATTGCTTATAGTATTGATCGATCTCAAGTGTATATATGTATATATGTTATAAAGTCGTGGTACAGTTACCCTTCTATAAAATTATAAAGTTCTAATCGGTAAAATTCTTTAATGTATACTAGATTGAAATTGGTAACTCTGAACCTTGATATCAGGGACTTTATACCACGACTTAATAGAGAGATGAAAGCGATCAAGATTTAATTAATAGAAAAATAAAAGCTATTAACATTATACTGAACCGGGATTCGAACCAGTAACCCAATCGGGCTACAACCTACCTTGACCCCTACACACCGCACGCTATAAATCAGCGACGCATACCTTCTGAACTAAACTATAAACTTGTCTGTTCTTATCAGGCCGCCGATATTGACATTATAAGACCAGGTCGATATTAGGATTCGAGTGGTGATACCAGAAGATTGTTATAGCAGGATTGCTCCTCGGTTAAGTTTAACGATTCATCATGGAATCATAATAGGGGCTAGTGTGATTGATAGCGATTATCGTGGCCTCGTAAAGGTAGTACTATTTAACATAGGTCAGGATATATTTCGCGTAGAAAGCGGTAATCGAATTATATAAATGATTCTCGAACAGGTGAAGATACTTCCTATAAAGGTTATAGAAACAATCATAACCACAACGCGTGGGGAAGGTAGATTTGGTTTAACAGGCAGTAGATAGGTGATTTATATTTGTTATTGTAAGGGTATGGTAGAGTTGAATAGATAAAAAAGAAGTAGTAGTGGTCTATAAAAGAAAGTTTGATATTAAGCGTCTAATATAACCTTTATCACTGTTATTCGGCGATACAACAGGTATAATTATACCTGTATACCCCGAGTATAGAGTACCTACCGCTTTACGGTAAGAACTCTTATAACCACCAATCATCCTATCCCTTACTGTTTTACCCTAGAGCGCCGGAGGTGCTCCTTATAAAACGTAGGGGGGGGATGATGGTGGTAAGAGAGGCTTGACTAGAGGTTTTATTTACGATTAAGAACGCGGTACTCAGGTTAAATATTATAGACAAGGATATCGTTGATATCCTCTGCTATTATATTATATATAACTAGATATCGGTGTAAAGTATCGATAAATTATATTATAAATAACGAGAAAGTCTCTTAGTTATATAAGTCCTCTAAGTTTAAAGGAATAATCTATCGATATATTCCATTAGAGACGTTATTAACTTAGGGTATATTTTAACCACGATTTATACTAGTTAATCTTATTAGATGATTTATAAATAGAATAATTAGGATCTTATCCTACTCCCTTACATTCTCTCGGTAAGGAATCTAGATATAAAAAGCATTTTTAATATTCGGTATTAGACACATGGACCGTAGATCAGATAGTTATAGAACTTATCTTTAAATAGTATTATATAATTAAGTAACCTATATATTAGTGTTTTAAAGTCTATCTATATTCTCTATCGTATATATGTTAAGTAGAGAGTATATATCTTAACGTCGTATAGTAGTATAATATTACTATTCTGATAAATTAGTACCAGTATTATATAGCCTATTAGTAGTAGTGTTATATAGTATATTAGTATCAGTATTATATAGTATATAGATACTTAAATATACCCTTATAAACATTTCTAGTATAGATATTACTAGTTATATTTATTCTTATAGTACTATCACTCCTTTTAAAGAGGGTATTATAGTTAGTGTTATAATATAATCTACTAGTTCTTTATCATCAAATTACTTAAGCTTAAGATCTTAAGAGCTTTATCTAATAGATTCTTAAAGAGGTTATATTCGTTTAGAGTTATAAGGTATAATTAGAGGAAGAGTAGAAATGATAGAGTAATTAAAGGAAAGGGAGTTAGAGAAGAAGGAGGGTATAACGAGAATATAAATCCTATACTTTTTATAGGTTAGTATAAGGTATTATATTAATTTATTATTTAGTATATTATATAAAAAGTTTAACTATAAAAAATAGGAAAAGTGGTTATAATAGTGATGATAAAGGTAGTGATAGATATGATTAGATGATTCTAGGGAGGCGAGCCGAGCTTAATATGATTTGATTAGATTATAGATATAGAAAGGTTTATTAACGAATATTAGAGGTAAAGTTATAACTTTATCAGGTAGAAAGAAGATTTATAGTATAAGGTAGGGTAAGTAATTTTAATTTAGGTAGGGTTAAATAAATAATTTTAATTTATATAAGGTCTAAATAGTAATAAGAAGAGAAAGAAACTAATAAGTAGGCTAGAAGGTTATAGGGAGTAGGTTATAGCAGAAGCGATCTAAACGAAATTAAGTATAAGTATAGTTACAGCCGTAAAAGAAGTGGGATGTTATATAGTTATTTAGAAAGTAGAAAAAGGTATAAAGAGTATACTTAAAGATAAAAGAGAATAGAAGAAGATGGTTAATAATTATAGATTAATTTAAGTTTTACTTAATAGTAGGTAAATTCAATAATAGATCAGGTCGAACATAGTTTTTCTCCTATCACTCGATTTTATAGCTATAAGAGATAGGAGAAAGTTCTTATATACTACTTAAAGCATATAAAAAGATTCTCCTTGCCTGGGTGGTTGATTTTACTGTTTTAAAAGTATTTAAACAAAATTTTTTAATCTTATATTATTATAATTATATTAGTTTATCACCGATAATATATAATTATATTTACTTTTGATAGTACTTACTATATTAATACTGATAAAGTAATTTTTAAGGCTCTAGAGTTAGGTATAAATATAAATATAGATTTATAATAGCTTTCATATATAGAGAAACGGTAAGAAAGATTAGATATAGCAAGGGTCGGTGATTAGTATAATTATAATTTATAGATATTACATATGGTCATAAGGCAAAGAGGTATATATATATAGTATAATTAAGATTAATTAAAAGACG